CTACTTTAATCTGCTCTGCAATGATTTTCTTAAATTTTAGTTTACACCTGAGTAATAAGAATCTGTATAATTAATTACAAACTCTATATTTAAACTGTATTAAGAAATCAAGGTTTATTGGCAATTTATTGAAAACTAAATTTACTTTTTTCCTAAAATTGTTTATTTTTATTTTGGGCTAGCTAATTCAGAAAAAATTATATTATAATTTATAAACTTGTTAATTTAGTTTTAAATATACAGGGTGAACAACAGTGGCGGTCCGTGACATTTCATTTTGGTGAGGCAGAGGCAGGGTTTCGCCCTCATTTAAAGGCAAAGAAATTTTTTTAAACCCAAATTAAAAAAAACTGACGTCGCAGTTCACAACCTATACTTAAAACTAAGTAAAAAACTTAGACTGTGGTGGGGAAGGAATCCTCTACTTTGCCAATGAAATATATTTTATTGTAAAAATGACGTTTATTTTAAATAAACCTCATTTTGGTCTAATTAATATTTCATTGTTCAGAATGTGTAGAGGTAAAGTGCAGCATTATTATTAACCATTAGGTTTAAGCCCTAATCATTAAATTAATAATAGTACACCATCAACAATATCTCACCGTAATATCCATAATGACTAAATTCACATAAATCACCAAGTTCAATTAACTAAACCCACAGAATAAACCACTTACAAAAGAATCATAAAATAGACAAACTCATAGAAAAAGAATAAACAAAATATTGCGTAAATAACCACAGATTTGTTCTTTAAACAGTTTAGAATTTTATAACCAAAACAAACCTAAAGAAGGAATCTGTATTTATTTTATTGGTTACTGTGATGGCTACAAGATGGCGATAGTGTTAAAATATGTTTATTTTAGAATAGAAACATAATTTTGATTAAATCGATTTATTATAAAAAAATAGTACCATTTATTATTGAATTTTAAAAACGTGTGAAGTATAATTTATCTAAAATTCCGCAACAGTGTTGCCACAACACCTGCTTATTTCCTTGGATGTAGGCGTGCCTGCCTCGCGTATGCTAATACGAGAGAAAGAGGCAACTATGATATCGCATTGTAATAGAACGAGACAACAAGGCTAACGCCAATCGTGAGTCTAAATTAGTTCAGGCATGCTTCTGAGCCAATCATCTAGCTATAAATATTAGTTTAAATTGCGGTCGTTTCAAATTCAAATAATTTAAATGTTGCTGGGCATTCCACGTATAAAATCAATCAATTTTATTGACTATTTCACAATTAGTAAAGTAAAATATTTTAATTATACTTAATTTTTTAATTCTCTATGATGAGGCATTGCCTCACCTGCCTCCCCTAACGGTGAACATTCCTGTATTTTGTAAACATAGTTTATCAAGATCTACACTTTAAAACAAATCCGGTTAAAATCGCACAATAAATAAATACAAATGGGTCACACTGTATAAAACATCTAATTAACTAATAAAAGTAGTTGATTTTAGAAAGTTAACTATTTAAACGATCCATCCATCCATTTTTCGAATTTTTTATATTTGCCACATCCTATATACTCTGATTACTACCTATGCATAGATATAGTGGGTATCTATGACCTTCGCTGGACGGGTGTCTATGAGCCGCACAGAGGTTCAATTTGGGTGAGATGTTTTAAAATTATAAAACCTATCCTCCGTGACTGTTAATCTTTCTAGGTTAACCTATATGTTTTCAAATATCTGATGTAATAAAAGCATACCAAAAATATCAGTTCACTAACCAACGCAACCGAATCAAATATAAAATATTATTAAAAATTAAAAGAAATATTTTTTATAACCATTTATGTAGGCGTTACAAAAATTGATTCTATCCTCCGTGAATCTGTTTTTGCTTTAAATTTGATGCAAGGGATGGCGCTTTAATCATTTTAAATAAGCAAAAACCTCTGTTTACGACATTATAGATGCATGTGATTCCTGAAGGTCATTTAGAATTTATATGCAGATGAGAGTGTTGCTGTTTTATAATTCAAAAGTTTAAGTTCATTAATTTGTTATTTAAAAAACCTATCCACCGTGAAGTGTAATATCTCAGTAAGTAGATTTTTTTATAAATATTTTATGTATGTACAATTGTTTTTTTTTAAATATTAACTACGGTTTCGCGAAAGGATCGAACGGTCGATTTGCAAGGGTTCAAGAAATCGATTGAAACTTTTCTACCTTATTTCTACATCTAAATGCAGTACTTTTTTCAAAAAAAAAATCTTGTCCATCGACAACTTTATTTTTATTTTTTTCTTCACTGTGTTAAAAATGAAGAAATTTCTTTTTTTTTTGATAACTTTTTTATTTTAAATCGTATCGATTTGAAATTTGGACAAAATGTAGATCTTACTAATGACAATTAATTCATTCAAATTTTGTTTAGATTTTAACGTACAGGGGGCGCTGGTAAGAATTTAATTTAAAATTTAACAATTTTTAAAGGGTAAATATTCGAAGAAGCAACTTTGTTTTATAAATTTGAGTATATCACGTTAAAGTATTGATATTTGACTTTTATTTGATATATTAACTTTTTTATGCAAATGATGTTTATGTGGCCAGGATCCATTTTGAATTAGCAGTAGCAGTATTCATAAATGTTTAGTTTAATACATATTGTCATTTTTATACAAATATTGTTGTATCTTTTATTATTAATTAAGTAAAGCATAACACATAAATGACGTTTAATATACAGGGTGTTTCACGTACGTAGTCTGTTAGAAGTTTCTATAGGGAATCGGGAAAGTCATCGATTTAAAATAATTTTAATAGCGTAAATTATTTGATTTAGATTTTTTTCTTAAATTAAACAAAATAATACTTCTCGTTTTACCGGAATTGTCTTTTTATTTTAAACAGGACACCTTATATATTTTTACATTTTTTAATTCTATAGAATGTATACATAAAATTATTAATAAAATGGCTATATACCTTATCCTATACCTAAAGTCAATATTTTTCTAGTTATTAATTTTTCAATCAAATTATTTAATTAATTTTAAACAATAACAGATTAAGTGGTAACCATGGATACTGTCACATTAACCAACTTGTAGAATAGAAAATAATATTGAAAATATTAGAAATTGTTAAATGTCTCTGAAATTTTAACTTTATAAAGTTATAGGAAGCAATTATTAGAATACCAATCGAAAAGTTCTTAAATTTTCTATTTGATTATGTTAAAACATACAGGGTTTTACATTTATAATTAAAACGTAATTATTGTTTGAAGTTTGCCTAATTTTAAGTGGTTTTTCTCAATCTATTTGTTGAAAAACCTTTAAAAAATTAAATTATTTAAAAAATTCAAAATTCAAATTTCAAAAATTCCAACAAAATGTCAGCAAACCTAATAACAAAAAATTAGAGGTTATTTTTGATTAACTTGTATTTAGCAAAATTTTAACAAACAAAAATAATATCTTGAAAACTATTGACTTTAGGTATAGTCTAAATCAAATTGTATAGGCTATTAAAATTTTAAATCCATATAGTTTGCGAAACACCCTGTATAGCATTATATTAAATATAAAATTGCAAAATAACTAATTACAAAAAAGCGAAAAACAACTGATTAAAAAATATACATATATCTAAATAGCCGATCGCAACATAAAAAATAAAGTCTTTATTCTAATTTATTTATTGGGTAAATATTACTTTCCTCAGTTTGGAATTAAAATTAAAGCTTGCTTATTAAGTAAAAAATAAATTGAAGCTTGGTTGTGTAGCAAAAAATAAAATTAAAGTAGGTTATAATTTCTAACTGGCTAACGCTGTCTATAAATATTATTTAGTTTATTTATTTTATAAACTGAACTGTCATATTATCTTTCATGCTTCCAATGGTAGGTTACCATAGAGAAAAAAAGTCTATGATGCCTACTATAATCAAAATTAGTAAACTTGGAAAAAAATTTAAATTTATAAATAAAAGTAATTTTAGCTCCATCTATGGCGATTTTTTAAATAAATATGTAAGAATTGTATGTTATATATAATATATTATATGTAATATATAATGTATAATATGTAATATATAATACATTATATTATAAAACTAGATAAAACAAAATATACTTTGTAAAACACGTTAGTATTATGCTCTTTGAAGGCCTAACTTAAAAATGACGTCTCTCGTAGAAACATAATTTGCATATAGAAGTTTATATATCAAATAATAGTTAATTATCAGTACTTTACCGTGATATACTCAAAATTATAAAACAACGTTGCTTCTTCGATTTTTTAACCCTTAAAAAATGGTAAAATTTTAAATTAAATTGTCCCCAGCGCCCCCTGTATGTTAAAATCAAAAAAAAAATAATACGTGGATTTATTGTCATTAATTAGGTCTACATTTTATCTTAATTTCAAATCGATACGTTTTTAAATAAAAATGATATTACAAAATATCGAAATTTATCTATTTTTAACACAGTAGAGTAACTTAAGGCCTGTTAACCATAGCGGTCAATGGATGAAATTTTTTTATTGAAAAAAATGCACCATTTAGATGTAGAAACAAGGTAAAAAAAATATATTCAATTCTGACATCACTTGCAAACAAATGTCCAAAATTTGTTCGATTTTTACGCGAAACCATAGTTAAGATACAATAATTCATTTTAAATATACAAGGGGATGTTTAAAAAAAACATACGAAATCCTAACCTCCGTGAAGCTCTAATATTCAAAATGTATGATTTCTTAAAATTTCTGCACTAATTTGGAAATATTTTTTCGGAAAATAATATAAAATTTTAAACAAATTGCTTACAATTGTTTTATTATTTAAAAAAAATAACCCCATCACCAACTTTGACGGGCTATAACTTTATAATTAAAAAATATATAAGAAAAATGAAAACATATTTAAATTCCTTGAAGTTTTATCTATATGACTGCATGTTTCGAAATGTTCTAGTAAAAAGTGACCCCTGAAGTACTTTTGTCCAAGGTCAGCCCACCGTGCGTCTGACCGGCATATCCAACAGACTTCAACCTCGGTTATAATTGTTGCAACTCTCTCACATGCAACGTTAAAACTGTCGAACGGACAAATTGGCTCGCGGCGCGGACACATTTTGTTTGTGAAAGTGGATTTTTTAAATCACCCGAAGAAAACTCAGTTGCCGTGGTAGGGTGACTCACGAATCACAGCGTTTGTTTCGTTTGTGTGGATTGTAAACAAAATCTCGGTTGGCGTGGTGCGTGGCGCGACTGTCCGATGTCATTTTCGAGACGTGCGTTAGTGTTTTGTTTTGTTTTGTTTTCCCGCGAAGGTTAATTGTTTCAACAACTGTTTTGTCTGAGCGCGAAACAACCTGTTGTTTTAAACAGGTACCTATAGTGACTGAATGACATTTTCGTTTATTCATGGAAAGAACATGTCACGGTGCTGTTCTGAGAGGTGATTTTTGGACTTTCTGTGGAACCTAATTTTTTTTTATATTCTTGTTAATTAGGTCATAACTAAAATTTTAAGAGAAAAATAAAAAAAATGACGGTTTGAATTGTTTTAATTGGCTGTTTATTAAAAATATTATGCACTCTTTCAATTATCCAATTAAAACTAGCGATTTAATTTAAATATTTAATATTTGCATAACTAAAAAAAAGGTTTTTACAATTTTTTTTTATATATTTTACTGTTTTGTTGCAATAAACGTTCAAACTTTTAATCTAACCTTTGACGTATACATGTATGTTCCCTTAATTAATATATCCTTAAAGGTTGCCATGAAACTTTAAAAATTTATTTGACGTTTGAATTGTCATTTTCAGTATACGTATTCTATAATTTTTGTTTAGTTTTTGAAAAGTTTTTTATAAACAAAAATGAAAAATTGTAGTAAAAGTTACGAAGAAATTCATGAAATTTAACTAAGGACCGGTTTATTCATCTTTAGTAAAGTTTATCGGGCCGATAACTTTCATGTCTTGGCAATATCTAGTATCCAAAGAAATTATTCGTCAAATAAATCAAAAATGAATAAATCGGCCCTAAATAAAATGTGGCACCCTTAGAATTATTGTTTAATAAATGTAAACTATACATTTAACCTTAAATTAAAACTTTAAACGTGTATTACAACAAAACAGTAAAAGATATAAAAAATGTATAGACCTTTTTTTAGGAAATTAACTAATCTTTAATCTGATTTAAAAAGTTATGATAATATTTAAATAAAATCGCAAGTTTTAATTGGAGAATTGAAAGAGTGCATAATATTTTTAATAAACATCCAATTAAAACAAAATTAACCGTCAATTTTTTTTTTATTTTGCTCTTAAAATTTTAGTTATGACCTAATTAACAAGAATATAAAAAAAATTTGGTTTCACAGAAAGTCCAAAAATCACCTCTCAGAACAGCACCGTGATGTGCTCTATTGCAATTTAAAATGGGATAAAAGTTTTAATTAACATACCTAGTTATTTTTTTATTAATTAAAAAAAGAAACGTTTTTGCGTTTTAGAAAATCATCACCAAAAATTTTACAATCTTGTAAATTGAATTTACACGTTTTAGAAAATCATCACTAAACATTTTACAATCTTGTAAATTAAATAAAAATATGCTAACTTACATAGTTTCAACATTTATCATTTGTGATTCATAGCTGAAATATTTGAACGTTTGCGAGCGAAAGAGGAAAAATTTGCAGTAACATAAAAGTCGAGTTTCAAAGCCAGATCTGTAAACAATATTTAAATAAAATATATTTTATTTTCGGAATGTTAATAAAAATGTTTGCAATTTAAAGTTAGGTACCAATGTAAATATTTGTGCAAAAAAATCGTAAAATGCAATGTTTATATTGGGTGTTGACAAAAATATCACTGGGAAATGAAAAAATACCAAACTTGTTTGTTTTATTGATGAATTTTTTTATTTCACTCGAAAATTGTATTATACAGGTTACACCAAATATCGTTCTATGTGTTGATTTATTTTTTTTTAATTAAAAAACATAAATGTTTATTTTTTAATATAATACCTAGATAATTAAAAAAATTACTATTTAATAAATAATAAAGATTATAAAATACAACCAAAATTGTGTTTAAAAAATATTTGTCCTATTTTCTGCTTTTAAATTTTAATAATTTTAACAGTTTTGCCAATAATACAAGTTTAAAAAGCATTACATCTACAATCATTATATTTTAATTTATATAAGCAATGTAATTTATATTCATAACAAAAATGATACTTCCTTATATAGTATAGTATAGTATATAGTAAGTAGGAATTTAATTTTTATTAAAAAAGTGAATTTGCGTGTATTTTTCTACTTTCTAATAGGTACCTATCATTTTTTATTAATAGATTTAGTACCTTTATATTAATGACCTAAAACGTTACATAAAATTGTCATTGTTAGTAATTTTAGCTTAAAAGCTACAAAAATACATTATTATTTTTATTTTAAAAAATCGTTTTTCTTGAAAAACATGTTCTTATTTATTTAATTAAAGTTTAATTATTAAACAGATCATACTACTACCATATTAAATTTATTAAAACTATAGAGAAACAACATATTGTGGGTACAATAAAATAAAATAAAATAAAAAGTTCCAAAGACCATTTTATACAACTGTTTTAGTTGTTGAACACTTGCATAAACAATTTTAGATTTTCCTAGAAACGTCGTTATTAAACCTAATACAAAATACAAAACTAGAAATTTCTCCTTTTAAGTTGTAAACCGAAACTGTTTCAACAAATAAACAAGCAGTTCTTACGACTTATTACATTTAATATACATAGGTATTTTCATGTTTGTTCATAGAAATATCGAAAATAGATTTTCATAAAAACAAAATTTTTCCTTTAAAGTTGCTAACTGAATTTTTTTTAAATGACCTCACTATTTTAACAAATTTATTAATTACTTATTTTTTAAGTTTGTTTCTAGAAATATCACACATTTTTTTATCTTTGCCAAGCGACGCGACCAATGAATCACAAAAATAATCACGTGGGCGTATTACGTACACAGCCCCCTGTGACGCTATTGTTTATGTTTAGACCTTAATCAGTAGCGTAGATTGGCTTGCAGGTGGGACGAAGTTGACATTTTTAGGTGCCAAGTACAACAAATTTTGTGGAAAATGCAAAATTTGATATCTTAAGTTATGGCTGAATCTCACCGCAATTAATTATTTTGTACTATGTTTTAAAAGTCTAAAACCTATCCTCCGTGACTGTTACTATTTCTAGGTTAACCTATATGTTTTCAAATATCTGAGGCAGTAAGAGCATACTAAAAATTTCAGTTCACTAAGTAAATTAAATACATCCAAAGCAATCGAATTAAATATAAAATATTATTAAAAATTAAAAGAAATAATTTTTATAACCATTTATGTAGGTGTTACAAAAATTGATTCTATCCTCCGTGAATATGTTTTTTCTTTAAATTTGATGCAACGGATGGCGCTTTAAATATTTTAAATAAGCAAAAACCTCTGTTTACGATATTATAGATGCATGTGATTCCTGAAGGTCAGTTAGAATTTATATGAGAGGGTTGCTGTTTTATAATTCAAAAGTTTAAGTTCTTTAATTTGCTATTTAAAAACCTATCCACCGTGAAGTGTAATATCTCTCTAAGTGAATTTTTTTATAAATATTTTATGTATGTACTATGCTCCACACTTCAAAGTCCCACCACGTGACCACGTACGGAACGCAGTCTTTTGATAATTTGTCATTTAAGGTTTTTCAGGTTATGTATCTGTCAAAGTATAGTCAATGAAAGAAATAATATTTATACTGTTACCATTTATGTCATAGAAAAAGGATATATGTTTAAGCGTTAAAAGTTTATAAATCTTTATAGTATCACAGTAACAATGGTTGGTTTAATGAAATTCTAAAGTGTATAGTGCCAAATAAGTAAAATTTTTGTGCATTTGGTCTACATAGGTATATCTGGTTTTATCCATTAAATAGTTTTAACTAAACGGCATTTATTAAAAAAATTTAGCTTGTCTATTATGGAATAAGAATATCTGTATCAAAGGTAGGTTAATATATTATAACAAAAAATATCATCTAATTTTGAAATTTTAAGGTTAGAAAAATCTATTTTGATCAAAATAAATAAGTATTTTGGATTATTTGGAAGAGTGTGTTAATATGGTCATATAAATATAGATATACTAAATAATTATTACAATTATAATTGTTGAATATGGTTCAAATTAAATTAAAGCTTTTATACTCCTAACAACAAAACTTGTGCATACCTCTCGGGATACCTACTTTAAGTTAGATTATAAGGAAACAAACAATTTTTAGAGATACATGCAATGTAAAAATATTTAATACTCCCATAACATGTGATTTTTGAAATTTTTAAAAGTTATAATGATTTTTCGATGAAGATAAAATTCAGTTGAAGCTATACGTAATTGTATTGAAAAAACTTTATGTAGGTATACTTTAAGCTGGATAAGAAAGACTACTACAAGTTAAAATATTAGATAGAGTATACTGTGGTTTTATTTAAATTTTAGAATTTATAAGGTTATTTATACCTAATGATTGTTCGATGTAGATAAAATTTTGTCGAAGCTTTTATAGGTAGGTACTTGTATTGACACTATGGGTATATTAGCTGACAGTGTAAGGAACTTAAGAAGGTTAGCTATTGAATTTCCAAAAACACTTGTAAAAACAATTTACAGTTACAGTACCTACCTAATGGTTTTATATTTGAGATCTTTGATCTTTCTAACCTTAAAATTTTAAAATTAGATGATATTTTTTGTTATAATATATTAACCTACCTTTGATACAGATATTCTTATTCCATAATAGAGAACCTAGATTTTTTTAATAAATGCCGTTTACTTAGTTAAAACTATTTTATGGATAAAACCAGATATATATTAACATTTTATGTAGACCAAATGCACAAAAATTTTACTTATTTGGCACTATACACTTTAGAATTTCATTAAATGCAGTATTTATACTCCTAAACTCTTAAACCAACCATTGTTACTGTGATACTATAAAGATTTATAAACTTTTAACGCTTAAACATAAAAGGTAACAGTATAAATATTATTTCTTTCATTGACTATACTTTGACAGATACATAACCTGAAAAGCCTTAAATGACAAACTTTCAAAAGACTGCGTTCCGTACCTGGTCACGTGGTGGGACTTTGAAGTGTGGAGCATAGTACAATTGTATTTTTTTAAATATTAAGGTGTCAAAAGATACAATAACTTATTTCAAATATACAAAGGGATGTTTAAAAACAACATACATTACATTAAAAGGTTAATTTTAGTTAATAATTTTTCAAAAATATACATTTTACAAATGCAAAAATTAATTTAACTCGCATGTTAAAAGGATTTTATTTATTACAAACTTTGCAATGGGCAATAAAACTGTTATTATGGTTTTCTAGCTAGGTCATGTAAAGGAGGACACATACAGAAGTTATTTAAGGCCTAATGGGGTTTAAGCAATTAAAATACTTTACATGAGAAAATTGCAACACATGTTAAATAATGTTCTAAAATGCTCGTATACAGGGAGTCCCAAAATTGGGCACATCATTGCCAAAACACAATAATATATACGAGGTGTGTTCAGAAAATATAGGGATATTTTTGAAACAAATATTTATTTATTCGTCTACATTAATGTTGTCGCCTTCAAAACAGTCCCCATTGGATATTATGCACATGTGCCAGCTCTTCTTCCAATACTCGAAACACTTCTAAAACTCGATCTTTGGGATAGCCTTTAGTTCTTTCAGCGATGCGCTTTTAATGTCATCTATGCTTGCAAAACGACGGATCTTTAAGGTTCTCTTTATTTTTGGGAATAGGAAAAAGTCAGACAGAGGCATGTCTGGCGAATATGGAGGCTGGGGCATCATTACAGTATTGTTTTTGGCCAAAACTTTTGTTCAAAATTTGACAATTTTATAACAAATTTTGCTGCCACGCGTTTCATACCCAAAACATTCGAAAAAATTTCATGGGATGAGCCAATCGATATACCAACATCATCAGCGACTTCTCTGATGGTTTATAACCATTTCTTCCACTTTTTTCATGTTTTTATCGGTTGTTAATGCGCTTGTGCGTTCGGGGCGTTCGTCATCTTCAACGTCTTCACGACCATCTTGGAAACTCTTATACCACTTGTAAACTCTTGTTTTACTATAGGCCTTTGTTTCACAGAATTTATTTCATTTTGTAAGCAAAATTGGATACAAATCCATTTTTTTAACGAACGAAAAATCGCCGAGCTCATAAAACACGTCTAACCTTAGCGGCTGCCACAGACAAAGTAAACAATGAAAACAACTAGTTTTTATTATACTTCGGGGGCATGTATATCAACATAATAAAATTTTTTTTATGACAACCGGACCCTCTGAACCCGCGAAATTTAACAATTCCCGTTTTTTTCTGAACACACCTCGTATATATACCTAACTAGATTGTGAATTGTTTAAATGAAAATTTTAAATAGCCAACTTTTTGTTATGTTCGCAGTAATTTTCTATACACATTTTCATTTTAATTAGGTATACTTTGAAAGGTACTTTCTCTTCTTAATTGCCTCAATCATGAAAGAGGAATTTGTACATTCCACATCAAAATTAAATAAAACGTTTAAAATAATCCCAACCATACCATAAGTGAAGAATCAGTAATACTTTTATATTCAAAATTACCTTTAGAAGCAACGTGTAACTAACTTAAAAATATCTGCCAACAAGAAGAAACCAACTTTAAAAATCATCTAATTTTTTGAAACATTAAATAATTTTGTATGGGTAGAAATCAAATTTTAAAATGTCAAGGATATTTATTAGGTACAATTTAATTTTAAAGAATTTTAAATGTTTCATAAAAGTACAGTTAAGGAAAATAGTAATGTCCATTTCTACATACATTTGACTTTTAAGCTTTTATGCAATAATCTAAACCATTTGAATATTTAAGGAATAAAATTGATTTTGAAATAATTTAAATATAATATATGTTTTATAATTAATTTTAAAAACCACATGTTATTTAGTTAGTTGTTCTTAATAAAATAATATATTTATAATTTTGCAAATAAAATTCTTACTATGTAAATTAAAGCCATTAAAATTTTAAACTAAAATGAATTTTGTGCTTATAAAAAAATGCACTTTTAATACGTTTATCAACATTTTAGTTTTCATTATTTGTAGAGCAAACATAACATGCAAAAACCGATAAATCTATTTTTACATTTTAAGAGGATAGAACCGATTCTTACTAATTTTGGTAAACTTTTTTAACTTAACACAGCATTTTAAGTAAAAACCGAAACAGAGACAACACAACAGGAGCAACATTCCCTTTTAATAGTTTTTAAACATTTGGGGCAATCTGCTGTACACATTTTTGGACAATATTTCATAATAAGTTAAAATGGATTTATCGGCTTTTGAATGTTTGCTCCATATTTGTTTTATGAAATAACTGCCCAATACCAACTTATTTCAATATACATATAAAAATCCAATAAAATATATCCAATAAAAACGGCATAAACTTATAATAAATGAAGCTTGTTCTTCCCAAAGGGTCTAAGTGCTAAAAATAAAATTGTGAGAAATCAATGAAAATAGTAGATAAAATACTTACATGAAAAACTAAGGTTGCTATAGTCCATCCATAGCCTATGGAGGATGACAGTGACAGTTTTGTTAAATCATCCCCTCGATCATCCCATACTTGGACATGTCATATACAGCTTTCAAAAGCTATCAAATTGTTTTTTGTAAATTAATGTGTTAATTTTGAGGTCTTCTTACTTTTAAAAATGTCTCCGACTGATGTTGCCCTTTGTACTTTACTTCTTGTGACGTTTAAAACACTTGCCACGTAATACTGTGACCGTCCATCCTGGATTAAATTAATTGCTCTGGCAACATCAGTCGGGGACATATCCATTTTTTAAAGTGAGAAGACACCTCAAAATTTAAACATTAATTTGCAAAAAACAATTTGATAGCTTTTGAAAGCCGTGTATGACATGTCAAAGTATGGGATGATTCAACAAAACTGTCACTGTCATTCTCCATAGGCTATGGATGGACCATAGCAACCTTAGTTCTTCATACAGAAAAATATTGGAAATTGCAATGTTTTTTTAAAAAGTCCATATTTTCCACAAAAATAAATATATCGAGGTGAACCAAAAACAAAACTGTTAAGAATAGATGTGACTTGATAAATAAAACTTAATTTAGAACAATATGCGGTTTTGCCACTCTACAGATTGTCTTAAACTTATGGTAAAAAACATATTTTTGTTTAAACCTGTATATTATAAACGTACGTCTATTTTTAAGTAATTACTATTTTCCGCAACTGTACAATTTAAATGTTTGATAAAAGTACCTACCTGAAAAATAGGTAGGTAGATTTATCATATAATCATTGATCAACGATATAATATTAAATTAATATTAGCTTAAAAGGCCATGACCTAAATGCCATGCAGCTCAACTTAAAATCAGATTAAAAACATTTAATGTTTTGAAAATCCATACCTGGGCGTACTTTGTTAAAAATATCTGGTATTACAAAAAGAGTATTATTAGGTAATTAAAAATTACATTTACGACTGATAAAAGCGATTCGGTAGTCGTTATCAGACAAATTTAACCTATACCTACTATGTTTGCACAATTTCGCCAATGTATCCCGTGTTATTATTAGTTTACACTTGGTTCCTCGAAAATGTCCTTCGATTTTAATTGTAAGTAATTTTTCCGATGCCTACTACGTACTCTCTGTTTAACCGCGATTTCAGTAAATCGGTGCTAGGATTCGCGCTAACACGTTTAATAATCAACAAGTTTGTTTCCCGTTCAGACATAAATTTGAATGATTCACAATGATTTCCATGCAGGCTGTGATTTAAGTTTAGTTCAATTTTAATGTTAACAAAGATACTGTGATGATGGGGCTCAGTGATTTAAGTGATAATGTGGAAAACAACAACAATTGCAAACATGACAACAAAAAACAAAACGGAACAACAATTAGTGACAACAGGATAGAAGAAACCATTTTTGATGCAGAGTAAGTTTATTAATTATCAAAACACCCTTGTATTGTCAAACTTCAAACAACGTTGCAACGTTGTTTTCCTTATCTCACATTTATATAATCTATAAACTTTAAATATTGCTCACAAATAAAGACTTTACATCCGGCATAAATTTCAAACAAATTCCCAAAATATTGGCAAAAGCAGTTTGACATTTTAAAGCGAAACAATCATCTAAACAGCGTTGGCGTCATAATAAAATATGTAAAAATACCTTATCAACATAAATTAGCGTTCCACACAACTATTTATCCGTTATTTTCAATTTAAAAGCACTTTAACAACAAATAAATTAACGTCAACAATAAAAACAATCGCACATCTGAATACCAACCTGAAGATACATAAATATGCATCATGGCTACCATATTATAAAATTAAACGATAAAATCACCGTGTGATAAAATGATTACCGGCAATGTTAAATTGAATCCTTTTTGTCGTTATGTATCAAAATACCTCGAATACAATCCGAAAAATTAAAGGCGGCACGTGAACACGTAGCAAACGAACATGCGCAAAGTGACCGCGCGGTTGCCGCTGTGATGATTTTATTCGTGCGATTACTCATGTTACAAGGAAGTTTCCTTGTATCATGTTTCCTTGTATTACTAATTGATTTTAAAGCCTGCTTTTGAGCAGGCAAAATGAGTGGGATAAGAAGTTCTTATCTCACTGGCGTAGATAAAATACCATTATATTATGTATATAATATTGTTATTATGTATATAATATTATGTTGCCGTGAATTCGTAGGTATATTTTGTTGTTTAAAATGCAGTTGTCGGCGTTTTTTAGAGAACTCAAACATAAAAATGGTTGATTTTAAGGTTATGTTTGTGCAAAAATTATTTTTTACTAATTTTTTAAAACTTAAATATAAATTATATTAGGTAAAATTATCCTTAGTTATTTCTGCACCAACAAATGTACTTACCGAATTAGATCCTTTGGCAAAACATGAAAATGCAACGATTTAGTTTTTGAATTTTATTTATAATTAAAAACACAATAATTCACCATGATCCCTTTGATAAAATACACACACTAACGTAACTAAATAAGCGTTCAAGCGTTGAGTTTCTTAATCAATAATTAAAGGAATAATCAATCGAAATCGAATACTAAAAAAGTTTTTTAATTTTTTCCTTGCATCGTAAAACACAAATAACGTGCGCGATTTTGAACAAAATTTGTCGAATAAGACTTCTGCCTTCCTCTCTTTTGTAAAAAAACTACCTATTTATTTAAAAATTATGTATAATCTGTGCTTTAAATGTATTGTAGAAAATTTATTTTTAAATTATTAAAAAAGGTTATAATTTATGTTTTTCTTATTTTCAGTATTATGATTAATGGTAAAATTAAATTGATTATAAAAATAAATAAAGAAAATATTGTAAAATTAAATGGTACCTATCAAATAATAAAGTTTATTGTGAACCACGTGTTTAATAGCAAAATTGTTTTATCATACGTTTACCTTGGTTTTGTTTCAAACACAATTGTGATAATTCAGTCAATGTTTAAACGAGCTTGTTTGATTATTGTTCTATAGATATTTTTACTTTAACTTCGACCAAATTTGCATAAAAATGTGTAGTTTTATGGTAAGTGAAATATGTATCGTAATATTTTAAATAATGTATTTATTTATGTTATTAAATTAACATTCAAGGTAAAAATAAGAAAATAAATCCGTTGAAATTAATTATAACTTCATAACTCCGCAACAAGTTGTAACTCGGTGCAGATGTACCGGAGACACGCCGACAACGTGGCAACAGCGCCATGTCTTGCAACTCGACACAAATCAGTCTCTTTTCGCTGTCTGTTTAGCTGGTTTCGTCTTATTTGCTGCGTAGATTTTGTTTATTCGTGTTAAATTAACGAAATTCCATCTGTAATTTGTTGTGGTGTGCGGTAGTATTGAAAAAAGTGCCCGCCGTTGCGGTTTTTGCTCGTTTTTGAGTGGCGAGCAAGATTTAGGTTATGTTGGACATTATTCAGTGATTGGAACAGATGAAGATCTCATGAGCGAAAGTTAACTCACTGTTGTCAGATCGCAGGGATATATTTTTAGTTATATTTATCAAGTATACAGTGCCTGTTACATCCTGTTTGAACAACTATGATTATATTTCTTCATTGTATTAGATAGGTATGTTCTTTATTGGTTTTATTAAATTAATAGTTATTAATTTTGAGGATAACAATCGATATTAATAAATATTATACTCGTAGGCAAATTTTCTAGAATTTATAACAAGGTTATCAACAAAATAAAAGGTAAAACGTTTGACCTTAAAAAAATCGCTATATTATTAAAAAAAAATACTTTCATTTCATAAATTTGCGTTGTTCTACTTGTTCTTTAGTACGTAGGTACCTAATTGGCTTTTTAAAATAACAATTAAAAAGTAAATTGGTAATAAACGGTTTTTTTGAATTTAATTTAATTACAATTTTGCAAAATAAACGTTTAGTGACGTAAACAGTACGTATTCAGTGTATTAACCTTTATTGTTGTATCTGTCAAATCTTTCACTAGAAAATTTTGAAACATGCAGTCATACCTAGGTACCTATAGAAAAAACTTAAATATGTTTTCATTTTTGTTATATTTTTTAATTATAAAGTTATATCCCGACAAAGTTGGTGAATTTTTAGGATTTAAATTTATTGAAATATCTATAGTATAATAAAAACCAGTCGACGAATTATATCAAAATTACTACCAAATTAAACATTAATTATAAGCTTGGACCTCTAAATTTCGAGTAAAAATACACGGCTGACTTAGTACGAGAGTAGAGAATAATATCTACCCATTTTATGCCGGGATTTTAATAATTAATATAATACCTATTATTATTATTATTAAAATGTATATTGGATTTAATTTATTAAAATCATTTCGATTTTTTATCAAATAAGTAGGTACCTATATTTATTTCTACATAGGTATAAAGCCCTTAACGATAAATTAAGTTTATTTTTAATTTACATTCGTAAAAGTATAAAATTATAGCCATTTATTAAAATAAACCGTTATAAAAATTGTACCTAGATACAATATGTTCAATTAAAATAGTAAATATACAAATCGTCACCTGAGAATTATAGTGTTCTATCTGCATTTTCTTTTTTATTCTGGTTAGTCTTGTTTTAAGTATTAAAGATGGATATTGTTCTATCTATATATAATTGGGGTAGAAATTGTACAGTTTAAGCCTTAAACTTTACAATTTCTACCCCAATTATATATAGATAGATCAATATCATCTTTAAGACTTAAAACAAGACTAACCTGAATAAAAAAAAGAAAATGCAGATAGAACACTATAATTCTCAGGTGACGAAATGTCACTATTTATGTATGTTGCCAATATAATAAAATTTTCATCCAAGTGGTTTAAAATTTATTTACAATAAGATAAAGTTTTTTATTAACTTTTGTAATCTTTATAATTCATATATCTATATTTATTTAAAACTTGGATTTCTCTTTACAAGTCTATATTGCGTATGTGTTGCCTATAAACTTTATTCTGCTACCACAGGCCAACTGTAAGATCGTTTAGTTATTTTAAGAACGCTGTATATTTAACTGAACATAATAGCGTCTCTTTATCATTATGTTATGAAGAAAATTGATTTTTTAATTGTGTTGAATATTTAAATGTTAAGTTACATTTAATCTGTTTGATTATTCTGGTAATTACTGCAATTACACGACTGACCTGTTATTAGCTTGTGTTTGAATACCATGCAATCAGTAAGCCTTTGTAAATATTCCTACCATCAATAGTTTTTACTTTGGTAGGTAAATTAAATTACCTAGGTAATTAACATTAATTTTTAATTTAAAATTCGCATTATTGTTTGTTAGTGACAACATTATTGAGTTAAATTATTTAATGGCAAAATAATAATAAATGGCTATATGTAGATGCAAACAACTGCACTTTGACATTGTGAAGTCAAGAGTGCGATTCATTAATTTATCATAGTGCATTGTGTTATAAATTTACCATGGTAACAAACAAACAAAACCATTAATTATAGTTAATTTTTTGTTTGCTCTTTGACAAAAAATATAATTGTGGTTGTCTAGGTACTTATGACCAAGTTGTCATATTTTTAAACCATAACACTTTTTGAAAATATTTCTTGAAGAATTGGGAAATAATTATTTTTACATTTTTGATTTATTAATAGTTTTTATGTACTTTTTTGAATATCTTTCATAGTATATAAGAAAATTATTTTTTTTTTAAATTTTCTAAAAAGTTTTTCATTTCTTACTTGTTACGAGTTGCATAATTACTATTACTATTACTATAAGACAAATAGGTACTTAATATTTGTACATAGCGACATCTATACGAGAATAAAGTAACCATCCCAATAAACATACCTATTTGATACTTTAAAATATTAAAATTTGGTAGTAATTTTGATATAATTCGTCGACTGGTTTTTATTATATTATAGAGGATTAAAAATTGTCTTTTTTCAATACACTTGACTCCTAAAAATTCATTAATTTTGACGGGCTATAACTTAAAAACGATATAACAAAAATAAAAACATATTTAAATTCCTTGACGTTTTTTCTATATGACTGCATGTTTCAAAATTTTCTAGTAAAAATTGACCCCTTTTGTCCAAGGTCTATTTTTATTAGAGTAGTTAACAACAGTGCCCCTATTGTGGCCCATATCCAATTTTCTCCATTAACTAAATCAGTTCGGTACTTTGTATGCATGTCGTTAAATTGATTTTAATGTCTTTTAAGCTTAACTACACGAACACTATCGATTGATTGGATTTAATAGAGTCTAAACTACATGTTATTAGATTAAGAAGTGCTTAAAATGTTGCATCCGTCTCTTAAATTAAAGTAAACAACTCTGCCGTGCTTAATGAAAACGCCGTAACCAACAATTTTGCGATTTTTGTTTTACGGCATTTTCTACTAGAACAATTCATCCTGCGCCTATCCCCGGTACTCAAAAAACCGTATCTATATATATACGGTTTTTTTATTACCGGGGATAGACGCAGGATGAATTGTTCTAGTAGAAAATGCCGTAAAACAAAAATCGCAAAATTGTTGGTTACGGCGTTTTCATTAAGCACGGCAGAACTATACAGGGTGAGTTTTAAGTTGACGCGTTCCTTTTAACAGTGTGTAGAAATCAGCTAGACAAATAAATATTTTAAGTAACTTTTTTATCAAAACTCAAAAATAAAATAGTTATAGCCCATCAAAGTTTAATTAAATTTTAAGCCTGTCCTGGCTATTGTTAACGAAAAACATAACCATAAAAATATCAAAATAAACAATGCAAAATGTCATATTTGACAACAAACATAACCATTTAAATCAAATTGACATTTTGCAATAAAAAATGTCATTATTTACTTAAGTTGCAGCATTTGCATTTTGACGACACTCTCCATAAATTAGTAACATTTCCACTAATTCATTATTGCTATAATTATGAACCATTTTTAACAATAATTGAGGCACAAAAAAAACTGACATTTTTCATTGCTAAATGTCATTTTGATTTAAATGGTTATGTTTGTTGTCATTTGCATTGTTTATTTTGTTATTTTTATTTTTATGGTTATGTTTTTTGTTAACAATAGCCAGGACCGGCTCAAAATTTAATTAAACTTTTTTTTGAGTTTTGATAAAAAAGTTACTTAAAATACCTATTTATTTGTTTATATGATTTTTACACGCTGTTAAAAGGAACGCGTCAACTTAAAACTCACCCTGTATAACTTTTTTCTAAAGAATTGCGTCATCTCAATTCTAACCAAAAAGTATTCCAGTTTTTTTTATATTTGAGGTTATAATACATCACAAGATTAAATTAATTTAAAGGTTAAATCTTGTAGACCTGTCTGTGCAATAGGTCAAGTTTAATTTATAAATATTTTACATTTGACAAATCTAACCTCACTTCAGCCCGTGACTAAAATGCCATTTTAGCCACGGGCTAAGAAAGCTACTAATGGTTATTGTAATAATTAATATAGTAATGATATTTTATGATTTTTTTCTTTTTTCGGTAGAATGGTGTTAGAGCCAAAGTTCGTTGACTATGGGAGCATCCATCCGACAGCAGACGTGTCTCAGCTTCAACAGCATGCCTTACTGAGTCCGCGCTCAGTTTCAATCACACCGCTAAACGACGAGGAACCACCAAACACATCAGCCAGATCGATAATGACACAAGGTAAGACAAGACACACAAAAAAAAGTTAAAACTTATATCAATATTAATGGGGTAGTTAAATTTTTTCTGACCTATACTTTTTATGGTTTTATTCAAGGCGTTTTGTAATATTAAACATTTCTGTGAAATCAGAATTTCAATTGAGTTTACCGTTTTCGAGATATTTACAAAAAATATAAATTTTTATTACGTCACAAACCTCGCCATGTGACCAACATTTTAAGATTTCTATTGGTTGAAAATTACCCTGTTGTCAAGTTGTCTTGTTAATGATTTCAATCGGTTATGTCAGAAAATACCCGAAGAGGTTATGTACAAATACTGTCACTGTCAGTTGAGTGAAAGATGGTCACCAAATTCATTAAGTACCTATCTTCATTATTATGAGGTATCATATTACTGTTTGATATTTTAGAGTCCAAGATGTATCTAAAAGAATATAAAGAACTAGGCATTATACTAATGAAATGCATTTACGACAAAATATAATTATAATTATAGGTACTTACTTTATTTGTTTAAAAGCTCCAATGTTCAATGTAACCAACCATTCCACAAGATTCCTCTGCTTTGGAGTCCGTTATTAATAAATCACTTATCTAATATCAATTACAAATAACATAACAATAACATTGATTTTCAATAATCTAAATTAAAAAAAACATAACCCGAAAAAAAGAAACGTCAAAAAATCAATTCTTCTTCTTCTCAACTAAAATTATAGATCAAGTGGTTTTAAAACTAAAATATTATAACGTGGCGCCATCTATCGTAAGAATCTTAAACTAAACACACTGGCAACCATAGAAAAAGCTGGCAACGTTGTCAATAGCCTAGTGACGTAATTAGGAGATTTTTTTTGTAAATATCTCGAAAACGGTAAACTCAATTGAAATTCCGATTTCACAGAAATGTTTAAAATTACAAAACGCCTTGAATAAAACCATAAAAAGTATAGGCCAGAAAAAATTTAACTACCGTATTTGTTCATCCATTTACTGCCCCCAGTAAAAAAAAGCAGTTTTGATCAGAGGCACCATTAATAAGTTATTAATAAAATAAAGTAGCCAATCACAGGCGTACTCTAGCAGAATGATTAGAGGTGGGACAACACAAACTTTTGTAGAAATTCCATGGCTATAAACGCATTATATTGTGAAATGACCTTAATTTTATTTTTCACTGTCACTGTCAGTGTTTTGGTTTTTTAGGTTTAGGAGAAATGTTCATTTTTTTGTGTGGGACAGTTAGACCTTTTTTTTTTTGTTATTTTTGCGACTTAATAAATAATTTAAAATAATTATTTTATTAATATTAATAATAATTAATTTTAACATTATTATTTAATTAGAGATATTTGAATGCATATGTAATACTCACAATCCACACAACAAACCCTGTTTTATTTTTATGTCTATACAGATTAAAAATCGTTTTAAACGTTGCGTTTCTTACAGAGGCACTTGTAAGCCTCAAATGAGGCCTTTAAGTGCTAAGAACAACCATTTGAAACCTTATTCTATCAGGGCTGTCATCAAACTATCAAATTTAAATTTGCGGGTTATGGTAAATTAACCTTAAAATTGAAATTTGACAGTTTAATGACAGCCCTGATGGAATAAGGTTTATTTTTACCAAAAGAGGAGTGAAACGGTTGTTCTTAGCACTTTTAGGCTTACAAGCGCCTCTGTAAGAAAAACAACGTTTAAAACGATTATTAATCTGTATTAGGGACACCAATTTTCCCTAAAAAAAGAATGTCTCAAGTTAAAACTAACCTAAAAATTTTATATAGAATTTCTAATATTAACATTATAGTTTTCCACCTCTAATCATTCTGCTAAAACACGCCTGCGATTGGCTACTTTATTTTATTAATAACTAATTATATATTAATATCGGCAAAGACTATTCGACGGTGATATTGAAACACCCTGTATATATCAAAAACCTACATAATATGTGGTATTTGATAACAGTAAATTTGTCTGAGTAAACCCTAAAATTAATCAGTTTTTAGGAATTATAACATACTTAAATTATTTATTTTTATTTATCAATATAAGGAATTTTAACAACTACTTATCAAAGTTGCCGCTATGTTTGAACTTATTATTAAGCTTAAAGAATTTTGTCTACCTAATTAATATAATGATTAATCTATGACTTACGCGTTAGGCTCAATTTCCCCTTGCTATTTTTAGCGATAAAAAAAATTAAGTGTTAAAATTACAATACACATACTTGAAAATTAAAATTATCTAACGCAGGATTAGCGAGATAAGAATAAAAAACGATAGTTATTCCCAATACATGCTAGTCATTATTTATCATTTTAACTTATGTTTTCTTCCTCTGATTATGCCGAAATGATGATTATAAAGGTATAAAGATAAAAAAAAATATGCATTAGACGTTTTTTATATTTTTTGTGATACGCCACTGGTTACACACGTGTGTTCTGTGAGTACATAGATACCAACCAACAAAGTAGCTGCGCGTTGCCAGTTGTAAAAAATTGTTACTAAAAATTTTTCTTGCAAAAAATAAATAAAAACTCAATAAATACAAAAGTTTTATCCCCTTAAAGCTCTAATACCCTTCTGTATTTATTTACTCATCCAGCTATTAGCTTAAGAAATGATTAGAAAATTTAGTACCTATTTTAAAAACTCCATAACCACAAAATTAATTTTTTCATCGGTTTTTTCTTTCTGTTTACTCAGATGAAATTAGGGCAAGTTCACAGGTTAAACTTTAAACATTAAATTTGTGTAAATAAATCCAAAAGCACTTCCCTTGGTTAAGATTTTCACAATTTGAGCACATAACCTAAAATTTGAAAAAAATGCACAGGATTCTGTCATAAAAGTTGCCAGATTTTGTTTGAATTTACCTCCATTACAAAAATGACATAATCAACAATTAATAAAACCCCAAATTAACAATAGTCGTTTTTTTCGCGTAAATACCATGAAATACTATGGTTATTAAACTTAACCTTGGTTAAAAGTTAAGGCATTTTTCGAATCCTAACTATGACGTCACAAATACCAGACCATATCGCTGAGCTAGTTATTCAACGTGGTTTTAATATATATTTTTCTCTGTTACGATCTGTCAAAAAGTTGTTTACATTTAACGTCAAAAAGTAATTAAAAAAAATTTAAGTAAAATTTTAAGAGCAAAATAAAAAAAAATTGACGGTTTGAATTGTTTTAATTGGCTGTTTATTAAAAATATTATGCACTCTTTCAATTATCCAATTAAAACTAGCGATTTAATTTAAATATTTAATATTTGCATAACTAAAAAAAAGGTTTTTACAATTTTTTTTATATATTTTACTGTTTTGTTGCATTAAGCGTTTAAACTTTTAATCTAACCTTTGACGTATATAGTAAATTTAAAAGTAAACTACGTACACGTCATCAATCAGCTGATCGGGCACGGTTGTCAATGTGATGCTAAAATCCTTGCATCAAGGGAAAGTGGTAGTGCAACTACAGGGCGATAGATGGCGTTTACATGAATAATACCAAAATGTCAAAAGTCAGAGTTTTTATAACCTATATGATGCACCGCCAAAAGTATGTTTTTAGCACAGACCTTGTAGGTCTGTGGTTTTTAGCCGTTTTTAAAGACATTTTCTAAAATAAAACCCAAAAATTTTGCCATTTAAAGTCAGTCTCTGGTATATATATTATTATTTTATGTATCCAACATATATATTGTTCAATATTCTAATATATAATTAATAATAATCCTATTTACCTCTCTAACAGCTGTTAAAGGTAACAAAGGTCCATTATTATCCCGTTCTGCCTCAAAATAGCGTATTAAGGATGACACCAACTCTTGACTCCGACTATTTAAATGCTTCGGCATTTTAAATATAGGAAACACAAAAAAACGATATATAACAAACACAAAAACGGCAATGAAAACTTAAACGATATAAAATAACACAAACAACAAACAAAATAAACGAAATAATACACGAATTAAACGAAATATTCAAAAACACAACTGACAGCTTCGAAATTCTAAAACGTCAAATTCTTTTTTATGTGTCATTTAAATATGAAATATTTGAATGTAAATATGACAACATCTTAATTGTTGCCAACTGAAGATGTTTAAAATGCATTCAAATATTCAATTACAGACTTCGATTTAGTCATTTAGTGTTGGTACCAATTCGTAAAATTTTTGTTTTATTGATGACGTGTACGTAGTTTACTTTTAAATTTACTATAGGTACAATTGCTCTTAAACCGAATTTAAACTTTGTATGAAAATGGTAAACGGGGTGTTGTCAGTGAAAATAAATGATAGGGTGCTCCATATTGTGGAATCTCCACAAGAATTGGAGGAATTATATGCAGGTTTGTTTTATATTCTTCCTTATTTTGTATTAAACATGTAGGAGAATTGGATAACGTGTATTGAAAAAAACTAGTATAGAAAAAGAATATACTAGGTATAAGAAGAGGCTAAGAAATTTATATACACGGGTAAAAGCATAGAAATTAAATATAAATAGGTAAAAAACACATTTCAAAAATTATAGGTTATGAACAAGTAAACAAATCGTCACCTGAGAATTATAGTGTTCTATCTGCATTTTCTTTTTTTTATTCAGGTTAGTCTTGTTTTAAGTATTAAAGATGCATATTGTTCTATCTATATATAATTGGGGTAGAAATTGTACAGTTTAAGCCTTAAACTTTACAATTTCTACCCCAATTATATATAGATAGATCAATATCATCTTTAAGACTTAAAACAAGACTAACCTGAATAAAAAAAAGAAAATGTAGATAGAACACTATAATTCTCAGGTGACGAAATGTCAAATGTAAGAAACCTAACCATGGTTATATGAATTAACTGTGACGTCATGACTTATTTAACCGTAGTATTACATAGTATTTACGCGAAAAAACGGCTAATTTGCAAGCTAAATTTAAACAAAATCTGGCAACTTTTTTCAAATTTTCTAATAAACAAGGCAGTAATTCAAAAAATGTGACTTGGATTTTCCTTGTAAGCCTACGATATAATAATTATAATATAGGTACACCATATAAGTGTAAGATTAGATAAGACAAATATAACCTTTGAGAGGCCTAATTATGTTATAATAATGTTTAACAGATTGCAATCGTGCATTTTAACTTTAAAAGGTAGTTGTGTGCTAGACGTCTTGTCTTGTGGGTCCTAGTAGGTACCAAAGTAGTTCAAAAATCGCATAGTAGTTCCAAAATCACCTCGAGCAGTAGCTCAAATCGCGCCAGCATCCGTCAAGATGAGTTTTTTCGCTTGGAATCGCAAAAGCAAAGCGGACCTGTTTTTCGGTTCGCTGGGCGGTCTGAAGGGCAGCGGTAACAGCATTCTGGTGGTTCTAGGCGACCTGTACCAGCGCCAGCCGCTCCTGGCCGCCAACAACAAGGGCGAAACTTGGGGCCACCACCACCACAATCACCACCACGACGGTCTCAACTCTTCTGGCGCCGAGTACGAGTATGACGAGGAAGATGCGCCCACAGACGGGAACGTCATCAAGATCGACATGCCTGCGCCCGTTAGAGAGGAGCCGAAGTTTCCGCAGGAAAGATGGAAAACGGGATTGGGTAAGATTATAGATGAGTCAATCCAAATGAAAACACCAAAAATGAATTTAAAAGTGCGCTGCATGATTTTTTATTTTAATGAAAAAATTTGAGGATGATTTCTGAGGGCAAAATTGGCTAATTTTGAAAATTATCAAGTTTCAATAATTTTTTTAATAAAGAAATCGATAGTCTAGAAACTTAATATAATAGTTACGTTTCCTATTGTAAGTACTTGATACCTGAAAAAAATCAACTTTCTAGATTTAGCAGATTAGGCACAGGAGCCAGACAAAAATCACAAAAATTGGCAAATTATTACAAATCTTTAGTGGTTTACCATTATTTTAGGAGATGAACTAATTAGATAATAATAATTAAAATTGAAAACATACTTACTAGGCAGTAAAATAAAATTACAATGATTTCAATAATTGCCACAGAAAAAAAGTTTTAGCCTCTTGTAAGAGAGTAAGAAAATGACACGATTTCAGGTTTCTAAAGGGTGCCGATTAAAAATAAAGCAACTAAAAATTAAAACGGCAACGGTTTTTCATATAAACTGCGCACCACTCAATGTGTCGCGACCAAAAAGTTCGTTCTTTTTCAAAACGACATAACTTTTTTGTTTCTTGGACGATTTTATTTTGGGTCTATGATGCCTCCTAGCCCTGTCCTCGGGCAATTCTTGATATAGATATGAAGCTCAAGGTTCTTCAAGTAAATTTTCTACAGGGTGATATGTTAAACGGTGAAAAATTTCAATAACTTCATCCAAGCCCCGTTGGTAAAAGAATAATTTTTTTCTCGTTTTTACTTTGAAATAATGAAGTATTATGTCTTACCCTGAAACGTTTTTCAAATTTTTCGAATTGGAATCTTAGCAACGAAAATTATGATTTTTTTTCCAAAAAAGTACATTTAAGTACAATTAGGTAGGTACTTATCAGTGATAAGTTATCACTAGTGCGCAATGTAAATGTAAGTTATGTAACATTACTCTAACCACTCCAATCAAATTTCAGTAATTTCGCCTAAAAAATTAATCCCCAAATGGCATTTTAATCATAAATATGCAAGAAACACGACAGCAATAGGATTTTATTAAGACATTTAACAGCCGGGAATTGTTTTCGAATTTTGATTCTTGATGATTTTGGTTTTATCTGAAACTTAAATTTGACAACTGAATCACAATCAGAGTTCAAAATTATAAAGAAAATATGTCACGATCGTAAATATCGGTTCAGGTTTAGTTTTCGCAAATTTTCACCAAAATGTCATTTGAAAAAGTGGTCGTTGCTTAGGTCCCTCTGAAAATAATGGAAATTTGTTGCTTGTCGCTTGTTCAGAATTATTCAAGGAACAATCTTTCACCATATTATCTTCTTCTTCTTAAAAATACTGAGTGTACTGTCTACCAAAAAGCCTTAAATCTACTCTTTTGAAAAAAAAATCATATTTTCGTTGCTAAGATTCCAATTCGAAAAATTTGAAAACCGTTTCAAGGTAAGACATAATACTTTATTATTTTAATTTTAAAGTAAAAACGAGAAAAATATTTCTTTTTTTAAACGGGGCTTCGATGAAGTTATTGAAATTTTTCACCCTTTAACATATCACCCTGTAGAAAATTTACTTAAAGAACCGTGAGCTTCATATCCATAGCATGAATTGCCAGAGGGTGGGGCTAGCAGACTTCACAGACTAAAATAAAATCGTTTAAGAAACAAAAAAGTTATGTCGTTTTGAAAAAGGACGAACTTTTTGGTCGCGACACATTGAGTGGTGCGCAGTTTATATGAAAAACCGTCATTTTCTTACTCTCTTACAAGAGGCTAAAACTTTTTTTCTGTGGCAATTATTGAAATCATTGTAATTTTATTTTACTGCCTAGTAAGTATGTTTTCAATATTAATTATTATTATCTAATTACTTCATCTCATAAAAGAATGGAAAACCACTAAAGATTTGTAATAATTTGCCAATTTTTGTGATTTTTGTCTGGCTCCTGTGCCTAATCTGCTAAATCTAGAAAGTTGATTTTTTTCAGGTATCAAGTACTTACAATAGGAAACGTAACTATTATTTTAAGTTTCTAGACTATCGTTTTCTTTATTAAAAAAATTATTGAAACTTGATAATTTTTAAAATTAGCCAATTTTGCCCTCAGAAATCATCCTCAAATTTTTTCATTAAAATAAAAAATCATGCAGCGCACTTTTAAATTCATTTTTGGTGTTTTCATTTGGATTGACTATAGTAAATAAATCTACAGATAATAATTCTCCAGATTTTTTCTCACTCCCTTGTAAATTTCCATGTTTCGAACTCGCCTTCGCGCAACATCTCATTTGTTTTTCTTCCTTTCCGGTCCAGCTTCGATAATAATGTTCTGCAGCTTCGTGTGCACTTTGGTCTCCTTAAGCATGGTGCACGAGCGGGTGCCAGACCGAAAAACTTACGGCCCCCTGCCCGATGTGTTCTTAGATAATGTACCTGCGATTGACTGGGCCTTGGACGTTTCCGAGTACATCATCATAGTGTGCGTCAACACGTCCATGATCGCCATGGTCTTTCACAAACATAGGTAAGTCTGTCTCTACCTCTCTTTTAGAAAACACTCGGTATACCAGCGAAATACCTCAACTGAAAGCAGAGCTGGGAAAGTGACCTCTGGTAACTACACTCACAGGCAAAATAATCGATCCACACTAATTTTCGATGAATTTCAATCGCAAATAACTTTTTTATTTGATGTCGGATTTAAACGAATATTAAAGAATATTGTAGATAAATTAATGGACAATCGCTCACATTTTAAAAAATTACTAAAAAATACACGTACGTTTATAATATACAGGTTTAAACAAAAAGATGTTTTTACCATAAGTTTAAGACACTCTAGAGATCTGTAGAGTGGCAAAACCGTATATTGTTCTAAATTAAGTTTTATTTATCAAGTCACTCTATTCTTAACAGTTTTGTTTTTGGTTCGCCTCGATATATTTATTTTTGTGGAAATATGGATTTTTAAAAAAAACATTGCAATTTCCAATATTTTTCTGTATGAAGAACTAAAGTTGCTATGGTCCATTCATAGGCTATGGAGAATGACAGTGACAGTTTTGTTGAATCATCCCATACTTGGACATGTCATACACGGCTTTCAAAAGCTCTCAAATTGTTTTTTGCAAATTAATGTTTAAATTTTGAGGTGTCTTCTTACTTTAAAAAATGAATATGTCTCCGACTGATGTTGCCAGAGCCATTAATTTAATCCAGGATGGACGGTCACAGTATTACGTGGCAAGTGTTTTAAACGTCACAAGAAGTAAAGTATAAAGGGCAACAACATCAGTCGGAGACATTTTTAAAAGTAAGAAAACACCTCAAAATTAACACATTAATTTACAAAAAAAAAAAATTGATAGCTTTTGAAAGCTGTATATGACATGTCCAAGTATGGGATGATTCAACAAAACTGTCACTGTCATCCTCCATAGGCTATGGATGGACCATAGCAACCTTAGTTCTTCATACAGGAAAATATTGGAAAATGCAATGTTTTTTTTTAAATCCATATTTTCCACAAAAATAAATCTGCTAAACAAAACTGCTAAAAAAATATGTGACTTGATAATTAAAACTTAATTTAGAACAATATACGGTTTTGCCACTCTACAGAGTGTCTTAAACTTATGGTAAAAAACATCTTTTTGTTTAAACCTGTATATTATAAACGTACGTGTATTTTTTAGAAATTTTTAAAATGTGAGCGATTCTCCATTAATGTATCTACAAAATTCTTTAGTATTCGTTTAAATCCGACATCAAATAAAAAAGTTATTTGCGATTGAAATTCATCGAAAATTTGTGTGGATCGATTATTTTGCCTGTGAGTGTATCTAAGTTACTTTCAAGTATCTTTTTTTTCAAGATACTCTGAAAGTATAACTTTTTTTCAAGAAATTGTCGAAATCGGATGTCATCTAGCGACTTTGTTGCACGCATTTATTAAAGTGCATAAATCATTTTTTATTTCTATAAATGGTTCAGAAAAAAATGCACATTTCATTAAACATTTTCTATTAATAGAATCCATTTAATCATGTATATTCAAAAATCTGAAAACAACAAACTTGCTTGCTTGTTTTTTTTTTAATTGCGTTTAATTTTGTACAAACAAACCGCGTACAGTCGTGGACGAAAGTTATTAATAATTTACGTTGGCGATCGATTAAAATAATAAAAAGCACTTTTGATTTTACGCTTTAAAGTAATTTTAGTCAAGTTTTGGTTTAAAGTGAATTTCACACTTTTTAGATTTGTTTGAAGTAAAACTTTTTACATAATATTATTTTTTGTGTTTTAAAATTTGATTAAATTAATACATAGTGCTTCTTAAAATTTTTAAAATCTTGTTTTGTCGTTTTCGCAATTTTAATAAAATAACAAAGTTTGCAAAAACTATGTATTTATTTATATAAAAAATAAAAAACAAATTTTCAACAGTATAATAGTATATTATTATACAAGAGACTTAAATCATACGAATGAATAATGCGCAAAATCTCGAGTTTTATCTACTCCAATAAGAAGATAATAAAATGATTTTCAAAAATAAATAAATAAAATTTGACATCTGTCAAATGGTTGTCCCAATTTAAAATTGTTTCAAATCACAGTGAATATTGAAATCAGCCAATCACTGATGCATAACAACGTGATTAATGAGTTCATTATTCCCGTTGTTAGGGAATTTATAATGTTCATCATTATTCACGGAAAAGAACAATAGTATGTGATAGTAGTAGATAAAAGTATGGTTGGTTGGTTGATACATGTATTTTGGACATTTCAAAGAGTAGCGCAATTTTTGAGCATTTTTAACCCTTTTTAATATTTTGCGCTGAAAAATCGCTTCTTAAAATTTTTGAATGGAATTCAGACACCAAAGCCTGTAAAAAAATTTACATTAATTACAAAAATAGCAAATTGTAAATTTGACGTTATTTGAATAACTTTTGAAGAATTAAATTTAGGCAAAAATGTTAAGAGACCTTTTTTGTAGAATATTAAATTTCCTTTAAGAATCCTACGTGAGCTTTTTTAAATATTCATTGATTCATTAGTTACAAAATTTCAAAGTAAAAAGGGCAAATCGAAAAACACATCGATTTATTAAGCTCAATTACTCGGAAACGGCTCGACTGACGAAAATTTTCAATCAGACCCTTTTTGTAGAGAATTTAATTTTATATAAAAATAAGTGAAAAGGATTTTTTTTCACTTTAATGTTTTGACAGTTCTAACGTAAAACATCAAATTATGACTAAAAATCAAAAATAGTCAATTTTTTTGGCCCAGTCTAGTGCATACAACTTAAAAACCAACAATCCTAGGTTAAAATGACGCCGAAACCTTATTGTTTGCAGGTTTATAGTGTTTAGAAGGATATTCCTGATAATGTCGCTGCTGTACGTGTACAGGGCGATCACGATGTACGTTACGGTACTACCCATAGCGAGCAAAACGTACCCGTGCTCGCCCAAGCTGAACGAGACGTCGCCGTTGATAATCGCCAAGCGCGTAGTCAAGCTCATGTCCGGATTCGGACTGTCCGTCAACGGACAGCACACCTACTGCGGCGATTTCATCTACAGCGGGCACACGGTCATACTGACCTTCAGCTATCTCATCGTCGCGGAATGTGAGTACAAGCGATTTTTAGTTTTTTTCTAACCTGTTATTTTTTCATCCCTCGATCGTACCAAAAATGAGTTTTAAAGTCCACAATGCGCTAAAGAAGTATCGCTAGTAGCGCCACCACTCGGCTGTTATCATCGTACAACTTTTGATAATCAGCTGTATGATACAAACTAGTGATTTTGAGAATAAAGCCGGAAAATGTTAAAAAATATTTGTTGTGTTGTTGGGTGTATTTCGAGAGGAAATCCTGGGTTGAGTTTTTATCGGTTTTCCAATAAACAGTGTTAATCCGAATGAAGAAATAAATTTCATACAGTCCCTGTAAATATAAATTGTATTTATTAGATACAATAAATAAACATTTTTAGAAATGATTAACGTGAAAAGTGAAAACATTTCAATTCAGTAATAATCGTCAAACAAATAAGTCGTCTAAATTTAAACAGCATTTAGCATTATTAAAAGCGATGATTAAGAAAGTCTCCACTCAACGGTAAAATACCATTACATTATGTATTATATATAATATTATGTTGCCATGAATTCGTAGGTATATTTTTGTTTAAAATGCAGTTGTCGGCGTTTTTTAGAGAACTCAAAAATAAAAATGGTTGTTTTTAAGGTTATGTTTGTGAAAAAAATATTTTTTACTAATTTCTTAAAAATGTCCAAACTTAAATATAAATTATATTAGGTAAAGTTCTCATTAGTTAATTCTACACCAACAAATTTACTTACCGAATTGGATCCTTTGGCAAAACATGAAAATGCAACGATTTAGTTCTTGAATTTTATTTACAATTAAAAGCACAATAATTCACCATGATCCCTTAGATAAAATACACACACTAACGTAACTAAATAAGCATTTAAGCGTTGAGTTTCTTAATCAATGATATAAAGAATAATCAATCGAAATCGAGTACTAAACCAGTTTTTTAGTTTTTTCCTTGCAACGTAAAACACAAATAACGTGCGCGATTTAGCTGTGCAATTGATCAAAATTTTTCGAGTAAGACTCTTTTGTGAAAAAACTACCTATTTATTTAAAAATGATGTACAGTTCGTATGCTTTAAATGTATTGTTGACAATTCTTAAATTCACGCAATGCTTTTGAAGTCCACCAGATGGCGTGCGCGTTGCCAAAACCCGATAGTTCTTTAGCGGATAGTAACAAATATATTTTTTTTTTCAAATTTATTTACTAAAAATATAACATTATATTGATAAAAAACATTTGATGCATGGTAAGCGATATTTTTGCAAAAAAAAACGTTTTTTTTAGATACTCCGAAAAAATGGTATCTAGCCCATTGGATCTACTGGTTGTTGGGTGTCATAGGTGTGATAATGTTGGAATTGTCCCATGGACATTACAGTGTCGATGTAATAATAGCTTATTACATTACAACAAGGATATTCTGGACCTATCATACTCTAGCCAACAATGCTAGCTTAAAAGTAAGTACCTAAATAATAATAATTAGTTTGGAAATTTCCTCATTCCAGTTTCAATGTTTTTCACTTTTTCTCAATTAATGGGGTAGTTAAATTTTTTCTGACCTATACTTTTTATGGTTTTATTCAAGGCGTTTTGTAATATTAAACATTTCTGTGAAATCAGAATTTCAATTGAGTTTACCGTTTTCGAGATATTTACAAAAAATATAAATTTTTATGACGTCACAAACCTCGCCATGTGACCAACATTCTAAGATTTCTATTGGTTGAAAATTACCCTGTTGTCAAGTTGTCTTGTTAATGATTTCATTCGGTTATGTCAGAAAATACCCGAAGAGGTTATGTACAAATACTGTCACTGTCAGTTGAGTGAAAGATGGTCACCAAATTCATTAAGTACCTATCTTCCTTATTACGAGGTATCATATTACTGTTTGATATTTTAGAGTCCAAGATATATCTAAAAAAAAAATAAAGAACTAGGCATTATACTAATGAAATGCATTTACGACAAAATATGATTATAATTATAGGTACTTACTTTATTTGTTTAAAAGCTCCAATGTTCAATGTAACCAACCATTCCACAAGATTCCTCTGCTTTGGAGTCCGTTATTAATAAATCACTTATCTAATATCAATTACAAATAACATAACAATAACATTGATTTTCAATAATCTAAATTTAAAAAAAACATAACCCGAAAAAAAGAAACGTCAAAAAATCAATTCTTCTTCTTCTTCTCAACTAAAATTATAGATCAAGTGGTTTTAAAACTAAAATATTATAACGTGGCGCCATCTATCGTAAGAATCTTAAACTAAACACACTGGCAACCATAGAAAACGTTGTCAATAGCCTAGTTACGTAATTAGGAGATTTTTTGAATAAAATACTTGGTTTTATTTTTTAAATTTATTTATTTATTTTTTAAATTTTAATTGAAGTAGGTGCTCAAAACAACAATATTAAATATTTAACCGATGTTTTTTTTCCAGCAATACTCGCCCAACAACCACATAGGACGCGAGTGGTGGTTCTGTGCGTTTATGTACTTTGAAAAAAATGTGGGGGGGCCTTTGCCCCGGCAATTTGATTGGCCGTTGCCTTGGCCTCGTAGGTTTCACTCGAAAAGCCGGGCCAGTTAGTGCAGTGCGTTGTTTTGCGTTTGAAAGAACTCTATGAAATTTATTTCGTCAAAATTAACGCACAATAAGTAAAAATATTACAACTCCAAAACGCCTCCACCAATCTTCATGAAATTTTGTATGAAAGTACTTCGTATTCTTGTTTGTATACCCTGAAAATTTTGTACAAATCAAACGAACAGTAACGAAGATACAGCGCTTCAAAGTCGGTAAAAATTTTGGTCATTTGAAGCGCTGTATTCTCCTTACTTTTCATTTGATTTGTACCACATTTTCAGGGTATACTAACAAAAAAATCTTTTATAATAATAAAGGCAGTTTAGAGTTGAACTTTTTTTACTCGTTATGCGTTAATTTTCACTCGCAACGTATATATTTGTGATAAAAGAATATTGTGTAGCGCCTTATCTGACTAAATTTTGCTCTTTAAATGTCTTCAATATCATACCAAAGGAGTATGTCGAGAACCAGTCGGATATACAGGGTGTGTGAAGTTTGTGTGGTCCACCCTTTAAATGTAAGTTTTACGGTTTTGGTATCATATTAAAGACGATATATTTATGTAAATATATATACAACAAAGTTATCCGAAACGGAATCTCTGTTTCTCAAAAACTCTTATTAATTTTTTATATAAATATTTTATTACTGTTTTAAAGTATAGTTGGACATAAAGTAAAAGGGATAAGACTACTTTTATAAACAGAAAACTAGATCTGATTGATATATGTATATATAAGGATAATTTATTTATTTTAATTTTGCATTCAGTCGAAATTGTGCCAATATTGTATAAAATATCAAAATTCAGAGTTATATCATTTTAGAATTACAAGAAAAAAATTGTTCGCTTCATAAGCACAGTTTTGTATTTTTATATGTAACTAGGCAAAATAAACCTATTCATTTTTACCGAACTTAACCAAAACGAAAATATGCACGTGTTTTAATGTACACTTTTTACCTTGTGTGAGTTTATCGCATTCCATACAAATGTTTACATTGTATTTGTCGAATTTAAACACAAACACTACTAAAATAGGAAAAACGAACATGGGATAATCTTTTGTTAAACATAAAAAAATCAAAGGGGTGTTTCTTAAAATTTTCGACTTTGCTTTCTATAAAAATTAAGGGAAACATTTAAATTTAATTTTTGCGTGTAATTTTGAGATTTTTATAATAAATTTGTGATACAAATCCTAAACAAAGAAATTTTGTTGATAAAACAAAGAAGAAAAAATCATTTTACATTTCTCAGAAAATTTCGAGAATCATGGAAAAAATTCGTAAAAAAAGCGTTTGTATTTTATGTATAATCAATAAATAGGTATTGAAAATTTATAAATTTTGAAAATTCCTAAATTTTTCAAAATCTATAAATTTTTTAAATTTTCCAAAATTTTTTATATTTTAAAATTTCCGTTATAGTTAATACTTGAAGAGAGGAAAAGTTTTTTTATTAATTTCATAGGGAAGCTCAAATTTTTTTAGGGATTTTTTTTCATCAGTTTAAAAACTAATACAACCCTATTAAAGATACTGCATGATAAATTACGTTATACTGCCTAAATAGGACGAAATTTAAAAAAAATAAGTTTGATTTTTTATGTTTAACATTAAAGCTCTCATCAAGTTGGTTATTTACGGCAGATTATACAAGGTGGAATAAAAATAACTGCCAGTTTAAAGAAAATTAACTATATTATTTTAAACATTTAAAAAACCCCTCTTACTTTTAATCAATATATTTATTATTATTTTGAGTGTAATACTATGCTTTTTCTACTCCAATTAAGCATTTATAATTAACCTCACTTTCTCTCAATTTATATCGTCCCCCCGTATATATAAAAAAAACCGATTGGTCCAAATCACAGTGAATAATGAAATCGGCCTATTACAGCGTGAATAATGAGCTTATTATTCCCGTTGTTAATAGTATCCAATGGAAGTGAAAAAAGGCGTTTTTTTAATGTTTTAAATAGTATAAGTAACATTTTTTTAATCGCTCTCCTGAAAATTTCTTAAAAACTAGATACGCCTTTACGTGTTTTCATCGTCTAAATAGCATTAAAATAAATTAAACTAAAACATCTATTCTGAAAATACTGTTTTTCGAAAAATAATTCCATTTATTGTTACCTACCTGATGAACCTTAAAGACATTGTATGATATGCAACCCATTCAGATTCTATTGTATAAAGTTTATGTATTATAAATGTGGCTTTAAAATTTTTTCAAGATTGTGACACAATTTTTTTTTAATATTATGGGTTTTTGCTTTGACATTAACATCGTTGAATTTTATTTTTTTATATAGTTACTACTAGGAATTTTGTTTTGGGTATGCCAAGTTTTTGTACTGAATATAATTATGTTATCTTAACTTTGTATTGAAGTTTAATTCTTACTGAATGAAGTATTGAATTTATTGAAGATTAATATATAATGTATTCTCAATTTAATGCATATTAAAAAAGGAATTGCTTCTCATTTGTGATAGAAGTTTTTTAACTTCGATATTTCATTAACGTCAAATCTAAAAGTATAAAAACAAATAAAAAAGATTTTAAGCTTCTGTAGTGTGTGGATGTAAACTTTCAATGTCAGATTATCACATCTTGCCTATATTTAAGTGTATTAAAATGATAATTGCATTATTTGAATTTTTATATTTGTAAACTGTTGATATTTTCAATAATTAAAAAAAGATTACTAAAAACTGTTGTTTGTCACATTCGTGAAATAGTTACAGATATTTACCAATGTTGTTTTCATATACATTGTTAATAAAGAGATATTTTGCATAAACAGACTTTTATTTCCCAAACATTTAAAAAAATTAACATGGTAAAATTTTTAAACATTTGTTGCTCTTTAAAAATTTAGAAGTCATTAACGAATATTTCGACAATCATGGAAAAAATATATTCTTTGACAAAAAGCTCTTAAGCCCCTGGTTGCATAAAAAATTCTAATACAACCCTATTAAGGACATACTGTATTATAAATTACGTTATACTGCATAAAAAGGACGAAATTAAAAAAAAATGAGTTTGATTTTTTATGTTTAACATTAAAAGCTCTCATAAAATTGGTTATTTACGGCAGAATATACAGGGTGGAATAAAAATAACTACCTACCAATTTAAAGAAAATTAACTATATTGTTTTAAACATTTAAAAAACCCCTCTTACTTTTAATCAATATATTTATTAATATTTTGAGTGTAATACTATGCTTTATCTACTCCAGTTAAGCATTTATAATTAACCTCACTTTCTCTCAATTTATATCGTCCCCCCGTATATATAAAAAAACCGATTGGTCCAAATCACAGTGAATAATGAAATCGGCCTATTACAGCGTGAATAATGAGCTCATTATTCCCGTTGTTAATAGTATCCAATGGAAGTGAAAAAAGGCGTTTTTTAAATGTTTTAAATAGTATAAGTAATATTTTTTAATCGCTCTCCTGAAAATTTCTTAAAAACTAGATACGCCTTTACGTGTTTTCAACGTCTAAATAGCATTAAAATAAATGAAACTAAAACATCTATTCTGAAAGTACTGTTTTTCGAAAAATAATTCCATTTATTGTTACCTACCTGATGAACCTTAAAGACATTGTATGATGTGCAACCCATTCAGATTCTATTGTATAAAGTTTATGTATTATAAATGTGGCTTTAAAATTTTTTCAAGATTGTGACACAATTTTTTTTAATATTATGGGTTTTTGCTTTGACATTAACATCATTGAATTTTATTTTTTTATATAGTTACTACTAGGAATTTTGTTTTGGGTATGCCAAGTTTTTGTACTGAATATAATTATGTTATGTATTGAAGTTTAATTCTTACTGAAGTATTGAATTTATTGAACATTAATATATAATGTATTCTCAATTTAATGCATATTAAAAAAGGAATTGCTTCTCATTTGTGATAGAAGTTTTTTAACTTCGATATTTCATTAACATCAAAGTATAAAAACAAATAAAAAAGATTTTAAGCTTCTGTAGTGTGTGGATGTAAACTTTCAATGTCAGATTATCACATCTTGCCTATATTTAAGTGTATTAAAATGATAATTGCATTATTTGAATTTTTATATTTGTAAACTGTTGATATTTTCAATAATTAAAAAGAAGATTACTAAAAACTGTTGTTTGTCACATTCGTGAAATAGTTACAGATATTTACCAATGTTGTTTTCATATACATTGTTAATAAAGAGATATTTTGCATAAACAGACTTGTATTTCCCAAACTGTTAAAAAAATTAACATGGTAATATTCAAATATTAAACTGAACCTGGTTTAAGAAGAGAAAAGCTTACCCCAACTTTGCGAGTACCTACGGTAGGTATTGAGATTTCTGGAGAAATATTTTGTGTATAGGCAACTCACATAACGTATGTAACATTTGGTTATAGTTATAGTGGTTTTTCTCTAATCTATGTTCTAATTTAAATTTAAATAAAAGAAGGATTTTTATGTTAATTATGAATAAATGCTTTATTTTATTTGTTCATAACTTTTAAAATCCATTTTTTTCGAAAAGACCTTTTTTCCGCGTCGTACTACTGGCATTTTAAACGTAAAAATTGGAAATTTTGCGTGGTAAATTTTTCAAAAAATTTTAAAAAATTATATTAATTACATGACACCCTGTAATATATAATATAAAGTACGTTTTAATAAAAAAAACTTCAGAACACCTAAAAACACCAGAATTTTTTCTTGTCCGCTGATGAAATAAAAAAGCAATATTATTTAAATATTTATTTACAAAAAGATAAATAAAGGAAAAAATGTTAAAAAATAAAGTATTTTACAAATTTATAGGTGAGCCACATATACAAAATTAAAACTTACTGAATTTAGGTATTTATAAAATAATTTATTGTATTTACAGTATAAATATGTAAAATCCTGGGACAAATAAAAAAAGCAAAATAATTTAAATAACTAGGGGGGAGGCAATGCTATGCAATATTAATGTTATATTTTTTTGAATTAATTTTGTTCATCAGTAAGTGTTGGGCTTAACTGCCCATCACCAATAGAACCATTGCCATTGACAACAGGACTACCAACTGAGTTAGTTGTTGGGGTTAAATTTTTATTTCTCAATTCAAAGACCTGCTGAATTGCTTCTCTAAAGCACAAGAAGTTGTAGTCTATTATACCTGAAAATATTAATATAAAAAAATTCGTTTTTTATTGTATGTGTGGTCAAAGGTAGTATCTGAAGATAACCTTAAACCTAGAGATGTAAAATAACGGGTTTTTTCAGATTTGAAAAAAAAAACATGAAACATGAAACTGGAAAAGCATATTCTGTCAATAAATAACATCAATCTTAAAAAATGTAGTATTTTTTCAATATGAACTTTTGAGCAAAATGTATATTAATAATAAAGTGAAGTTTTTTTAATTATTAAAAATTTTGACAACCGAAACCAAAATTTCGGAAATCCAGGACAAAATAAAGACTTTCAATCACTCTTGTGAGATGAATAAAAAAAAATTAGGCGAGTACAAAAATCGATGCTAAGAATTAACTAAGAAGAAAGAAAAAAAACATGGAAGAGCAAATGATTTTGCAACAAGACCTTCAAGAAGGTCGACACCTTGAAGAAAAAAAAGCTGAAAATGAAACAAATCTAAATAACGCTAACATTTGTATAGAGGAGTTGGAAGCAAGAGAAAAAAAACTAAAGGGCGAATATGACGCTGCCTATTGTGAGAAAGAGGCAACAGTAAGAAATAATAAACAGATTGCAAAAGAGGAAAACGACAAAGTGAACCAAAGTAAACAAAAAATCGAAGACCTCGAGAAACTTCAAGATGAAATAGATAATTATTGTTTAAGAAATAATGAGGACCGATTAAAAAAGGAGAACGAGAAATTAGACAGATTACAAGTTGAAGAGCAAGAGTTAAATGAAAAAAAAATGAATTATCAACCAATGAAACAAATACAATAAAGGATTTGGCCAAACGGAAAATTACCTACAGAGCATTGCAGGATAATATTTTGTTAAGAGAAAAACAGGTTCAGGAGAAAGAATTGGAGTTTCAAATTGATAAACAAAAAATCCAAATTGGGCACCACAATTACAAAGAAGAAAAAAGCAATCTTTTGAATGAAGAAGAAAAAATATTACAAGAAATAAATAACATAAAAGGGGAAAAAGACGCTATAGCAAAACACGTTGAAGGTTATAAGAATGAACAAGAAAAGCCAACAAATAAAAATGCTTACAAAGAATATAAAAGAAAATTATTCGAATATCACATTGAAAAGAATCTAAATTGCGTTTTGCAGAAGTTCGCAATAGTTCTGGAAAAGTCGATACTTCGTTTTCACAAAGATAGAATGGCGCATATTAACAAGGCGATAAGAGAGCTGTGGCGGGCCATATATCGCGGAAATGATATAGATCACAGTGAAATAAAAACGGAAAATGATATTGGTACCGAGAAAAAAAGGAGCTATCAGTACAAGGTGGTGCAGGTGAAGAAGGGCGTGGAAATCGACATGAGGACCCGGTGCAGTGCTGGCCAACGGGTGCTGGCTTCTTTGGTCATCAGGATGGCCTTGGCCGAAACATTCTCAACGCATTGCGGTATCTTGGCTCTCGATGAACCCACCACCAATTTGGACAGACAAAACATTTTAAGTTTAAGTGATGCTCTGGTCGGTTTAATTGATTCCAGGAAAGATGAAAAGAACTTTCAATTGTTGATTATTACACATGATGAAGAGTTTTTAAATACCCTGACTAGAGTTCAAAGCATTCCACACTATTGGAAAGTTTCCAGAAATAATGAGGGGTTCTCTGTTATAAACAAAGTTTCCATGTAGATTGTAAATACACGTTTTTTATCAATTATTTTTAATCAAATAATAGTTTATTTACTAAGGAATATTTTACTTCTTTGCATTACTGCCATTGGGGAAACTTAACATTACTGGGTTTTTTGCTACTCAACAGGAAGGATGAGCATACTCTGGAAACAAATTTGACTTATTTTAAAATTACCTGGACTATTATTTTCCAGGACAAAATAAAGACATTCAAACACTCTTGCGAGACAAGACCAAATGATTTAGTGGCTAAATTTTAGTCTATGAACTGGACTTCAAACAAAAAAAATTAGGTAAATGGAACTAAACTTGAAAAAAAAACCTTTAATATGAATTTTTTTTAACAATGAAAAAAAAGATAGATACATTACCTTTGTGCTCAAAATTATCCTCTCTTAATATACAGACTAGGGCTAAAAACTTATTAACTTCTCTTAGGTATAGAACAGTACCATTATTCAGTTTTATAAGACTGGAACTTTGTTCATCAAAAGCTGCGGCATCTTGTTCTTCTCGTACACTAAAAAAAACATTTTAAGAAACTAAATTATTTTTCAAGCATACGCAAAAGAAGTATCGGGTTTTCGCAGCGCGCGCGCCATCTGGTGGACTTCAAAAGCATTGCGTGAATTTAAGAATTGTCAACAATACATTTAAAGCATACAAACTGTACATCATTTTTAAATAAATAGGTAAACAAATTTTGTTCAATTGCACAGCTAAATCGCGCACGTTATTTGTGTTTTACGTTGCAAGGAAAAAACTAAAAAACCGGTTTAGTACTCGATTTCGATTGATTATTCCTTATATCATTGATTAAGAAACTCAACGCTTAAATGCTTATATAGTTACGTTAGTGTGTGAATTTTATCTAAGGGACCATGGTGGAATATTTTGTTTTTAATTGTAAATAAAATTCAAGAACTAAATCGTTGCGTTTTCATGTTTTACCAAAGGATCCAATTCGGTAAGTACATTTGTTGGTGCAGAATTAACTAATAATAACTTTACCTAATATAATTTATATTTAAGTTTGGACATTTTTAAGAAATTAGTAAAAAATAATTGTTGCACAAACATAACCTTAAAATCAACCATTTTTATAATTGAGTTCTCTAAAAAACGCCGACAACTGCATTTTAAACAACAAAATATACCTACGAATTCATGGCAACATAATATTATATATAATACATAATATAATGGTATTTTACCGTTGAGTGAAGACTTTCTTAATCAACGCTTTTAATAATGCTAAATGCTGTTTAAATTTATACGACTTATTCGTTTGATTATTACTGAATTGAAATGTTTACACTTTTCACGTTAATCACTACTAAAATTTGTATTTATTTTATCTAATAGATACAATTTATATTTACAGGGATTGTATGAAATTTATTTATTCATTCGGATTAATACTGTTTAATGGAAAACTCAACCCAGGATTTCCTCTTGAAATACACCCAACAACACAACAAATCGAGCCACGGTTTTATTTCGATGTTTTTTTAACATTTTCCGGGTTTATTCTTAAAACACTCGTTTGTAACACACGCGTTTGACAGCTGATTATCAAAAGTTGTACTTTTGTTACGATGATAACAGCCGAGTGGTGGCGCTACTAGCGATACTTCTTTAGCGTGAACAATAAAAATTATAGGTAATTATTAGTGTTACCCATAAATCCAGGAAACATCAATCACGACATCAATCATATCACAACATAATTCATAACTTTGCATATCCACTGGTGTGGAATCGGTGGCGATGTAAATTTTTGACACCACATCAAACAAAAATGATTTTTCTATTGCTGAGTTCTACAATAATTACATTTTTATGGTAAATGCACAAATGTTATTGCATTTACTTACTGTATTTAAAATATTAAGCAAATTTTCCAGTGCTGGCAACTGAGGTATTAGTTTTTGCACAACTTTCGAGAATGCTTCAAATATAGAATGATCGTAGATAGATGTTAGGTGAAAGCTTAAATGTATTTGGTCATTGCCTAAAACAAGACAAAAATAATTGCATGGAATTTTATAACTAAGTACCTACCAATTATAATTATTTATTTTAATTTAAGATTAATACAATTTAGTGGTACAATTATTCTGAAACTGTATTTTTTAATTAAAAATTTAAAGGAACTTTAGGCTAATCTGGTTGCCTAATTTAATTTATTATGTTATGGTTGGTAACAACCAGCGTTTCCAGATTTTGTCAAAAAAGTTGCCAGATTTTGTTTAAATTAAGCTTACTTACAAAAATGACAAAATCAACAATGCAAATTGTTAATTTGGCATTTTTATTAATTGTTGATTATGTCGTTTTTGTAATGAAGTTAAATTCAAACAAAATCTGGCAAGTTTAATAATAGAATCTACATTCTTTCAAATTTTAGGTTATGTGCCCAAATTGTAAATATTATAACTAAGGCTTTTGAAATTAATTTACACAAATTGAATGTTTAAAATTTAACCTGTGAACTTGACCTAATTTCATCTGAGTAAACAAAAAGAAAAAAATGATGAAAAAAATAATTTTGTGGTTATGAAGTTTTTAAAATAAGTACTAAATTTTCTAATCATTGCTTAAGCTAATAGCTGGATGAGTAAATAAATACAGAAGGGTATTATAGCTTTATTATATTTTTCCATTACACCTTATGTCAAAAGGTATTCAGTATTTTAAAATATTACATTAATTAACACCCTGTATATACAAATTTAATGAAAGAACAAGTGCTGAAAAAAAGTTGATTTTTTAAGAATAGAATAATATTTCAAGTTTATTGTAACAAACTGTATGTGCAAAGATGGTGAATAAATGAATTAAGAAAAAAATAAGGAAAAATAAAATGGTTTGGTTCATATCTAACCAATACATCTCAAATTGTTAAAATTAATAATGTAGGTAATCTTACATAAAATTGAAAACCATTATGGAGTACCTCAGGGTACTGTTTTGGGACCTCTATTATTTTTATTGAATATAAATGATATGCCAAAGTATGCCAAAGATTGTGTTATTACTATGTTTGCAGATGATACTATGATTTATGTTAGTGGTGATAATATTTTAAATTTGGAATAAGAAAATATTTATAAATAATATGTGTCTAAATCTAAAAAAAAAACAAATATATGTATGTGTATATCATCTAGTCATAAAACTGTTAATATAGATTTTGATAATGTAAACATATTTATTAATAATACAAAAGTTGAAAAAGTGGATAAAATAAAGTATCTGGGTGTTGTTTTTATTCAAATTTGAATTTTAAAAATCATATTAAGTATTTGTTAAATAAAATTTCAAAAAAAGTATATTTCCTTGGTAGAATGGGGAAAAATCTATCATTGCAAGTGAAATTATTGTTGTATAGCTCCACATTTTGATTATTGTTCAACTGTGTTGTTCTGTATAAATAATAATGAAATGCAAAAACTACAAAAACTTCAAAATAAAGCATTAAGAATTAATTTAAAATGTAACAGGTATACTCCAATCAAAATGATACTTGATATATTAAGTATTTTGAGTGTGTGGTTTTTAAAACATTATTATTTATATTTAAAGTCAAGGCTGGAATTCTTCCTGCATATCTAAATAACAAAGTGTCCATAATTACAATACTAATATTAATGATTTTTATGTAGGGAATAGGGTGCAAACAAAAAATGTTTTTGTTAATGGTTTTGTATTATTTAATAGCCTCCCATATGAATTAAAAAGCTGTGATAGGGTTGAAATATTTAGAAAACTGGTTGTTAAACAAAACTTTGTATTGTGATATTTTAACTATGTTATTTGTTTATATACAATATATAATTATTTGTATTTTTGTAAAATAGCTTATGCTAATAAATGACTATTTATTTTTATTTTTAAAATCGAATTAAAAAAGAAAATAAGTTACAATGATAAAAAAAGAGAAATTAGTATTGAAGGAAACTATATTCAATAAGAAAATATAAAAAAAATGATTCAAGGGATGAGTTGATCTTTTTTTAAATATAATGAGATGGCTAATAGCTTTTAAGAAAGCTAAAGGCCATTACCCATGAAAATAGTCTGTATTCAGACTTATGAAGAAGAAGAAGAAGCTAACTTCAGCCCATGTAATTTTGACATAAATATTAGACTGGGCCAAAAAAATCAACTATTTTTTTTAAGTATATCGAAAATATTGTTTGGGGGGACAAAAAAAAATTATTGTGAAAGTTTGAGTCCATAATATTAATATTAAGAGGTCTATCATCGCAATTTTTGATTTTTTTTTCCTCAGCAAGTTTTTGTCCCAGAACTCCCAAACTATTGAGTTTAACAAAATTGACTCAGAAATATTTTTTGAAGAAAATTAAATGCTCTACAAAAAAGTTTAAAATGAAATTTTCCGTCAGATGAACCGTTTCCTTAAAATCATGCCTTAAAAATTGGTATTGTTTTACATATTGATCTTTTTACTTTGGAATTTTGTAATTCAGGTAAAATCAGTCCCAGAAAAAAACCGATAAATATTCTTATGGGAAATCAAATGCTTTACAAAAAAGCCTTTAAATATTTTTGGCTAAATTCACTCAATCAAAAGTTAATAAAGTCTTAAAAAAAATGCTTTTTTTCAAATATCCATTACTTTTTTAAAAATTTACTAGGTAAATGGGATGTTTAAAATTTAGCTTTTGACTCATGCAAAATATTTTTTAAACAATGTTTTATCTATATTACATTCCTAAGAAACCACTCATAACAATAAGTACACAAAAACATGTTGTTTAATAATTAAACTTACTTGAATCTGTTAGGTCATCAGTGGCTCTCTGGTGAATATCCCTTTGCGATTCCATTTTAAAATCGTCCCCCAATCCATCAACCTTATGTATGAATACCTCAAACTTGATATTTGGATTCACCTTAAATGCTTTAGTAACGGTTAAATTAAGTTTATTCAAAGCTTCCATGTAATCGTCCTGGGCATCGATGACGAAAATCAAAGCCCCACACCCGCCAAATATTAAATCTGCATCGAAAGTGGGGTCGAAGAAATCTATTTGACCGGGAAAATCCCAGATTTGAAACTGCACAAAACTCGAGTTATTTATGTCGTCTTTGACGATTTTATTTGTACTTTCAAGGAATAGGGTTTCATTCGGGGACATTTTGTGGAAAACTACTTTTTGTATTGACGATTTTCCTGACCTACGTAAACCCATAAGTAGGATTCTCGGTTTTTGATCTCCTGCCGATAAAGTGATTTCATGACCCTCCTCGAACACTCCGTAGCCGAAGTCCTTTGGAAAACTACTCGGGTGTCCATCAAAACCTCCTCCTTCTTCATCGTCCTGATAAGACTAGAAAAAATCATTTTCGTGAAAACATAACCTTCAAAATAACTCAACACCCACCATTTTTGCTATTTTCTTCTGGTATATTATTATATTTGTGCAAAATTCACTTAAAACTCAACACCTTCGATAAACTCGAAATAGTTCAGCATATTGTGACAGAACACAAATTTTTCAAAATATGGGCAGAAAACTGCCAACCAACAAATTATCTGACATAAATAATCCAAAATCGGACAAAATTTACTTGGTCGACTGCAAAATTTTCAAACGCAGTATGCAGCGTTGCCTATAGGCATACAAATATATACATCACTGGTTCTAACCCCAGAATGTATGTAATAAATGAAGTTATTATATTAGAATGCTCAGATATATATTTAGTTTTGTGCAAAGCGTACTCTTTAACCGAATTAATTCCTCTTTAAAATAAATCTTGTTTGATAAAAAAGAAATCCGGCAACGTCACAACTAAACATTGACCTTGTAAAATCGCCATGTAGCTTTCTTAGTTATTTTAGACACAAATTATTTTACTATTTAATTTGTTTAAATGAAAATTAATCCAATTTACCAAATAACAATGCTATATTTATTTTAAAGTATTTTATTTTTTTGAATTTTTAAACGTTTTACCCAGTTTAATTGATTTTTTTGAATTGTCATTTTAGACACTATAAATAATTCAATTATAAAGCTTGATTTATAGATTGCCTTCCTTCCTTCCTCCCGTAAAAGATGAACAATACGAAAATCGTAGTGCCAAGTTTTATTTATGTTATTTTTACCTATTTTGATAACACTTTAGTTTCAACAGTTTAAAGTATTATGAGGGACGTAATTTTTACGAAAGAAAATTACTTATAAGCATTGATCAATTACTCGAGTAACTTCTCAATGCTTATAGTGAATTTCACCTAAAGGAAAATTTAACGGTAATATTAACGTCAGAATTTTTACTTAATGGTAAATGTTAATCATAATTTTACGATATTAAGACCACTTTATAACCGTAAATAATTCCTGGTAATAAATACTATTAATATTGACTAAACAAGGAAAAATAAGGTTCATTCCAACCAGGAGTAATTTCCAGTAATATTACTGATACACATGCGCGTTTGTAAAATGTCGTTCCAACCAACTAAAATTACTAGTTTAGAACTGGCAATTACTGTCAGTTCGCCGTTCCAACCAGAGTTACGAACAGTTAAATTACGGTTCAAACGATTCTTGCTCGAGAGCAAGAACTGTTGATAATAAAATTAGACGCATGCGTAGAAGGGGCACATAACCTCATCTTTTTGTTTATTTATTAACGTTTGTAATATTGTAAGTTTGTTTTCTGTTAAAGTGGACATATTATTTAAAAATGACTGCTATACAAGGTGATTTTATTAATTTTTAATGTTAATACATCTAATTTTTGTCATTTTTGAGCAGGAATGGAAGAATTTATTATCAATGTGTGATGTTATTAAAATATACTTTTAGGTATATTAGGGATATTTATAAACTCAACAAACCTGGGTTATATTTATTTCTAGTAGCAATGTCCCCAATAAAATCTAAATCCTCGTCATCCGAAGAATCATACAAGTAATTATTTAAAAAACCTGCCATATTTATTACTTTATTGAAATAGATATACCTATATGCGCTTTACTTAGCTTTTAGCACAATACAATTGTGGGTTTTGGGTTATTTTCTTTTTCTTCTGATTGTGAGTACTACCAGTTCAAAAAAGGTTCCAACCAGTTTATACATTATTCAAAATAATTTTACTATTTTTGTTCGCGCAGTCGCATTAACGCTGTTACGGACGATAATATTACGGTAATATTACTGCTGGTTGGAATGAACCTATAAGCTTAAAGTTAAAAATAAAGGAAATTTTTTTTTCAGGTCGCCACAATGAGTTTTTTAAGATGGCATCCATTATTTATCTAAACATTTATATTATATTTTTTCATAAATATTTTTCTAAAATAAGGAAAGTTTTAGTTATTAAAAGTAGGTACTATCGCTAACAAAAAAACTCATACAGCTATATTGTGGCTGTGTGAATAAAACTTTTACGTCAATGTCAAGCTGACATCGAGCTTTGTCATATCCATTATGACTTTTTTAACAACATTTTCAACCAAACAATGCAGACGAACTCTGGCAAGCCATTAAAGCCATTTGGAACGAGATAAAGCAAGACGGCGACTTCCATGCTTTGCCGTTTGCGGGCAGTAATTGACAAAAACAGAGGGATGACGAAACATTATTTTTTTTTAAACTTCAACCTAACTTTGTATTTAATTTTAGACCTTTCAAATGTGACGTATCATGTTAAAAGCCATAATTACTCCAACGAAATGATAGAAAATCAGGAACACTAGATTCTTAAGCTGTATGAGTTTTTTTTGTTAGCAATAGTACCTAAGTGAGCTTACTATATAATATATATATTATAGTAAGTACCTACCATTTTGAAAAATATAAATTAAAAAATAAAGAAATTACGAATGTCAATGTTTTAGAAAGAGTTAGTAATTATAACGTTATTTTTACGTAAATTTGTGGTATTATATATATTGTTTTTATTGCGTTATTTTCTTAGTAGATCAAAAAGGTTATTATGTAGGTAAAATAACGAAATAAGCTATTCCCCAAATTTGTTAATTTTTCGTATCTATACCGTTATAAAACCGTTTTGGTTAACCGTAAAAAATGCTGCTTAGGAATAACATATAAAGTTACCATGGTAAGAATAAACTTAAACTAAACGTACTTATTGTAAAATTGTAGGTGATTGCAATAATGCATGATTGCAATCACCTACAATTTTACAATAAGTACGTTTAGTTTAAGTTTATTCTTGATGGCCTTATCGTAATTTTATTTGTCTCATAACAAAAATACAGTTGGAGGAAAGTCGCCTAATTTCAAGTAGGCGCCTAATTTCGGATAGTGGTGTATATTTGAAACTAATCAAATCATTAAACGGAAATTTACTCGAATGCAATATAAAAAGCCCAAGCAAGCATTTCCAGTGTTATTTAGATGATACTTATCACTCTCCATTAGATGGCACTGATAAACTTCCACAAGTATGTGATCGGAACCACGTTTTTTTGGTCATAGTTTAAGCCTTATTTTTTTTTATAAATATTCGTTGTAAAAATTTGTATTTTTTACCTGGACAAGGTAAATGTTTGTTTAAGACATTGTATTTGTCAAAACTAGGAAATTTTTTCAATGATTTTATTTAAAAAAACTTATCGCAAAAAGTATAAAGTTAACAAATTTTAATATCAAAACATTTTTATTACAAAAAATGTTTACAAAAAATGAGGTTTTTGTTGTAATTGCAATTTTTACAAATTTAAAATCGGGCTCTCAATTTCGGACACCCTATCCAAAATAAAAAAAAAACTTTTTTTAGTAACAACATATTTATTAGTCCATGCATAAGTCACATATATAAACTTTATATTCCTTAGGCGACTGTTGGTATTTGTTTAGTTCATAATTTTGGAAACCTAATTTCGGATAGAGGAATTGCCTAATTTCGGAAGTTCCTCTATCCGAAATTAGGTTTCCAAAATTATGAACTAAACAAATACCAACAGTCGCCTAAGGAATATAAAGTTTATATATGTGACTTATGCATGGACTAATAAATATGTTGTTACTAAAAAAAGTTTTTTTTTTATTTTGGATAGGGTGTCCGAAATTGAGAGCCCGATTTTAAATTTGTAAAAATTGCAATTACAACAAAAACCTCATTTTTTGTAAACATTTTTTGTAATAAAAATGTTTTGATATTAAAATTTGTTTCTTTGCAATGCATTGCATGTATACTAGGGAATAGATAAAGCATTAATAGTTATTTATGTCATTAGGTTAAGAAGTAATAGTTATTTATGTTATTAGTAGGGATGGGATTTTAGTTATTTTACCTTTTTTCAACCGATGTAACTATTTGAAAACCAATAATGCCAAAATGTGTTTTAAAAGATTTTCTTTTATATGAACCTAACTTGTTTTCACCTTTTTTACCTTTTTTGGAGGTTTTTGCCTTAAACTACCTTTTTTATACTTTTGTTACCTATTTTTTTAAATTCTTTTCACCTTTTTTACCTTTTTTGGAGGTTTTTGCTTTAAACTACCTTTTTATACTTTTGTTACCTATTTTTTAATTTGTTAGTTTATTTTCACCTGTTTGTTACCTATTTTTACGTATTTTTACTTATTTTATTTTTTGTTTTCTTTTCAAATTTTGCGCCAATATTTTATCCAGTTCCTTATAGCTTTAATTAACTATTGGTCAGTTTATAAAAAAAATATTTTACGTTACTTATTTTATAAAAATAAACGAAACTTGAACTTTTAATGTTTTTTTTTACCTAAAATGCTGTTTTTTTAACCTAAAATGCTTTTTTTTAGTACCTTTTTAGTTAACTATTTTTCAGTTTTTAGTACCTATAGCTATAGGTAGGTACTAAAAACTGAAAAATAGTTAACTAAAAAGGTACTAAAAAAAAGCATTTTAGGTTAAAAAAAACAGCATTTTAGGTAAAAAAAACATTAAAAGTTGGGTACCTAGTACTATAAATATCCCATCCCTAGTCATTAGGTTAAGAAGCCGGCTTTTTGTGCTACATACAACATTTTATCTTCAAAGCACTTTTTATAGGTCAATTTAATTTAACATCAAAGCGGCCTAACCTCACTTTTTTGAATATCATTTATTTATTAACTAAAGATTGCATTAAATGTACAATAATTATTATTGCTTTTAGAAGCAGTAATAGTTTGACAATACCTAGTAACATGATTTAAGTAGAAATGGATTTTTGCTATTACATTGAATTCAATTAATTGTTTAATAAATAGGTAGGTAGGTATCTAATTTCAATTTGTTTGGATTTTTATTTAAAAAATAGGTAGTTTGGAGTGTTTAAGCTGTGTTTAACATTTAATTTCACTGAAAACCTATTGAAAAGAATTAGTTTGTCAAAACAATACCCCTAGCGAGAAAAAATCGAACTAATTACTTGCCTCATAAAAATTTTTATCGGCCTAGGCCATATCAAGGTATTTCTTTATCGAATGTTGACAACAATAAAGTTTAAATTATAGACCGCTTGGAGATAAAAATTATTTTATAAATAATTTTGATTATTTTAAAAAGGTATCTGAAATTGGGCGACTTTCCTCAATATTTTTATACCCGGAATCCAATTTTGTCCCTACTAGATCGAAAAGTTATCTATATTTCAAACTTTTCATTGAGCGATTAAAATTGTAATTTTGCCAGATCGTTCTAAGAATCCCTAATCTGTGAATTTTTACTTACCCGTTATGTTTTATTGGTTTGTTAAGTTTCAGTAGGTAGGTGAAGTAAAAAAAGAAATATAATTTTAAATTATTTTTATTAAAAAACGTAGAAAAGATTAAACGTAACTCAAACGTTTTACATATTAAAACTAGATCAACAAAATCGTTTAAAACATTGAAACCAAACAAGTTTTTAAACCTAAATTATCAATTTAAAACTAATAATTTATCACAGCTCAATTGGGGATAAATTTCAAAAAAGACCATTAAGACTTTTAGAAAGTGTAGGTGCATGGTCCAAGGTTTAAAAATCGTCGACGTGTCAGGAAATGTTTAGATTTCTTCGGGGACGTATTTTTCCACTTCCACGTAACAATTTAGGTCGACAATGTTGCCCAACTGTTCCGCAGTCACGTTAAAACCCAGCTGATTCACTGGCAGGGTGGTTTTAATTTTTTTGAGGTCGAGCTCTTTCTCAGCCTCTTTATGCGATTGTTTATCGCTTTCGTCTTTGCTCGCGAGAACCACCGCGACCAGAGGTGCTCTAATGGAGACTGCACACTCGCCTGTGTGCTCTCTCTTCCAATGCTCGACCACTTTTTCGCGCCTTACATCGTCAAATTTACACAAGCCGCACCTAAACGGCTTTTTCCTCCAGTGCACCAAATGGTGCTCTTCCAGACGACCTTCGCTTGAAAACTTTAGATCGCAAAACTTGCACGCGCGAATAATCTTTTCGTTATCGTCAATTACAGCAGGTACTGCGCCGCATTTGCGGATTATTTCATCTGCCTGCGCGCGCAGCAGCAACTGTATCCAGGCTTCGAGTTTTTTGTGACGCGGCAGCCGCCTAATGTCTTCCCACGGGGTGGGGGTATCATGCAACTTAGTCATGTGACGGCGCATGATATCGTAGGCAACGGAGGTGGCCGAACATTTTCGGCACCTGAATCTGTACGAAGGAAAAAGTCCACTTAGAAATCTGATCGAATACGATTGAACTTCGATTATGTTTTCATGATTCACTTGAATATCTGATCACAGGCAAAATAATCGATCCACACAAATTTTCGATGAATTTCAATCGCAAATAACTTTTTTATTTGATGTCGGATTTAAACGAATATTAAAGAATATTGTAGATACATTAATGGAGAATCGCTCACGTTTTAAAAATTACTAAAAAATACACGTACGTTTATAATATACAGGTTTAAACAAAATTATGTTTTTTACCATAACTTTAAGACACTGTCCCAGATAACACAATACATGCCAGAAACATACAATTTATGTACTATTTATGCCCCAATGTTTCGGACTTAAATCGTATATCCCTGCGATGTTTCCTCAGTAACATTTCTGGTGTGATTTCCCCAAGATGTTGCATAAACATTTTAAATAGCTGATATTGGTACAAATATAAAATAAATTTATATCAAAACACATAACACGTACGTGTTATGTGTTTTGATATAAATTTATTTTATATTTGTACCAATATCAGCTATTTAAAATGTTTATGCACACTATTAAAAAAATAACCAATCAATTTTTAGCAAAACACCAAATTATTATACTTTGTAATTTTTAAATTGAACGCGAACAATGACGTCATACTAGTTACTTTTTAAGTGATTGTTACCTGGGGAATTTTGTTTTGTTTTGTAACCAACTTGTTACAAATATTAAATAAATTTATATCAAAACACATAACACACTATTAAAAAAAATAACCTATCAATTTAGCAAAAACACCAAGATGTTGCATAAACATTTTAAATAGCTGATATTGGTACAAATATAAAATAAATTTATATCAAAACACATAACACACTCTATTAAAAAAATAACCAATCAATTTTTAGCAAAACACCAAATTATTATACTTTGTAATTTTTAAATTGACCGCGAACAATGACGTCGTACTAGTTACTTTTTAAGTGATTTTTACCTGGGGAATTTTGTTTTGTTTTGTAACCAACTTGTTACAAATATTCATATACCTATAACTCATAACTCATTATAGGTATATGCAAATATTAAATAAATTTATATCAAAACCATATACCTTAGGTATATGATCAAAACACATAACACACTTTATTAAAAAAAAATAACCTATCAATTTAGCAAAAACACCAAATTCTTATAATATCAATAACTTTGTAATTTTTAAATTGACCGCGAACAATGTCGTCATACTAGATATTTTTTAATTGATTGTTACCTGGGGAATTTTGTTTTGTAACCAACGGCATCTCTGTAGGTTCGCGGCTTTTATTGCCAAGAATGACATTTCGTGAAAATCGAGAACGTGTCGAGAATTTTCTTCTCGTTTTATAATGTGATCACAGTAATTTAAGACTTAAATTAAATTTTAAGTTGTACACTTATTGTTTTGTGTGGGTGGCCTGAGGCGTCTTTTTTATTTTTTGTGGGTATTGGTGGCAATAACCTGTATGATTTTATTTCAGACTAGGTCGCACAACAGTTTTTCTTTATTGGGAAAAAGCCTTTTTTCAAAAAGGGCAAAAAAATTTTAGCCAATCCAAGATTTCTAAAGGTGTTTTAGGTAATAACTCGTCGAATCCGAAAAACATCATATGAAAAAAACTGTAGTTTTACAGGAGACGAAAAAAACATTAAAAGCTCTCATATCTGGCTTTTTTTAAATATACCTATAGGACAAATTAATTTGTTTTTAAGGGTCTTGAGATTATCTTGGGAGATAAGAGGTTTTACAATCATGTGCATTATTATATGAGTACTTAATTATTCAAAAACAATCGATTTTGTCAAAAATGTCTCAAACGAGTTTTTGCGGATTCATCGATGAAGAGTTTTGTAAATTTTTATATATTTATTTTTATTTATGCGTATTTTCGGTTATGTTAATGGTTTTATGTTAATTAAATGATAAAAGTATTTAATGTTTTTTATTTAAGGAAAAAACCTATAAAAATTACATAAATGTTTTGTATGAAACATTTCTGTTATGTTCTGAAAGTAAATATAAAATGTCTTAAAGACATACCTACAACATTCTAAGATGATCTCAAAACATCCCAAAAGGATGGCCGAGGGACGTTAAAAAGGGCGACATGGTCATTGCCAGAAACATTTCTGGTATATCTGTGGGAAAATAGGGTCATTCCTGGGATGTTTCTATTGTCGCATCCATATGTTTCTGGCATGTTTCTAGTATATACTTGTGTTATTAGGGGTGTAGAGTGGCAAAACTTTATATCGTTCTAAATTAAGTTTTAATTATCAAGTCACATCTATTTTTAACAGTTTTGTTTTTGGTTCACCTCGATATATTTATTTTTGTGGAAAATATGGATTTTTAAAAAAAACATTGCAATTTCCAATATTTTTCCTGTATGAAGAACTAAGGTTGCTATGGTCCATCCATAGGCTATGGAGAGTGACAGTGATAGTTTTGTTGAATCATCCCATACTTGGACATGTCATACACGGCTTTCAAAAGCTATCAAATTGTTTTTTGCAAATTAATGTTTAAATTTTGAGGTGTCTTCTTACTTTAAAAAATGGATATGTCTCCGAATGATGTTGCCAGAGCCATTAACTTAATCCAGGATGGACGGTCACAGTATTACGTGGCAAGTGTTTTAAACGTCACAAGAAGTAAAGTACAAAGGGCAACATCAGTCGGAGACATTTTTAAAAGTAAGAAGACACCTCAAAATTAACACATTAATTTACAAAAAACAATTTAATAGCTTTTGAAAGCTGTATGGGGCAAAATTTGCCAAGTGTACCAGGTGAAAAAATATTTGTCACCGATTTTGTTTAAACTTTACTTATTTGTTGTTCTTATAACGAAGAATCATATCATACAATTTTTTTGCTTTAGGATTGTTCATTCAAGAATTATGGATTATTGAAATTTATCGATTTATTACTTTTTGGTGAAATCACTTTTTATTTAAAAATTCATAACTTCTGTTCATCTCTTTTTTAAATATTTCAATTCAACCAACTTAAATGATTTTTTCCGTACTTTTCAATGGGCTATACCGTTTTTGCAACAAAAAAAAATTTGCAATTTTTTTTTGAAATTTTGCAATATTTTGCATTTTTTTAAACAATGTGTATTTTTTATTTTTTTTTAAAATAGCATAAAATTGAAGTTTATTATGTTACCTTTGAATAAAAAAAAATTTAGAGTGGGCCCGACATGTAGAAGGGAAGTTTTTCATATTTGAATGCGTGCGGGTCTAGCCATCGAATAGCTACTACACTGCCGTATGCGTTTATACCTAGTAGATGCGAGTAAACGAATACAAAATGATAATTTAAAATGTAAAATTATGTTTGAGTAGTCAATGATGTATTTTAAATATTTACACTGTCGCACGTTATAGTTTTTTAACTGTATTTTGTTGCACAAATTGTTTAAGCATGGGTCTACATAGATTTCGCAAGGAGGATCGATGATATTAAATAAAAAAATTATTGTTATAACCGTAACGGCTTGCCTATAAGCTGAATAGGTCAATGGCGTTAATATTATTAAATAATATATAATGTCTATAAACGGTTTTTGCTGTCATGACGAGCTCTAAACATTCGCCGTACGGACTTACTTTTTAAACCGTAACGGTCAGTCAGAATATTTGTGTTGCCAATCGGCAGATTAATTTTAATTTAATTTAAAAGTATGGTAGGGAGAAAAATTGAAGAAAAAAAACACCGATACTTTATTCTTTCTGTATTTTACTTTAGCCACAAAAATAAAAATTAACATTCTAGTAATATCCGCCAAAAATCCTCCGAATTATGAAATCTACAAATCATATTTGTGCAAAAAAATACAGTTAAAAAACTATATCGTGCGACAGTGTAAATATTTAAAATACATCATTGACTACTCAAACATAATTTTACATTTTAAATTATCATTTTGTATTATATATAATATATATATTATATAGGTATAAACGCATACGGCAGGGTAGTAGCTATTCGATGGCTAGACCCGCACGCATTCAAATATGAAAAACTTCCCTTCTACATGTCGGGCCCACTCTAATTTTTAAAAAAAAAACACATTGTTAAAAAAAATGCAAAATATTGCAAAATTTCAAAAAAAAATTGCAATTTTTATTTTTTTGCAAAAACGGTATAGCCCATTGAAAAGTACGAAAAAAGTCATTTAAGGTGGTTAAATTGAAATATTTAATAAAGAGATGAACAGAAGTTATGAATTTTTAAATAAAAAGCGATTTCACCAAAAAGTACCTAATAAATCGATAAATTTCAATAATCCATAACTCTTGAATGAACAATCCTAGAGCAAAAAAATGTTATGCTATGATTCTTCGTTATAAGAACAACAAATAAGTAAAGTTTAAACAAAATCGGTGACAAAATTTTTTTCACCTGGTACACTTGGCAAATTTTGCCCCGTATATGACATGTCCGAGTATGGGATGATTCAACAAAACTGTCACTGTCATTCTCCATAGCCTATGGATGGACCATAGCAACCTTAGTTCTTCATACAGGAAAAATATTGGAAATTGCAATGTTTTTTTTTAAATCCATATTTTCCACAAATTAAATATATCAAGGTGAACCAAAAACAAAACTTAAAAATAGATGTGACTTGATAATTAAAACTTAATTTAGAACAATATACGGTTTTGCCACTCTACAGAGTGTCTTAAACTTATGGTAAAAAACATCTTTTTGTTTAAACCTGTATATTATAAACGTACATATATTTTTTAGTAATTTTTAAAATGTGAGCGATTCTCCATTAATGTATCTACAATATTTTTTAATATTCGTTTAAATCCGACATCAAATAAAAAAGTTATTTGCGATTGAAATTCATCGAAAATTTGTGTGGATCGATTATTTTGCCTGGGAGTGTATTATTACAAATTTAAATATTGGTTTGTTTCCACGGCAATCGTTATTAAACGTGGAAGTAGACTTTTTTATAAATGCTTGATAATAACAATTAAAAACTACATTTTAATAAAAATACATAAAAGAGACTCACCTCTTTACCTTCTTCTCCTTGTACAGGTGCAAAATAAAATCGACCACCTGTGCGCTCTTGAATTTCTCGCACACGGGGCATTTGAACTGCTTGTCGAGCGGGTTGCCGAATCCGCCGAACTCGCTAATCAAGTGAGTCAGGTCGTAGGGATCCGGCACTTGTTTTTCCTCGGTTTTCTGCGCATCGTCGTCGGAAACTACGACGACTTCTTTGCTTTTCTTCAATTTTTCCAGCTGTTTGGCGGTTTTTTTAACGTCCTTGTTGATTTTCGCTATGAAATCCTCGCTTACGTGAAGGGATTTTTTCTTTGAGAAACTTCCCGACGCCACTGTCTCAATGGAAGAATCCATCGAAGATGGCGGTGGTGTGTGGTGGGTTGCAGAAGTAGAGGGTTTTGAGATTTTAGCGGCTTTAGGCTGTATCGTTGTATCGTCCAATAGTATTATACCTGATAAATAATTAAAATTCTTAATTATTCTATTTATAAAGACTATTTTGATTTTAAGATATTTAAGATTTTTAGAAAACCAGAAATGAAAATAACGACGAGCCGTCACTGCAATTAATAATCCTACCACTACTGAAGGGAAATTCAAAAAAGTATTTGTTAAAAATGAGAGATACCTATTAGAAGAACAGCTAACTATAACAATTCATACAAAAAAAAATACAAAAATGTCGAACATGGAAAAAAGTTTCGTCTGAGAAACTAGTTATTTATGGTACAAGTGTGTTATGTTGAAAATAAGTCACGCGAGAAAAATTTATAAATTCTCAAGTGACTTATAGCTGTTATATTTATTTTTTATTTATATTCTCTGCTGTGCCAAAAGTAAAGTTTGTCAAATGTCAGTAAATCACAAATCATAACCTTGCGTAACCGTTGTCACTTTCTGCTGCTATTGCCTTTGCGTCAGTACTGAATAAATTACGGAACAGTCTTTTTTCGCTACTGACAGTAAAATTACTGATAGTAATGGCAGTAAATTACGGTCTTCAGCAGAAAACAATGTTTTTGACATTTAATAAAGCAAAAACAACACTTACTTTTCTCTTGGCCGCCCGTTCCGCCTCCTTGGAACCAGTTGTTTGCCATCTTATCGAACGTCTTCTTTTTCTTGCCGGAAGAGGGCAGGGGATTCACAGGTGCCGAGCGGGGCACCTCTTTCCCCTCGCCGTGCATCCTCAAGTGGCGCACGAAGTTAGCCCTCACTTTGTTCGTGTACCCGCACATTTCGCACTTTAGCGGCGCGGTGAAAATCGCCCGCGACGGGATGCGGTCGATTTTGTCGGGCATAAATTCCATGCTTTCCGATTTTTCCTTAGTGGCGGTCGTTGCGGCGGCCTGCGCGAACCGCGGTCGCACCAAGAACTCGTGCAGTTCCTGGGTGTCGTGTTGCTGGTTGTTAAGGGGCGTTAACAGTATACTGGCGACGTTGTGTTTTGTTTTCATGTGGCTCCTGAAGATTTATTAATGTACATACGTTGGTTCGCAAGGTCTGTTCTATCTCGTTTCGCGCATACTAAAAATCATGCACAAAATCTAACGGCGGCCATTTTTATGCTGTTTGCAATTCTTGTGCTTTGGGTTTATGCTCTGTTTATACAGATTAATAATTATAATCGTTTCAAACATTGTTTCTTACAGAGGCACTTTTAAGCCTAAGATCAGCACAAAAATTGTAAACAACATAAAAATGGCCGCCGTTAGATTCTGTGCTGTGATTTTTAGTATGCGCGAAACGAGAAACATACGAGAAACGAAAAACACTCGTTTTCTCACCTTATTTGCGCAGCAGAAGGATACTGGTCCTCGCACAGCGAGCAAGAGTATTTGAAGTTGCCGTGGTACTGAATGTGATCTACCAGCGCCTGCGCACTGTTTAGGCGACGTTTGCAGTGCGCGCACTCGAACGGCGTCTCCTGATTGGTGGCCGATCGACACGTGATCGAGAACGCCGCGTGGTATTTGAAGGCGTTGGCGTTGGGATACGCGCAGTCGCAGTAGGCGCACTTGAACAGGTCTTTGCCGGCAAGACAGCGCTTTTCGCAAAAATTATAATAAGAAAAAAAAAGTGTCTAAATTACAAATTTTATTTAGGAGTTTAGGAGGTTTTTTTAGGAGAATTTTAGGAGCAATAAAGTATGCAAATGAATAGGTTGCATTGACTAGTTTTTTAACCAAATCGCTCGACGAGTTTTTTTAATAAGAAAAATTAAAAGTGAGGTAAAATGTAGATATGGCTAAAAAAAACTAGGCCAAAGTCAAATGATGATATATTTATATTTTAAGAAAAAAAAATGTTTAGTTAATAATAATTAACAATAATTGTAATCTTGTTACTCCAAAATCTCATAATATAAGAAATATAAAGTTAGCATAATACAGCAAAACATTCTTTAGATTGTTTACTATTTTCGCTATCATCACATATGACACGGTATATGTTTGTCGAAAACAAACGAAATATGGCTAAAAATGACAATTTTGTGGAAGTCTAGGACCTACTAGGGTAAACCACATAGTTATTGGACACTTAAGGAATATTTTTAATTTAAAATTTATATTTGCCTTTGCTTTAAAGATTTTATTTTTTTAATAATAGTTTTGTAAAAACATTCAAAAAGTATAGTAATTGGACATTTTATATAGTAATTGGACACATGGACCATAGTTATTGGACATACAATTTTTATATAAACATAACAGCTTTACATCAAATAACATAAATTTTTAAATATTTTTTAAATAAATTGCTGTTTTAGATAATTTTTTTATTTTGTTTTTGTAAATATCATATAATTCATATATTTCTTTCTCGGATTCCTCATCCCTTTTCTGGATTCTGAAGGTTACTACTAATTCCTTGGTCTGACTTCTGAAATAGTTGTTGCAAATATCATTAAGTGTGGTACCTCTAGTTTGTGAAGCATTTATAATGTTTAATTTTACTGTTTGTTTTCAGAATTAAAATTAAAACGCATTAAAGTGACAATGTTTAAACCATGAGGAACACATTTATACCACACAATGATCTGTACACTTTTTAGACATATTTTTTATTGTAATTTAAACACAGCCCTGCTCTTAACAAAAAAACAAAAAGAGGTAACTATTTATAGAACTCTTGTTTTTACAGTATTATTGTTAACTGTCCAATAACTATAAAGTGTCCGATAACTGTCTACTTTACCCTATTTCAAAGTTTCAAGTTAAAAGACTATATAAAAAAGTAGAAAATTGCTTACTTTGTCAGAACTCTTCTCGGATCCTTCGTCTTCCGAAGATGTGGCGTTCTTTTGCAATAAACTCTTCCTTTCAGAGTCCGCAACGCTAAAAAAATTCACTTCAGATTGTTCCGGGAGTTCAGACGTCTTCGATGAAATTTCTACCGGAGGAATTTCAATCCTTCCTATCTCTGCTGGTTGCGAGTTTCCCGAAGAAGAAGTTTGTTGTAAAAAGGACCCTTGTCCTATAGATGTGGATTGTAGGGATGTTACATAAGATGAAGAAGTCGGTACTATGTATGGTAGGGATGTTAAAGAATATGAAGAAGATGAGGTCGGTACTACGGATGGTAGGGATGTTAAAGAAGATGAAGAAGTCGATACTATAGAGGTTACAGTGATTTGAGGAAGCCTGAAAGAAATAAATTAAAAAAATGCAAAAATTTTAAAAATATTGAATTTAAAAAACAATATGTAAAAATAAAGTAGGTATACAAATCATATAACATTGTAAGTGCCATTTTCCACTTTCACTTTTTTGTTTCATCATTACCAGTTTGATAATGATTTTCATATTTTTAACCTAAACAAATATTTTTGTATTTAAAAGAAACTTTAATATATATTAATATTATGAGTTATATCCAAGGATTTTGTGCAATATCTTACAATAAATTTTTTTAAATTTACCAGGGATAGGTTGGGCGGGTTATATTCACCACAATCTTCAAAATATTAACCAAAATTAAAGCAAAAAGAGAACAAACGTCAGAATACGTTTTGAAATGTTACTTTTAAAGTTTTAAGTTTGTTGTTGCCATTGGCAACCCCATTATGTTATGTTTAAATTATTGTAGGTTATATCGAACGGTTGTCAAGTTGAGTTGTCAAAATTCGTAGTTAAAAATGCAATTAATTTGGCTTTGGTGGTGAGTAGATGAGTAAAATCATATAAAAAAGTAGTTAGATTTTTCACAAAAAGGTTTAACCTAACAGCAAATAAGTTTTATTTATCTTATATATATATATATTAGACCGGTTCAAAAAAATCGAATATATTTTTTTCTTCAAAGCCCGCATTAAAATATCTTCCTAGTAGTGAAAAAAGAAGCCTGTGAAAATTGTAAATAACACAGGAGTTCTTTTTTCTTAACTTTTATAACTCGTTTTTGAGTGAACATATTGGAATGAACTCTATATATTTTTGAAGAAAATTGAACGTTCTACAAAAAATGCCTCTTTTAATTGTTTCGTAAATTCACTCCTTTAATAGTTATTCAAGGTTGAAATTAGACATATAATAAATGTAACGTTTAAATAACACAGGAATTTTTTTTAACTTTTAATTTTATAAATTTTTTTTTGAGTGGACATATTGGAATGAGCGATAATTTTTTTTTAAGAAACATAAAAAAATTAAAAAAAGTTCACAAAAATCTGGATTCGAACTCACAGGTTACAGTTGAGTTCAAATCCAGATTTTGAACTTTTTTTAATTTTTTTTGAGTAACTATTAAAGGAGTGAATTTACGAAAAAATTATAGGAGACATTTTTTGTAGAACGTTCAATTTTCTTCAAAAATATATAGAGTTCATTTCAATATGTTCACTCAAAAACGAGTTATAAAATTTTAAAATTAAGAAAAAAGAATTCCTGTGTTATTTAAACGTAAAATAGAAATTCACGATGAGCGACCTCTAAATATTAATATTAAGAGCTACAATTTTCACCGGCTTCTTTTTTCACTACTAGAAAGATATTTTAATGCGGGCTTTGAAGAAAAAAAAATATTCGATTTTTTTGAACCAGTCTAATATATATATAATAATTAACAAGTAAATTATTAATAATAAATATTACTGTCAATTTGACAGTGTCAGAGTATTTAATGAAGGTCTTCATCTTCAGCAGAAGTATCATTTTTTAAATACTAAAAATACTAAATCAAACTGGCATAAGCTGTATGTACCGGGACATTCCTAAGTATTCAAGACATAATTAAATATAATTTTGATATTATTTTTTTCTACCCTCATACTTTATTTGTTTATTACATTTCTTATGTGTATTATAATGAGATCCATTATTCATTATGATACAGATTTTTAACCAATAGAAATGATAGTTTGAAGATTAAAGTGTATCAGAAATTTTTCTAAACCCAAAACAATTAATAGTCAACATGTTTTTAATAATTTATGTAACAAATTACGTAACAAAAAATAATACATACTTGGCAAGCGAAAACAGGGAATTAAACCTATTAGGAATAGGCTTTAAAATCTGGAACTTCGCGTTAGTCGCCAAACTTATTAAGGACTCGCTCGGCAAAACTTGGAAAAGCTTACTTCCGGTCGTCGTCGTTAACCCGGAAACGATTTTTATCGGCGAATCCAGTAAAGAATTTTCTTTGGCGTAAACGTTGGTAACTTTGATTGGTTGACCTTTAGATGGAGCTTCCGGTTGCTTCATGGAATCCGGAAGTTGGCGTAGAACCGGAAGCATGGCCAAAGCTTCATTGCCGTAGAAGAGGTTGTCTATGTTCTAAAGAAAAACAAACATATTTATGCGTATACAATTAGAATCCCAAAACTATAGTTTATAGTTTATAATCCTTGCTACAGGACAAGCTGACGTTTTTGTAATGGGTGAATCTCACGAAATGTCCCCGGATGTTGTTACCCCGTGATATTTAATAAAACCAAATGAGTTTGACCTACACTTTTATTGTGTTTTGATCTTTTATAATTAAGTAGATATTACAGCTCAGGTTCCAGATTTTTAACCGCAATTAATTATTTTTTACAATGTTTTAAAAGTCTAAAACCTATCCTCCGTGACTGTTACTCTTTCTAGGTTAACCTGTATGTATTCAAATATCTGAGGTAGTAAAAGCATACTAAAAATATCAGTTCACTAAGTAAATTAAACACATCCAAAGCAATCGAATCAAATATAAAATATTATTAAAAATTAAAAGAAATAATTTTTGTAACCATTTATGTGTGTGTTACAAAAATTGATTCTATCCTCCGTGAATCTGTTTTTGCTTTAAATTTTATGCAACGGATGGCGCTTTAATCATTTTAAATAAGCAAAAACCTCTGTTTACGACATTATAGATGCATGTGATTCCTGAAGGTCAGTTAGAATTTATATGCAGATGAGTGTTGCTGTTTTGTAATTCAAAAGTTTTAGTTCATTAATTTGCCATTTAAAAACCTATCCACCTTGAAGTGTAATATCTCAGTAAGTAGATTTTTTTATAAATATTTTATATATGTACAATTGTATTTTTAAAAAATATTAAGGTGTCAAAATATACAATAACTTATTTCAAATATATAAAGGGATGTTTAAAAAAAACATACGAAATCCTAACCTCCGTGAAGCTATCTTCGGTAAAGCTCTAATATTCAAAATGTATGATTTCTTAAAATTCTTGTATAAGTGCAGAACCACTTATGTTATGTTATTACTAGACCCGGTGGCTTCCCAAAAACCTCATTCTAGACTAACCAAAAATAATCATTTTCACTTGGGGGACATCTCAATATATTCACTAGACTGGGCAAAAAAAAATGACTATTTTTTTTTTGAAAAATATATCGAGAATGCCATTCAGAATGACAAAAAAAAATTCGTTAAAATTTGAGCCCTTAATATTAATTTTAAGAGGTCTATCGCTATTTTTTATTTTTAGTCATAATTTGATGTTTTACGTTAGAACTGTCAAAACATTAAAGTGAAAAAAATTCCTTTTTTAATCGTGAATAACTTTTGAAGAATTAAATTTAGGCAAAAATGTTAAGAGACCTTTTTTGTAGAACATTAAATTTCCTTTAAGAATCCGACGTGAGCTTTTTTAAATATTCATTGATTCATTAGTTACAAAATTTCAAAGTAAAAAGGGCAAATCGAAAAAACACATCGATTTATTGAGCTCAATTACTCGGAAACGGCTTGTCTGACGAAAATTTTCAATCGGACCTTTTTTGTAGAGAATTTAATTTTATATATAAATAAGTGAAAAGGAATTTTTTTCACTTTAATGTTTTGACAGTTCTAACGTAAAACATCAAATTATGACTAAAAATCAAAAATAGCGATGATAGACCTCTTAAAATTAATATTAAGGGCTCAAATTTTCACTAAATTTTTTTTGTTATTCTAAATGACATTCTCGATATATTTTTCAAAAAAAAAATAGTCAATTTTTTTGGCCCAGTCTAATATTCACCCTAATAAAAATTTCAGAATGGCGCAGTCGAAACAAGATAACTCGGTACTCACCTCGTTGGGATTAATTCTGCAATACACCATGGGACTTTGATTAAAATGTATTGCGACTTGGTGTTGGAATGTGGTAACCTGATTGGGCGCATTGAAGTAGCAATATCCGCACTGATATGCGCACACATTGTGCACGGAGTTCCAATGCTGAACCATCTTGTTTGTGGATTCCAAAGCGGAACATACAACCGGATATCCGCATTGCATCAAGTCCACGAAGTTGTGACGCAACAAGTGACGGTTAAAGTCGTTCTCGAATAGAAAAGATTTCTGGCAAGCTAAAATTTGTGTGAAATATAGTAAAGAAAAGTGAGTTTTCCAACTTTTCTTACGAGTTGAACATGCTATTTTTTGTATCCTTAATGTAAAAGTGTAAAACTTAAGAATATTTTAGCAAAAATTGTTTTTTTACAATCTTTAACATAGTTGCTTATGAACAGTAAAGCGTAGCAACGCATGACAACAAATTAAATAAAAACAGAATTTTGTTGAAAGATTAGTGTTTTTGAAGAAAATGAGGGTATTTTGGAAGTTGCGAGAAGCGACTCAAAATCTGATTCCATCTAAAAATATGATAAAACTTTTGAACAATTCTGTCAATGGAGAAACAATAAAGGGGTACACCTTAAGGTACAATTGTAGTAGTGAAAATGTTATGCTAGCGTTTTTTTGGGAAACGTAAAAAGCTAATGCTTTTAAAAAATAAATTTTCTAATTTTTTCCTGTATTTTTAGTCAAAAGATCTGAAGGCATCTTCACTGTGGTCAACATATTCGATGCTGAAGAATACGATGCAAATATATGAAAGCAGTGACATTTCAAAATACAAGCAATTAATTGCATTTTTGAAAAAACAGAATGGAGGATATGATCCTAAAAAGTCAAATGTGTTGTCAATTATGAAACAAATTAATAATTTTCTAAATGACGCTTCGAATGAATCGTATAGGCTTTGTTATCTATGATCGTATCTATTTATGAAAGTGGCATTAATTTTTGCTTTAAATGGAGCAATGCGAGGGGAAGAATTACGAACACTAACAATTAACGATATAGAAGAGAATGAATCAGTTATTATCGTAACACTACGTAATACAAAAACGAAAAAGAAGCGAGTTTTTACCATAACTTCGGAAGCGAACGGAATTGAGTTGTATCGGAAGTATCGTCAATTAAGGCCACAAAACACGAATCTATCCAGATTTATCGTTTGTTACCGGAATGGTAAATGCACTGTGCAGCCGGTGGGGATCAACACATTTTATAGTTTGCCGAGAAAAATTGCTGAATATTTGAAGCTTCCTGATTCCAATAGCTACATAGCATTGTATGCGAAGGAGTGCAGCTACCATGTTGGTTAATAATGGGGGCAGTATCCCTGATTTGAAAAGACTGGGGGGATGGTCTTCAACATCTTCTGCTGAGGGTTATACAGGAGAAAGCATTCAAAATAAAATTCAAACATCGGAGAAAATTTTTAGAGGCTCCAATCAACAGGAAGCTTCAAAGGATGACTCTTGGCAGCACTTATCCTCATCAAGGATGTTTCATTAAACGAGTTTTCTAAATGTACAAATGGAATTTCATTCCAAAATATATCTAATTGTACATTTAATATTTATGAACGTAAAAATTGTGAATAATTTTGTTCGTTAAATGTCAGATTTGTGTGTATGATTGTTTGCTAACGAGTCAAATGTGGCTAACTAATAAAGTGTTTCTAACTATACGCTAAAGAAGTATCGGGTTTTCGCAACGCGCGCGCCATCTGGTGGACTTCAAAAGCATTGCGTGAATTTAAGAATTGTCAACAATACATTTAAAGCATACGAACTGTACATCATTTTTAAATAAATAGGTAGTATTTTCACAAAAGAGAAAGGCAGAAGTCTTACTCGACAAATTTTGTTCAATTGCACAGCTAAATCGCGCACGTTATTTGTGTTTTACGTTGCAAGGAAAAAACTAAGAACTGGTTTAGTACTCGATTTCGATTGATTATTCTTTATATCATTGATTAAGAAACTCAACGCTTAAATGCTTATATAGTTCCGTTAGTGTGTATTTTATCTAAGGGATCATGGTGAATTATTGTTTTTAATTGTAAATAAAATTCAAGAAATAAATCGTTGCATTTTCATGTTTTGCCAAAGGATACAATTCGGTAAGTACATTTGTTGGTGCAGAATTAACTAATGATAACTTTACCTAACATAATTTTTGCACAAACATAACCTTAAAATCAACCATTTTTATATTTGAGTTCTCTAAAAAACGCTGACAACTGCATTTTAAACAACCTAAGAATTCATGGCAACATAATATTATATATAATATAAAATAGTATTTTACCGTTGAGTGGAGACTTTAAAGAATTCTTAATCAACGCTTTTAATAATGCTAAATGCCGTTTAAATTTAGACGACTTATTTGTTTGACGATTATTACTGAATTGAAATGTTTACACTTTTCACGTTAATCATTACTAAAATGTGTATTTATTGTATCTAATAGATACAATTTATATTTACAGGGACTGTATGAAATTTATTTCTTCATTCGGATTAACACTGTTTATTGGAAAACCGGATAAACTCAACCCAGGATTTCCTCTCGAAATACACCAAACAACACAACATATCGTGCCACGGTTTTTTTTCGATATTTTTTAACATTTTCCAGCTTTATTCTCAAAAACGTTTGACAGCTGATTATCAAAAGTTCTACTTTTGTTACGATGATAATAGCCGAGTGGCGCTACTAGCGATACTTCTTTAGCCTATTGTGTTGCTAATTAGTAAAATAAAACATTTCTTTATTGAATTCTATAGCTATAGCTAATCAAATGGCTGTTTTTCATTAAGGATACAAAAAAAGTGTTTTTGCCTGGTTTGGACAGGGTATCTTAGAACAGTTATATTTTACACTTAAATTAAAATCAAAGAAATATACAGGGACTTGAAAGATTACTTACGTTTGCAATGATAAGGTTTGCAATATTTCGGTATATTCAATGACGGAGAGGTGTTTTGTGATTCTGCGGCCAAACGCACTGCAGTGATGCCAACTTGTACAGTTATAGGTTTTCCTTTACCTCCATGCCTCTGTAAGTGATGCGCGTAAACATAATCAGAATTCACGGTTCTGTACAGGCAGTAGCCGCAAGCGTAACGGCAATTGCCGTGTTTTACGTCTATATGGGTGGTGACGTGCTCACAAGAGATATTATAGTCGCAATACACGCAGGGTATATAGGAGTTGGCCCACATTTTGTGCGATTTTAGGTGAGACTCGAAAAAGTCGCGTACGTTCGTTGAGAACAAACAAGAGTACGCCGGGCACTTGTATAGATCGCTTAAAGCGGTCAAAAATTTAGCCATGGCTTGCTTACTTTTCCTCGGGTTTCTTAACTGCTTGTCGTTCATTTTAAACCCGAATATTTTAGAATTAATTCTGGGTATTTTTAGTTTTAGCGGTCTAAGAGGAGGTACAACGACTTCAGAGATTTTTAATTTTAACGGGTTCTTGTCTTGTCCCGGGTTTTTACTTTCAATAATATCTCCTGTAACTATGTTATCTTCCTCTATATCGCTGTTACTTAAGTCGGGTGTTCTATCGACCACAGTGGACAATTTGTCATCGCTCAACGAATCGGATTCAGTCAAGTGCACATTCAAGACATGTCGAAACATGTCGTCCATCATACCACCATCGATGGTAAGCTTACAAACATCGCAATCTACTTTATCGATCTTTCCATGCTCCTTGCAATGTTTCATGAACGAATCCTGATTTTCACAGCTGTACACACAAGGGGGTACTTGGCATGAATACGTTAACACATCGTCTTTTTTAACAACTTTAAAGTAGCGATAATTCAATATCACACTATCGTCCAAAGATGCTTTATCGTTAACATCGTTCAGGTGCAGCAAATTCGGCGGCCTACTGCTGTCGTCATCTTTATCACTTAAGTTTTTGTCTAATGAGTCCTTTAGTTTGCCAATTATACCGGCAATAAAACTGTTGGACTTCTGCGGAACTTGGTTTATTAGATTTGATATCTGTAGTGGTTCTTCCACGAAAACAGGTTTTTTAATTGAAGTTTCCACTACTGGCAATGAAGATGTTACTGGTACTTCTATAGCAGGAAGTGGAACTAATTCAGGTATACCATCTTCTTCCTCTGGCTTTAACTTATCGAAAACCTCGTTTTGTAGCCTGGAACTCAATTTTTCCACAAAGTTTAGAGAGTTGCGATTTGTAGCTACGAGTTTGTTTACATCCTCCATTTTCTTAATTCTTCCCCGGTCGATTTTTTCGTTATCTTCATTTATATCAGTATCGCTGATTTGAATGCCCTGTATTTCTACCTCAGGTATAATAAGTGTTGCTTTTTCCTTAACTAGATTTTGCAAAACTGTTGATTTGTTGTTTTGTAGCCTGGAACTCAATTTTTCCACAAAGTTTAGAGAGTTGCGATTCGTAGCTACGAATTTGTTTACATCCTCCATTTTCTTTAATCTTTCCCGGTGGATTTTTTCGTTATCTTCATTCATATCAGTATCGTTGATTTGAATGCCCTGCATTTCTACCTCAGGTATAATAAGTGTTGCTTTTTCCTTATATTGATTTTGCAAAACTGTTGATTTGTTGTTTTGTAGCCTGGAACTCAATTTTTCCACAAAGTTTAGAGAGTTGCGATTTGTAGCTACGAATTTGTTTACATCTTCCATTTTCTTTAATCTTTCCCGGTCGATTTTTTCGTTATCTTCATTCATATCAGTATCGTTGATTTGAATGCCCTGCATTTCTACCTCAGGTATAATAAGTGTTGCTTTTTCCTCAACTTGATTTTGCAAAACTGTTGATTTGTTGTTTTGTAGCCTGGAACTCAATTTTTCCACAAACTTTAGAGAGTTGCGATTTGTAGCTACGAATTTGTTTACATCCTCCATTTTCTTTAATCCCTCGATTTTTTCGTTATCTTCATTCATATCAGTATCGTTGATTTGAATGCCCTGTATTTCTACCTCAGGTATAATAAGTGTAGCTTCTTCCTCAAATTGATTTGGCAAAACTGTAGATTTATCCTTTTTGGGGTTGTCTTCTTCCAGTTGTGCCTTTATTTTGGCTATCGCCTTTTCTTTAGCAGCCCTTTTTGAATGTCGTTGTGGTAATACTACATCTTTGATGGATAAATCCAAATTTGCAGGTGCGTTAAGGTTCTCCATTAGAGAATCCGTTTCATCGGAAGTTTTCTTTTTTTTTAAGGTTGGTTCTTCTGATATTTTAGACGTTGTATAGTCGATGATAGCCTTTCTGACATGTCTCTTCTTTTCGATAACAGTCGTATCTACTTCGTCTTTCTCCAACTGCATTCTTCTCTTTTGGAGGTAATCATCGTCCACGTCTAATATGGGTAATGTGGAAGATACAATCTTTGTAATCTTGACGTTTTTTCCGTGCGATTTCTTTGCGTGTTTCTTAACATTCTCCTCGTCTATTTGGCAATAATTACACTCGTTACACATGAACAAAAATGTGTATAAACCGGATAATTTACTGGGTAGAACACGTCGTTGATGGGCTTCGTTTTTCTGTATGTGAACCCCCAAACCATTGCTGTTATTATTGGCGTAGTTGCAGTCTTGACACTTAAACCTAAATTCCCCCGTATGCATTGTGACATGATCGTAGAACGCAATGGGACGCATCGAGTTACTATGCGTACAAAAGCGGCAAGCAAATTTGTATTTACGTTTAAGCTTGAACGCGGTTGTCAACTCTTCGTATTTTTTCATGTTTACTCTGGCATCTTCCAGCGCCAACTTGGCGTTTTCCTTTGTGAGTCGTGACGACCATACGTCTTCATCTGGGTGGTTCATAACGCAATGTTGCGTCAAGGATTTGCCAGTAAACGCACACAACTTGCATTGCGTTTTGTTTTTTTCCTCGTCTGGTGCAACGATTGGTTTATCTTCATCAGTTTTCTTCTTTTTCCACTTATTAATTAAAGCGCTTCCCCAGAGGGTCTCACGTTTACGTTTGTTTGTTTTTTGCGTGTTTTTGTCTTCTTCGTCCTTGCCATGTTTCGAATCTTCAGTTTCTAAAGATTCTTTAGGCGATATTTTAACAACCTTAACGTTCGACATATGTTTTACACCCACTGAGTCTTCTTTTCGTGAAATCTTCTTTTTACTATCTTTCTCTTCATCCTTCATGTCTGTATTCAATGCTTGTGGATAAGATTTTGGCATGCGACATAATCTTTTGCTATTCGCCGTCAACACATCACTTATAAACATGTCTTGAATATTTTCGTGTAAAAGATCCAATTCTGTTTTGTGTCTTTTGACTCTTGTCGAAGTCGGTCTTTTGACTCTTGTCGAAGTCGGTCTTTTGTACTTCTTTATACGTCCCCCCACTAAGACTTTTACTGGGTCAGCCTGTAAAACCTCTGTTCCTTTCTTCCTTGGTTTAGGACCAGGTTTCCTCCGTACTTTAACCTCCTGAATATTGGAAGGTTCCTCTTCTTCTTCTTCTTGATCAACAACCGGGCATTCTTTTTCTTTGTTGGTTTCTACGGTTGATTTATCTGCAGTTTTTTTGGCAGCCTCATCATCCTCATCTTTAATTATATTCGAAATTTTCTCGAGCTGCGAATCACTGAAACTGTCGCTAAAAGTTCTCATCAACGATAGAAAGGCACCTTTTTTCTCTTTTTTATCCTCGCTACCCATCAGATTGGCGAAAAATTGCGCCAAAACATTTTGCTCCGATTTCCTGCTATCGTTTTTGGTCTCGGGTTTTCCGTCTTTATCTTCTTGTGTATGTTGTTTCTTTACTGCTTTCTCTGCACTTTTTTCTTTGGCGTCGTCTTGTACACTTGAAGATACTGTTTCAGTAATAGTTTCCGATGTCGACTCTACAAGTTCTGGTTCTTTTAGAGAATTAATTTCTGGTCCTCCTTCCAAGTTAAGATCAGATTCAACATCTGCACTTTTTGTAATATGGACCTCCTTTATGATTTTTGGGATTTTGAAGTTCTGAACCCCGTAAACTGTTCTGGAGTTGTTGTTTTTGTCGCCGACATCCGAACTAGATCTATTATTATTCATAGCACTATAAACCCTATCGAATTGGTTTTTGTATCGAATTGAATCATGCGTATCTCCAACCTCTTTTGCTTCTTTAGATCGACCTCTAGGTTTATCGTCTACTTTGAACTGTCTAGGATCCCGATTTTGTGGTCTAGGATCTTCTCTGTTTAGTCTAGGGTCACGGTTGCGCTGCCTAGGGTCAACTCTGGCTAGTCTAGGGTCCCTTAAGTTTGGTCTGGAGTCTTCCTCTCTAAACTTAGAAGTTTGTGGCTGGTTAAAATCATTATTCTCATATTGTTTATGTTGCTCTTTATAACTTCTGGGGTCTCTATTATCTTTATTCAAACTATACTGAGATCTATTCAGTGGAGGAGAGGGTTCATAACTAAATTGATTTTGCTGGATGAACTGGTAATCCTCCATGAACTCTGGCTTATCATGCTGTTGCTGACCTATGAATTGAATTGGTCTGTGTTCATTTGGTGCATTATTAAAGTATGGTGTTGTAAAATATTGTTCGTTTATTATGGGCGTCACCCTATTACTGTGGGGGTTGTTATAATCAGGGCTTCCAAAATTATGCTGTATAGGTACAGATATATTATTCTGTTGTCTGTGGATGTAATGAAAACTATTCGTTGGTACATTTTGGTCAATCCTGATGAATTCGGCTAAATTTGGTGGAGGCACCATTTTTGGCGGTTCCACCACTTGAACAGGAACGTTTTGTACACTACTGCTCGTTATAGTCTCTGGTAGTTTTTTACCTAGTAGAGGTATTTTAAACGCGTTTTTTTTACTCTCATCTATGATTTCAGAAATGGATTTTAGAATGTCGGGTTTTGCAGAAGGTTTTTTGTTGCTGTCGTTTTCTCCACGATTAATGTATATTTTGCCTTCTTCTCTTTTAGTTTCTTTAGTCTTAATGACAGTTTTATGGTCTTTTTGTTTGTAATCTTTATGGTATTTCTTATAGTCGTACTTCTTGTGCTTATGTTTACTTTCTTTACTTAAAATCCTTTCCTTTTTATACTCTTTGCTGATACATGAAGTCCTCTCTTTTTTAGTATCTTTTTCCTTACTTTTTTCCAATAATTGATTATCGATTTTTGATAGCGTATTACCAAAAATACTGTCAGAATCTTTTATCGTCTTTCCAGTTTTTACACATTCTGAAAGTTTCGGTGGTACTTTAACAGGCAATTTGGTTGTATTTTTTTCCGGTAAACTACTAGTTTCAAGGTTGATAATTTTATTCAAATCGCAAAAGTCGTCCAAAAATTTGTCATCCAGTGCATTGCCAGGAGGCGAGTTTATTATTTTGTCACGTACATCTTCTTCAAGTCTTTGTAAATCATCCAAACTTATAGGTGGTTTCGAGAGCGCTATGTCGAATTCGTTGGAGTCCAAAATGGACTTATTTTGGTTTAACGAACCACCAGATACGCTGTACGGATAGAAGACTGGTTCGCTGGACAAATTATCATTTTCAACCCTAAAAAGATATTGGTATATAAGTAAATAGTGTTTAACCACAGAATGATAGCAAGAATGTTTTCAAACATGACCGTCGCAATATTAGATAACCAACTGATCAGGACAACTTCCTTAGAATTAACTTGCTATGTTAGGCGGTGTGTGAATAGTTGCATACCTATTTGGTTTTCCAACTTTTTCTGAAGGCATGACCATGGGTTTGCTATGAATTATATCTCGTGGCAGACTAGGACTAGGACTTAATTTAGACGAATCTATCGATTTAACAGGGGCTTCGTTCTGGGCTGGATTTTTGTTCTAAAAAATAAACAAGTTGTAACTCAAAACAACTTGGACTTTTGGGTACTTACCACTTTATTGTATAGCTGTATAATGACGTCCTCGCATTTTTGTAGGCTCTCAAATTTGACTCTAAAAATATTTTTCTTGGTTGATTTTATTTTGTTATTATTATTAACGTATTAGTAAAAAACAATGTCAACTACTTATAGTACAGATATAAAACATCGCTTCAACTGCTGTAAATATCTAATTTTATTAACCGATGATAATCATAAATATTTTTAATACATAACCTACCTTTTCCTTCTATTCGTAATAATAGAGTACAGAAATTCCATTTTATTCAGTTGTTTTTTTTTATCTATCTTCTTTGAATCCTTTAACTGTGCTAGCATATCATTCAAAAATGGAATATACTTTTCCAAACTCGATAACTTTTTTTCGTACTCGTCACCCATCTTCACTATGAAAAAAAACAGTAAAAATTACCTTAAACTACACTTTAAAAATCATATTATGATTTCCCTTTTTAAAGTAATACGGACGTCATGGTGAGCTCATCTTATGGTGTACAAAAATTCCTATCATGGTACGAGTTTCTCATGAGATACATATAGTGAAACGGCCATGGGGGATTTTTTGAGATCAACTCGTAAAATAGAAATAAAAAACTATCTAATATAATAAAAATAGAATGATTTAACAAAACACGCAAAACTAAAGAAATATCCGTTGGCGTCGCGAATGAGTTTCTTCGCTTCTATGTTTTGAGTTAACATCACAATCATAATAATTCATAATAATTTTTCTATTTAACCATATGGCGGCCATAGAAAAAACAAAAGATGATTGTGGTATTTCAAATTCAGTAGGCAAAAAAAAACACAATTTGGATAAAAATCTAAATAAATGTGTTTGTTAGCATGTAAAACTTTTTTCATAATTCCCAGGAATATTATTTCCTTAAAATAAAATATAATATAGGTACCTAGGTTTAGCTATAGCAATAAAAATAAGGAATTAATTAGAGATATTGTATTTGGATATTAAAAAATAAAACACAAAGAAAAGTACACATACGATGCGCTTAACTTGCTTTCATTGTTGCCACTGTACGTTTTATTTTAATAGTTTCTTTTCATATAGGTACGCAAATATTCATTTAACCATTGTTCCAAAAACAACAACACATGTGTTCTAGACGCAATATCGATTATGCGCTTAACTTGCTTTCATTGTTGCCACTGTACGTTTTATTTTAATAGTTTCTTTTCATATAGGTACGCAAATATTCATTTAACCATTGTTCCAAAAACAACAACACATGTGTTCTAGACGCAATATCGATTTTCTCGTAAGTACTATCGCTAACAAAAAAAACTCATACAGCTATATTGTGGCTATGTGAATAAAACTTTTCCGTCAATGTCAAGCTGACATCGAGCTTTGTCACATCCATTATGACTTTTTTAACAACATTTTCAACCAAACAATGCAGACGAACTCTGGCAAGCCATTGAAGCCATTTGGAACGAGATAAAGCAAGACGGCGACTTCCATGCTTTGCCGTTTGGGGGCAGTAATTGACAAAAACAGAGGGATGACGAAATATTTTTTTTTAACTTTAACCTAACTTTGTATTTAATTTTAGACCTTTCAAATGTGACGTATCATGTTAAAAGCCATAATTACTCCAACAAAATGATAGAAAATCAGGAACACTAGATTCTTAAGCTGTATGAGTTTTTTTTGTTAGCGATAGTAATATCATAAGGGCATTTAATTTTTCCGAAAAGAATCGAAAAAACACGTTGCTAAGTAATATTTTAACAAAAAGCATGAGTGCTGGTGGCAACAAAAATCCGAGTCGAAGAGGAGAATTTTTGCACCTGCACGAATGCATTTTGTTAAAAAATATTACTTGGCATTGTGTTTTTTCGATTTTTTTCACAGGAAAAATTAGACGCCCGAATACCAATTTGACAAGACTATTTCATGAGTAACAGTTAACAATTAAAATATAAATTGCAATTTTTGGTGACAACAGCTGTCAAGTTTTGCCGCGGGTAAACTCGAAAAAACTGCTGACAGGTGCTGTTACACAGTTTTTTCACCTAGAAACCATTTGTAATTCATAATTGCGCGTTTGTGATTGGTGGAAATTAAAACGAGGGAAATAGTCGTAAGTAATATCATAAGGGCATTTAATTTTTCCGAAAAGAATCGAAAAAACACGTTGCTAAGTAATATTTTAACAAAAAGCATGAGTGCTGGTGGCAACAAAAATCCGAGTCGAAGAGGAGGATTTTTGCACCTGCACGAATGCATTTTGTTAAAAAATATTACTTAGCATTGTGTTTTTTCGATTTTTTTCACAGGAAAAATTAGATGCCCGAATGGTATTTGACAAGACGGCCATTTCAAGCGCGCGAAACGCACGAATTACAAAACTGTTTTTATAAAAAAAATTGTAGATTATTTATTATATAATATTTTGGCATCAAAATTGTCAAAAATATTCTTCTTTTATTAGGTTATACATTAAATAAAAAAAAACTCAAGAAATATTTTATGAAAGTAGATATAATTTTAATAATTGAAAGGTGTGGACGGGACAAAAAAAAGATTTATCTTGTCCCGTCCATCCCTGTCAATTATTGAAATTATCTCTACTTTTATAAAATATTTCTTGCGATTTTTTTTATTTAATGTATACCCTAATAATAGAAGAATATATTTGACAATTTTGATGCAAAAATAATATATAATAAATTAGCTACAATTTTTTTTATAAAAACAGTTTTGTGATTTGTCCCGTCCATCCGCTTGAAATGGCCGAAGACTATTTCATGAGTAACAGTTAACAATTAAAATATAAATTGCAATTTTTGGTGACAACAGCTGTCAAGTTTTGCCGCGGGTAAACTCGAAAAAACTGCTGACAGGTGCTGTCACACAGTTTTTTCACCTAGAAACCATTTGTAATTCAAAATTGCGCGTTTGTGATTGGTGGAAATTAAAACGAGGGAAATAGTCAGCCATATAACTCAGCTGACCAATTCGATTAAAATAATAACTAAAGAAATTCTCAGTACTGTAAACATTGCTTTCGTGTTTTTAAAAGCCTTATAACAACACAAAACAGTGTTTATAAATACTTTTCTTTGTGATTTCTTTTGCAATTACCAAATACCACATCTCGGAATAATTCCGGATATTTATTTTAATCGCTATTTATACCATTTCTCTGCTATAAGTCTTATTAACTCTTCCAGAAGACTCCCAAATCTTGCTATTAGTCTGACTTACTAAGACTTATTCAGACTTTTTCCCAATCTATTAAGAGAAAGTAAGACTTTCAAAACTCTTACTTAAAAAATTCCGCAAGGGTGGAGCAAAATGTTTTATCAATTTGTCGAAAGCGTCGGTACCTACTGACACAGATCACAGATCATAAATTGGACCCCCTTATACAAAAGAGAACCAAGTCTCATCGTTTATCATGTACGTACATGTAACGTTACTGTCGCAGATTCTCAGTATAAATAGTGCCGACCGCAAAAAATTACTTTTAAGACGGTTCAAAATGTTTTGTCCTTGCTGCTTTTAACCCTATGCTCTGCAGCTAAGGAAAAATCATAAAATGATGTGATAATGACTTCCACGCCAAATGGAAGCCGCCCGGGAATTTGGCTAACTCATAGATAATATCGTAACCACCTCGGTAACCACAGAACATAAGATCGTAACAAATGTTTAAGTAGGTAGGTAGGTACAACAAAAACAAGTTTAAACTAAATTTCGTTACCTTAAGGTATATCGCCATGACAACTGTTTTTTTGTACTGAAATCAACAAGTTTAAGGTTAGGTATATTCTATAACTTCGGCATTTTAAGTATTTGGCAATGTTTTTGCTGTACCTACCCTGTAGGTACCGAATGTAAAATGGCCATTTTATGCATATAACAGAGATACATGTCATTTAATGTGTATTTCTTACCTTGAACGTTGAGACTTAACGCTTAAGAGTCGATCAACGCCTAGACTATAATCACTATTATGTACCTAACGTCTTTAACACTAATTTAGCTGCTTGTGCACAATTCTTTTTGCCGAATATAAAATTCAATAGACAATTTACACGACCGCTATTCTTTGGCGCCTCTTGCACAACGCATGCAATTTATATACGCAACAAATGTCTAAAATCTACCCATTTACAATACGCGTATAAATTAACAATAAATTATAAATGTATGTATTAGTTCATTTACCCGATTATCACGCACTTTACGCAGTACCACAATCAATTGTGCGCAGCGCAGTAGTAACTCACCATATATTTGTTACATGTAACTACCTAACTTAAAGATGAGAAAGTTTCTTAAAAAAACCGTTGGCATCACAAACAATTCATTTGTTCTAAGGTTGCTTGGTTACAAAAACAAATGCCCTTATTGGTTGTTAAACAAATGCATCTAGGAGGGCGTTGAATGTCATAAAAAATGACATTTGATAGATATCCGTTAATTTTTCAAAAAATAAGTCAATTTTAAGACGATATTGGTGTTTTTAGTAGTTTAAGTGGATAATAAACTTCCAGGTAATTATTATTACTATTATTTCCTCATATAATCAACTCATACAAACTAAAAATGATGTTAACAACAAATTTTTGTATTACCTATCAATTAAGTTACACAGAGCATAAGAACATACTAATGCTGATATACACATTGCCGACAAACTTATGTTCTCTTTCATATAACAAAATTAAGAACGTTTTTGTGTTCACAAAAATAGAAATTAAACAAATAAACATTTACTTACCAGTGGTAAGTTTATGCAAATAAACACATACTTATGCAAATAAACATTACCTGCGCCATCTAACCTTAGCTGTAGGAAGTTGCAAATCGGCAAAGAAGGTTTCTGCTAGGGTTTCCAATTTACATTTTGACAGTTCAACTTGTGTGGTTCCATAGATAATAATAAATCATGTGTGGTTCCCACATAGAGAAACATTGTTTTTCTATGGGTTCCCATTAAAAAGTGACGTAAGCAGCAAGTAATGCCAGAATTGAAAAAATCGGTGTTACCGAACTTTAAAATGCTAAATCGGGAGAACCAGTAACAAGTTACTAACATTATTTCCCATAGAATGTTTGAAGGTAAGTTATATTGTTTTGTGCTTGAAATCTTTGTATTATGCTTAAAAGTAAAGATAATTATCATTCAGTTAACCACAGTCTTGCCAACATCAGTTTCAAAAACATCATGTATAATTATTTAAATGGCACAATTTTTCGTTAAATTACGTTTCGTTACATTTCATTACAATGCTGGCTATATTCACCTTAACATAAGGTTCATTCCAACCAGCAGTAATATTACCGTAATATTATCGTCCGTAACAGCGTTAATGCGACTGCGCGAACAAAAATAGTAAAATTATTTTGAATAATGTATAAACTGGTTGGAACCTTTTTTTGAACTAGTAGTACTCACAATCAGAAGAAAAAGAATATAACCTAAAACCCACAATTGTATTGTGCTAAAAGCTAAGTAAAGCGCATATAGGTATATCTATTTCAATAAAGTAATAAATATGGCAGGTTTTTTAAATAATTACTTGTATGATTCTTCGGATGACGAGGATTTAGATTTTATTGGGGACATTGCTACTAGAAATAAATATAACCCAGGTTTGTTGAGTTTATAAATATATATAAAAGTAAATTTTAATAACATCGCACATTGATAATAAATTCTTCCATTCCTGCTCACAAATGATAAAAATTAGATGTATTAACATTAAAAATTAATAAAATCACCTTGTATAGCAGTCATTTTTAAATAATATGTCCACTTTAACAGAAAACAAACTTACAATATTACAAACGTTAATAAATAAACAAAAAGATGAGGTTATGTGCCCCTTCTACGCATGCGTCTAATTTTATTATCAACAGTTCTTGCTCTCGAGCAAGAATCGTTTGAACCGTAATTTAACTGTTCGTAACTCTGGTTGGAACGACGAACTGACAGTAATTGCCAGTTCTAAACTAGTAATTTTAGTTGGTTGGAACGACATTTTACAAACGCGCATGTGTATCAGTAATATTACTGGAAATTACTGCTGGTTGGAATGAACCTATTATATCGTGGGGTCAAAAGTTACCCCAAATAAAAAACGGCTGGATGAAAATTTTTAATTTTCTTGTTTAATCATTTTGCTTTTCCTGGTCAAAAATAATAATTACCTAATATTATAAATTTAATAATTAAAAAAAAATAAATGAAAATCAGGTAAGAACCTCATTAATTTTAATTTTTTTTTAATCACGCCAGATAATCCAGTTAATCTGGGTCATGGATTAAAATCGGTAAATTACCTAAGTATACCTTGCAAAATGGGAAAAAACTTTTTTTTAACTTTATGGGCTTTTGTGAGATTATTTTAAGATGTTATTTACACACCTGAATGTTAGGAAAATAATAGTATATTGTTTGGTAGTTGCTCTCCAGGTAATTTTAAAATAAGTCAAATTTGTTTCTAGAGTATGCTCAACCTCGCTTTTGAGTAGCAAAAACCCAGTAATGTTAAGTTTCCCCAATGGCAGTAATGCAAAGAAGTAAAATATTCCTTAGTATATAAACTTTTATTTGATTAAAAATAATTGATAAACAATCTACATGGAAACTTTGTTGATAACAGAGAACCCCTCATTATTTCTGGAAACTTTCCAGTAGTGTGGAATACTTTGAACTCTAGTCAGGGTATTTAAAAACTCTTCATCATGTGTAATAATTAACAATTGAAAGTTCTTTTCATCTTTCCTGGAATCAATTAAACTGACCAGAGCATCACTTAAACTTAAAATGTTTTGTCTGTCCAAATTGGTGGTGGGTTCATCGAGAGCCAAGATACCGCAATGCGTTGAGAATGTTTCGGCCAAGGCCATCCTGATGACCAAAGAGGCCAGCACCCGTTGGCCAGCACTGCACCGCGTCCTCATGTCGATTTCCACGCCCTTCTTCACCTGCACCACCTTGTACTGATAGCTCCTTTTTTTCTCGGTACCGATTTCATTTTCTGTTTTTATTTCAATGTAATCTATATCATTTCCGCGATATATGGCCCGCCACAGCTCTCTTATCACCTTGTTAATATGCACCATTCTATCTTTGTGAAAACGAAGTATCGACTTTTCCAGAACTATTGCGAACTTTTGCAAATCGCAATTTAGATTCTTTTCAATGTGATATTCGAATAATTTTTTTTTATATTCTTTATAAGCATTTTTATTTGTTGGCTTTTCTTGTTCAATCTTATAATCTTCGACGTGTTTTGCTATAGCGTCCTTTCCCCCTTTTATGTTATTTATTTCCTGTAATATTTTATTTTCTTCATTCAAAAGATTGCTTTTTTCTTCTTTGTAATTGTGGTGCCCAATTTGGATTTTTTGTTTATCAATTTTAAACTCCAATTCTTTCTCCTGAACCTGTTTTTCTCTTAACAAAATATTATCCTGCAATTCTCTAAAGTTAATTTTCTGTTTGGCCAAATCCTTTATTGTATTTGTTGCATTGGTTGATAATTCAATTTTTTTTTCATTTAACTCTTGCTCTTCAACTCGTAATTTGTCTAATTTCTCGTTCTCCTTTTTTAATCGGTCCTCATTATTTCTTAAACAATAATTATCTATTTCATCTTGAAGTTTCTCGAGGTCTTCTATTTTTTGTCTACTTTGGTTCACTTTGTCGTTTGCCTCTTTTGCAATCTGTTTATTATTTCTTACTGTTGCCTCTTTTTCACAATAGACAGCGTCATATTCGCCCTTTAGCTCTTTTTCTCTTGCTTCCAACTCCTCTATACAAATGTTAGCGTTATTTAGAGTTTTTTCATTTTCAGCTTTTTTTTCTTCAAGGTGTCGACCTTCTCGAAGGTCTTGTTGCAGAAGCATTTGCTCTTCCAAGTTTTTTTCTTTCTTCTTAGTTAATTCTTGGCATAGATTTTTGTACTCGCCCAATTTTTTTTCATTTGTCTCACAAGAGTGATTGAATGTCTTTATTTTGTCCTGGATTTCCGAAATTTCGGTATCGGTTTCGTGCAGGGACTTTTTGGTGGAGACCGATAAAATTTTTCGTTCCAAATTAATTATACTGCTTTTGGATTTCTTGATGTTGTCTTCATGTTCGTTGATTAACGCAACATCCGTTTGAACGTTTCTGCAATGGGTCACAGTTCTTTCTGGTCCTTCCAATTCGGAGTTTTTAGATTCAAGCTCTATACGTAAAAGCTCCATCTCATTGTTAAATTTGCGTAAATCCTTTTTTAGCTCCGGTAAAGCTTTGGTCAAGCTGTCAATGTCATTTTTTAAAAATTTGAGCTGCTGAAGGTTGTTGAACATTTCCTCTTCAACTTGCAGTTTTTTTGCGCAGTCGGCCAAATTTTTGGGACTGCACTCGATCTGTTTTTTAAGGGATGCTATGATATCTTTGATAACGTTGTTTTTTTGGGCGAAATTCGTGCTGCAAACTGGACAGCAAGGAGTTGGTCCTTCGAACTGTCTTATGTAAGATTCATACATCACTTTTGTGGAACTTAGGGTTCCCTTTTTTCTTTGTAAGTTTTCCTTTTTTATTTGCGTTTCTTCAAGTAGTTGGTCTATTGGTTTTTCTTTGCAAACTTTTTTGATTCTACCTTGTTTTTCTGACACTTCTAATTCAGTTTGTCGAATGTCTTCTTCCTTGTTTTTGATATTAATCTCCAATGTGGTTAATTTCTTTTGGATATCATTTATGCTATGGTTGATTTTTTTTACTTTGGGTTCATTTGTTTGTAATAATTCGTTTATTTTGGGGAGTAATTCATTATTGGGGAGTTCGTCGTCGAACAAATAAAAAAAATCTTCGCTGTGTTCATTTTTTATTTGATTAATTTTTGATGTCTTCTCGATAATGGATGTTTTTTCATTTTCAATCGTTTTCTCTGTTTCGTGGTTCTTCATTAGAATGTTATTATCCCGTTCAAGTTTTTCCAAGTGTTTCTTCAGTTGTGCGATCTCCATCTTCGAACCTTCAATTTCTTCGTTGACTTTATTTTCATCGAGCGAATTGGTCAGGTTAATGAAGGCTTTTTTGATTTCCACCGAATCCTTGCTTAACTCTTTCATTTTACTGTTTTTACCATCGATGTCCGATAATTTTCTTGTGCATTCGTCAATTGTACTTTGGCATTGGGCAGCAATGTTTTTCTTGAAATCAATCTCCTGCTTGGTTGTGCAGTGGTCCATTGATAGTTGGTTGATTTTTCTTTGCAATTCTTCCTCTTCAACCACCATTTTTTCGTCTAGATCTCTTAGCGCATCTTCGCTTGCGGCCAGCGCCACTTTAAACTCATTTTTGAGGGTGTCGTAACCTTGATTTTTAAAGTGTTTCGTGGCGTCTTGGATCAGATGTTCGCGTTTTTGCAGCCTGCTCGATTGCTGCCGTTGCTCCTCTTTAAGCTGGCCGATTTTTTTGTGACCTTCTCGAAATACCTCTCGCATATTTTCGGTTTTTACATCGATGTCAGCGATTTGCAGTTGAAGTTTCGTAATCGAATTCTCTTTATTTTTGGTGTTGGCGTCAAATTGTTCCATTTGTTGTCGCAATTCTTCATCGGTTCTATCGAACACAACGGAAATATTCTTTTTGATATATTCCTGTTGTTCTATTAAACCTTTCTTTTGCTCTTCAAGAGCGATCAGATTTCTTTGCAAAACACCTAGCTCGCCTTCACTCTTTATAATTTCCGTTAAACGCTTTTTTATGGGTACTAGCAACTCATTTCTGCGAGTTATGTCGTTTTCAATGTCGCGCAGTTCTTCCATGCATAAATTTATTCTGTTGTTTAAATCATCGGCCCGTATTTTGTTGTTGTGCGCGTCTTCCAGACTCTTCTTTTTCAATTCGATCACGTCTTTCTTTATTTGCAGTTTCCTCAAAGCGTCCACGCATTTGTTGTGCTTGGCAGAATCGAATATTTCGTCGAAACGTTCTTTTAGTTTTTTGGGTTCATCTAGGGGCCACGAGGATTGTTCTTGGTGGCAGAACAGAACGTGGTTTAAAATGGGCGCCGAAACGTTCAGCGCCTGCGTGCAATAATCTGAAACGTCGTTAATACGGCCGCATACGTGTTCCGTGCTTCCATCTGGTTTCTTTATTTCTATCCTTGTCAGAGTAGATTTAAACTTTTCTTTGGGAGAAAGATTTACTTGCATAAATCTAAAAAAAATATTTTACTTCAATAAAATTACTTTTTGAAAGGTTTTTAATGATGGGAAAAAAGCAATCGAATTGAAATTTTGGGTGTTCTTTATGGCACGCCGTTTTAACATTTATTAAATAATTTTTTAATTTAAAATTTTATTGGTTTTCTTACTAAAAATTTTACGTTTACATTTATAAATTTAAAATCTTTTCAACTATCATGTATTGAAAGACAAAATTTACTAACTAACAGTTCACTTCTATATTAAACAATATTATTTTCTATCAATTTTTGCAAAAATTTCTAAGTATCATTTTTTAATAAACATTGCTGTTCTGAGAGGTGATTTTTGGACTTTCTGTGAAACCTAATTTTTTTTATATTCTTGTTAATTAGGTCATAACTAAAATTTTAAGAGCAAAATAAAAAAAAATTGACGGTTAATTTTGTTTTAATTGGATGTTTATTAAAAATATGTATGCACACTTTCAATTCTCCAATTAAAACTTGCGATTTTATTTAAATATTATCATAACTTTTTAAATCAGATTAAAGATTAGTTAATTTCCTAAAAAAAGGTCTATACATTTTTTATATCTTTTCTGTTTTGTTGTAATACACGTTTAAAGTTTTAATTAAAGGTTAAATGTATAGTATACATTTATAAAACAATATAATAAACTTTACTAAAGATGAATAAACCGGTCCATAGTTAAATTTCATGAATTTCTTCGTAACTTTTACTACAATTTTTCATTTTTGTTTATAAAAAACACTTAAAAAAACTAAACAAAAATTATAGAATACGTATACTGAAAATGACAATTCAAACGTCAAATAAATTTTTAATAGATTTAAGTTTCATGGCAACCTTTAAGGATATATTAATTAAGGGAACATACATGTATACGTCAAAGGTTAGATTAAAAGTTTGAACGTTTATTGCAACAAAACAATAAAATATATAAAAAAAATTGTAAAAACCTTTTTTTTAGTTATGCAAATATTAAATATTTAAATTAAATCGCTAGTTTTAATTGGATAATTGAAAAAGTGCATAATATTTTTAATAAACAGCCAATTAAAACAATTCAAACCGTCAATTTTTTTTATTTTGCTCTTAAAATTTTAGTTATGACCTAAATAACAAGAATATAAAAAAAAATTAGGTTTCACAGAAAGTCGATAATTTCCCAAGTATAATTTATTTAGGTGGCATTTTGTAAACTTAAATAAATATTTTATAAAATTATTGAGATTAATTTGGTAAAGTTAATTTAAAATAAAAACACGTATAAAACATTTTCTACCAAAACAGTTTAAAAAGTTAAATTTTTGTAAACTCAAAACTATTGAAAATCAAAAAATATTTTAAATATAAAATGCAACTGTAAAGTTTAAGTTTAAAAATATTGATTTTTAAAAAATGGAATTTTAATATTTTATTCTTCAAAATTATTGGCTTGAATTTGTAAAGATGACTCTTAAAATTTAAATTTTAAATGATAGTCGATAAATTTTCAATACAAAAATTTGAACATTTAAATATAGTTTTAAATTTTAAAGTGGTAATTTTTGCATTAAAAATGTATCGACTATCATTTAAATGACTCTTTAAAAATTTAAACCAATAACTTTTATTTTTAACAATTTTAAATTGATACATTTTTAAGACAAAATTTATAACTTTACATTTAAATGTAACTCGATAGTTTTTAAATTATAAAGTGTAAACGTAGCTTTAGTAGAAGGCACAAGAGTCTGGGATCGGAGCCACGATGCAGCCAGTTTGATCCGCAGTGTTGCCAAATCGTGCTTGCTCCATAAATATTTGACGCGTTTTACAAATTATGGTAATGAAATGTTTCTTTATTGCATAAATTTAATAATAGAACAACAACATTTTTAGTGCCTATTGTACTAAGTTAATTCGACAATTAAAAAACATTTTTTCTAATTTTTAAGAGAAAATTTTTTTAAATGTAGTGCCCAATATTACGTGGATTCATCATACAAATTCACAGTGCCGTTTATAGATTACCGTACGGGATTGTATTGTTCATCTTCTACGGGAGGAAGGAAGGAAGGCAATCTATAAATCAGGCTTAACACTTAACCTCACCACAAAAACCGGAAAGCGGGAATTTGTATTTGTATATGGTTGCATCCACGTAATATTGTGGAACTACATTTTAAAAATTTTTCTCTTAAAAATTAGAAAAAATGTTTTTTAATTGTCAAATTAACTTTAACTAAAAATGTTGTTATTCTATAATTAAATTTATTTAATAAAGAAACATTTCAATACGATAATTTCTAAAACGCGTCAAATATTAATGGAGCAAGCACGATTTGGCAACACTGCGGATCAAACTGGCTGCATCGTGGCTCCGATCCCAGACTCTTGTGCCTTCTACTAAAGCTACGTTTACACTTTGTAATTTAAAAATTATCGACTTACATTTAAATGTAAAGTTATAAAATTTGTCTTAAAAATATATTACTTTAAAATTGTTAAAAATAAAAAAATTTGGTTTAAATTTGTAAAGAGTCATTTAAATGATTGTCGATAAATTTTTAATCCAAAAATTACTACTTTAAAATTTAAAACTTACATTTAAATGTAATGTGAGAATTTTTGTATTAAAAATTTATCAACTATCATTTAAATGACCCTTTAAAAATTTAAACCAATAATTTTGTAGAATAAAATATTATAACCAAAACTTTTAAAAATCAATATTTTTAAACATAAATTTTTACTGTTGCATTTTATATTTAAAATATTTTGTTGACTATCAATTGTTTTGAGTTTAAAAAAATTTAACTTAATAAATTTCTGTGCCATAGTTCTTTGTATATGTTTGGAAAAAATTTATATTTTTTAATTATCGAGAAAATATTTGTGTGTTCTAAATGTGGTATTTTTTTTCGGAGTGTAATACTTACCGGCCAATGGTAACTTCGTTTCCGTTTCGATCAAAAAACCTCATTTTGACGTTTCCTTGGATAGTTTGCTTATTGGTTAGATTAGGATTATTCAGAAACCCACTTCCTCCCCCGGCGGGTAGTTCCCCGGTACATGCATATTTAATCGACTCGATTATGGTAGTTTTACCACAACCGTTTTGACCCAACAATAAGGTAACAGGAGTGGTAAAAACGATTTGTTGGTCATTTTTATCGGGACTGAAACTTCGTACTCCGCAAATACTTAGTTTGTTGAGGACAGACATATTTTAATCTGTAAAAAAACAAATGCAAAGTAATATTGCTGGCACAGTCAATAAACGCGTATTGTATATTATAAAATTATGAAATAAAATTTAATTGTATAACAATTTTTATATTATAAGACTCATAACCCAGGTAGCACAACGTAACGAAATCTTGACGTAAACGAGACGTTTTCAGTCAGTCGTGACTTGGACGTTATTTAAAAATCGTAACGTATTTAATTAAAAACAGTTGCCAAACCGCGCTAAATTTAAGCATAGTTTTTGTGACGAATACGTTACATTAATATGAATAAAAATCTTCACGATGTAGTTAAGAATACGCCACGGATTCTTCACGATGATTTGTCACGGTTTCGTCACGACGCTTCGTTACCGAATAGTGAACTGAACTGGTCACGTAATTGTGGCGTATAGTTGCATTATTTGGGGGTGTAATAATATTGTGCAGTGTAATGCAGTGCAGTACGGTATAGTGGGTTGTTTTGTGTATTGTGGAATTATTGCTTACCTTCAAAGTTTTGTAATTTGATTTCAACCTCATCATCAGGTTGAAATCAAATTACAAAACTTTGAAGGTAAGCAATAATTCCACAATACACAAAACAACCCACTATACCGTACTGCACTGCATTACACTACACAATATTATTACATCCCCAAATAATAACATATTGTTGTTAGGATTGTTTATTTTGCAATGTTAATGCAAAGAAAGCACATTTAACTGAATTATATTTTATTAGAAAAACAATAAAAACATATTCTACAATAAACTATAATAATATATATTATATGTATATATATATAGAAAAACACTAACAAAATAAAAAAATATTTCTCTTATAAAATAAAAATACCTCCACTTTTGAAAACCAGCAATAATTGCAATTAGTTTTCAAATTTCATATCTTTGAAAAAAAAAATTAAATTATTTTTCTATTTTAAGGATAAAACAGTACACAAAAATATAATTCTCCAGTAGAATAAAACACTATTTTATTAGAATATACCTAATATAAAAAACAGTATAACAAAATAAACAAGTATACTCTATTTCTCTTATAAATTAAAAAATGAAATGAATGAAGTCAATTAAATTAAATAATTCATCTAGTATAAAATTTTTATTTTATTTCTGCAGTTTAACTGCAACATTTATTTATAATAAACATTTATTTATAATAAACTTACTTAAATAACACTAGGGGTTCAGCTGAAGTACAAACCTGTGATTTCATCTTATCATATGTACCTATGCTGGAAGGCATACATAATGTGCTTTTCAACGTCATCCTTTGTAATATTTCTTTCCCCCGAGACAACCCAAGACAATTGTGTTTGCCATCAATATGTCTTTTAGTCTAAAGTTTTCGTTCGTCCCTATAGGATATATCCAGTTGTGTGGAGTGTGTCCAGAGTGTTGACTGTAAAACAGTCTATGTTATGTTGGTTACCAATTTTTTAATTTTAATTGACCTGCAAAATGATCATAAGAAATAAGCAGTTTTCTCCATGGCTTTTTTAAAATTTATTTCACGTACAAAAAAATGTATTTTTTCCTCTTTCAGTAGAAATTCAACTTAAAATACTTAAGCTATAATAATAAATTTGTTAAGGATATATTAACACACTAAAAATGTTGTGGTTACTTATATTTTGTTGCTACAGCAAAACATTTCTTAGATTAGAGTGTGGAGTTGTTTAGCATTGCAGACAATTGTCTTAAGCTACTGAAATATAGAAAAGCAAAAGTAGGTACTTACGGTTTTAAACTATCCTTTTGTTTACCATTAAAAACTTTGCAGAAATATAGAAAAACCTACAGAAACCAATGGCTTGGGTCGTTACCAAACATTCAAAATGGAGATCCTACTTTATCTCTGATGCACAGAACATATGACTATTGGCGACTGCGCATTGGTGTCACGACTTTACGTGATGTTTTCGTGACGATTTGTATAAATATTTTGTAACGTTTTTGTAACGAGCTGCACGTCAAGAATTTTATACCAAAATTTAAAGTAAAATTATCACTATTTCGTGTGACTAACGACTTTATGAAAAAATTCGTCACGTATTTTCATAGACCCCTCGTCACGAATTTGGCGTCACGCAATTTATTTACTTTTTATTAAAATTTCCTTAATCGTAACGAAATATTGTCTCGTTTTCGTCACTTCTAATTTTTAATGTCACGTTGTGCTACCTGGGAAGTCTATACAGTAGGGTGGAGCGAAAAAATGAAAGTTATAATTTTTGTTAGTAATAGTTATCAAAAGTTGTCATTGATATTCAGTTGTTGTTACCTAAAATTTGAACCATTTTAATTAATGGCTTCAGGTTGTAGGTTAAATATTGATGTGAATAAAATATTTCATTCTAGAGGCATTTTACCAAAGTTTTACACAAAGGCCGAATATAATGTCGGAAAATAAAATGTTTCTTATTATTTAATAGCAATCGTCAAAAATATGTTTTTTTCAATTTTTTTTTGTATGATGATTTTTGTTTTTATTTAGAATAAATGTTTTTCTTTAGTTAAAATATTATTTAACAAACACCTAGTTTTAGTTTTTTCAGGCTATATAATATAGATATAGATAAGAAACATAACATAATTTTCGTAGATAACAATTATCGGTAGAGCCCTGAAGATGTAACTAAATTAAAAAAAACAAAAACACTATATTAATCGGCTTTATAAAAGGCAACTTTATTACCCTATTACATATTTTAAATAAAAAAATTTAAAAATCACTACGCGTTTCGCTCCACCCTACTATACAGGGTGAGTTTTAAGTTGACGCGTTCCTTTTAACAGTGTGTAGAAATCAGCTAGACAAATAAATATTTTAAGTAACTTTTTTATCAAAACTCAAAAATAAAAAAGTTATAGATCATCAAAGTTTAATTAAATTTTAAGCCGGTCCTGGCTATTGTTAACGAAAAACATAACCATAAAAATATCAAAATAAACAATGCAAAATGTAATATTTGACAACAAACATAACCATTAAATCAAATTGACATTTTGCAATAAAAAATGTCATTATTAACTTAAGTTGCAGCATTTGCATTTTGACGACACTCTCCATAAATTAGTAACATTTCCACTAATTCATAATTGCTATAATTATGAACCATTTTTAACAATAATTAAGGCACAAAAAAACTGACATTTTTCATTGCTAAATGTCATTTTGATTTAAATGGTTGTTTGTTGTCATAGATGACATTTTGCATTGTTTATTTTGTTATTTTTATTTTTATGGTTATGTTTTTTGTTAACAATAGCCAAGACCGGCTCAAAATTTAATTAAACTTGGAAGGCCTATAACTCTCTTATTTTTGAGTTTTGATAAAAAAGTTACTTAAAATATTTATTTGTTTATCTGATTTCTACACGCTGTTAAAAGGAACGCGTCAACTTAAAACTCACCCTGTATAGAATTACTTTATATTTGTACAGTCAAAAGTCAAATTATTATACACCGCCGTACAATAATGAAAATACATTGAAATTACATAGAAAGAGTGGTTACATGGGAACCAAAATCAATGATTTTTATTAAAAAAATCAACAAAAAATGTTTTTTTAAATTATAAGCTTTTTTTATTAAAGTGTAGTATTAAAAAAAATACTAAAAACAACTTGACTACCTATAATAATATTAAATTGGTACTTTATAAACAAACAAATAAACTACCGTCCGCAACTGTCATATATTTTTTTGTATATTCCTTTATTATTTTATTTAACAAGATAAGCAGAATTTCTATGCATATAAATTTATTTAAATAGTGTCAAGATATTATTGTGCTTTAGTTTTAGATCTTTTAAGTGTTTTTTTAGATTTTATAAAAAATCAAATGATTTAAATCAGACGCCATTTTAGTTACGAGATTTATTAGGCACGAGCGAAACTTGCGAGCGAGTGTTTAATAAAAACGAGTGACTAGAGAAGTTTATAAAACGAGTTGCATACTATACTTTATCTACGACGAACAGAAATACGAATTTAAAGCCAATTTTAATTCAAAAATATTTGACATTTGACGAATTTAACCCCACTTTTTCGTAATTTATAATAAAGACAACTTCAGCCCGTTACTAAGCCGCAATAAAGTCACAGCTCGTCAATGTAGGAGTAGATAATAGTATATTATGTATCAAGTTTGATAAACGCCATTTTATACACGAATTTAATTTAGTGTATATACTTTTTCTACGACAAATACTTATTATTATCTTAAAATGATTTAAATCATTTGTATAGGGCGCCATCTATAAAATAATAGGGGAATCTGTGTGTCACCGTTAAATGTCACATTTTTATTATTTTATAAAAACAGATTATAAAGTTTATAAATCGAAATGTATTTCTTGAAAATGGACAGTTTTTTACAGTAAAAGTAAAGAAAATGTTTTATGAGCACTTTACAGTGGAATCCGTGCCCGAATTTAAGTTATAGTTTACTGCCGGCGAAATTAAAAGGTCAGTACAATGTTCATATAAACTTTTCAAATATTGGCGTTGAGAAACTATTTAATACTTTTGTATTTTTGTATTGAGATAATGAAATAATTTTTACATTTAGTATTATTTTACAAGAAAGGCACTTTATTTTAACGATTGTATGACATTTGACAACTGTCAACTAACTTAAAACTAACTTCAGCCCGTGACTAAAAACTTGTTGCTAACTTCAGCCCGTGACTAAAGCGCCGTAAAGCCACAACTTGTCAATGTGTATTTAAAAGATCACTTAGTGTCATGGAAACATGTACGATAAAGGGCGTTTTAAAGGTGGGAGTAGAAAAAAATATTTTAATGCAAATTTAAAAAAAAAATGGTTTATTATTTGTTTTTCTAGTGCCCAAAACATATCAGAAAAAAGAATTGTTAAATTTTGATATAGGTCATAAAACTTGCTGCAGATTGTTATAGATGCGCGATACCATATTTGATTATCGATATTTAATCTGAATAGTTTTTATTTTCTTAAAGTATAAGTTTGTTTATTTATTTCATTTGCATGTATTTATTTGGACTAAAGATAGGAATAATTCTACTAATTAAAGTATTATACTTTAACAAGATTATAATTATTATTTGTAGGTATTCAAAGAGTTGTTTGTATTGATAATAAAGCCGTTGCTAAGGTAAACAAACAACTTCGGTGAAAACGATGTCTACACAGGTATTTTAAATCTTTCTTAAAATGTTACCTTAAAATAGTAAAAATAAAAACTTTTAGGACGAAGTAATAAGTTTGGTGGAGTTCAAGTCTCCTCCACCCCATAATGTAAGAAAAGCAAAGCCGCGTACCAATAGGGTTAGTTCCCCGCCCGCACAATCGGTCTATTCCCACAAAAGTCATGACGTTGTAAGCTTATTTTCTGTGAAGAATGCTGCCAAATTTAAAAAACACTCAGATGAAAGCACCGAGGACAGCCAGAGTCTGGAGACTACAGAGATATCCGACGATGTATTCGCGAAACCTGGGAATGTTAGAAAACCATCCTACAAAGAGAAAATCAGGGAGCGTTTTAACGTGGTAAAAAATCGAGCTGGTTCTTCATCAAACACCCTCAGTTCTCACAAAGGTAGCCGAGAAAAATTTCTTATGAATAGAGTGCGAAAGGAGAGCATCAACATAGACGCTGACTTTGAAAATGCAAGAAGCAGATACCACTTGGGCAAAAAGAGCTCCAAACAATTGGCCTTATTTTCCAAAGTTAAATCACCAGAAGTATGTAGGGTAAAGTAGACACTTCATAGTTATTGGACAATAATTTACTGTAAAAACTAGAGTTTTATAAATGGTTACCTTAAAGTCAAATCATAAGATGACGCTGTATACAATTATAACCATCTCAGTCGGTAATAATATAGAACTACTTTATTTTGGGTCCAATATAGGACAAAAAAGTTCGCACGTTACTTTGGTGGTAAAAAATGTAAATTTATATTATTGTAAAAACTATAAAAGTTAAGCAGTTTTTGAGATATAGTCAATTCCATATTATATGTAAAATTGATTATATTTCAAAAACTGTTCTACTTTTATAACTTTTGACGACATTTTCGGATTCAGCGAATAATATTTCATAGGAATTGACTGCTAAATGTCCTGGATACAAATTGCTTTTGACGAGAATTATTAGTGGCTGCTTTTTTGCCATGACATTTTTGACTAATTCATTTTTAGAGAGTATGTAATATAGTGATTTCTTCGTCACAGGACATCTTGCAGAATAATAGTGATTTAAATACAGTGCATGATAGAGAACATAAAAAACTAATGGCAACAAAATTAATAAATTCGGAAAATACTTTTAACATACCACCCGAAAAAATATTAGATATATATATAAATCATCCTGTTCCGGCCTAAACATTATAAATGCTTCACAAACTAGAGATACCACACTTAATGATATTTGCAACAAACTATTTCAAAAGTCAGACCAAGGAATTAGTAGTTAACTTCAGAATCCAGAAAAGGGATGAGGAATCCGAGAAAGAAATATATGAATTATATGATATTTACAATAACTAAATAAAAAAATAATAATACAGCAATTTATCTTTAAAAAATATTTAACAATTTATATTATTTGATGTAAAGTTGTTATGTTTATATAAAAATTGTATGTCCAATAACTACTATATAAAATGTCGAATTACTACACTTTTTTGCATGTTTTTATAAAACTATTATTAAAAATCCAAATATTCTTATTTTTAAGTAAACGTAAATAATGTTTAAACAAAGAAACTATCCTTTTTATATATTCATACGAAAAAAACTAAAATCTTTAAAACAACAGCATATATAAATTTTAAATGGTTGGTTGGTTTAAGTTTTAACTTTAAAACTTACTTTATTCTTTTAAAATTTTAGAAACACGATACCGAAGTAATCGATGATTTGGAAGGTAACTCTCAACGAAAAGGTGACGGTCTATTAACGTATCAACCAGGAGAACAACTGAAAACTAATGTACAATTATCCGAGGCAGAACATTTCTTCATATTTAAAGGGTAAAATTTAATTAAATAATCTTTTAGTGTAAGTATTTTGACGCTAGCGATTTTAATAACTTTTTATGGCAAAAATTGAGGTCGAAAATTTATATATCGTCCTGGGAAGGGTTTAAATCAAACAAAGAACTCCAGTTTGATTTTTTTTCGTGAAGATGACATTTTTACAAAAAGAACAAGCTAATATTGATAAAAATACATGGAAAAATGGCGAAGTTATGAATTTTTTAGTGGAAGACCAAAATTCAGCTTTTATTTTATTTTTTTTTATATTATTTTGTTTTTTTATTTTGTAATATGTTTATTCATATATTATATCACGAGAACTATGAATTTAATCGGTTAAACTAGGCTCAGAAGTTTTTTGTTTGGTTTTTCTTGGAAAATGTTGAATGCAAAATAATTTAATAAAATCACGAGACCGCGTAGCGGTTTTATTTTTAATTATTTTGCATGAAACTATTTTCCAAAAAGAAAAAACAAATAAAAAACTTAATGAGCATAGTTTGACAGATTAAATTTATAGGTTAAGTGATATAGGTCTAGATTATTTCTCGAATTAAAGGAAACTATTTGACAATTCATAAAATCTGACGTATGTGTCAAAATTTATAAATATTTTTTTAAAGAAAATTCCATTAATTTAAGGTATGTAATAAGTAATAATTGATATTTCGTAAACTAGATAACTTATTTTTTATTGTTTTTTAAAAATGTTTGTTAAAACTTGTAAATAACACCATAAAATCGTAAACAAAAATCCAATATGGAGGCTAAAATTTAATCGCTGTTAAATAGTTCTAGCGATTTAATCGCTTATTTAAACGAAATTTATTCGAAAATTTAAGGCTTTTGATTGGTTCATATTATAATGAGGGAAATAATCTTTAATAAAAAACGAAAACATTATTCAAAATTTAAATTTGACATGACTCCGCAAACGTGAACTCTTTTGCTTCTCGTGTTGGCATAGTGACATTTCATTGCTATTTTTTGATATTTCAACAAGGTATTTTGATCATGGTTTTATTTAGTTAATAAAAAGTGTAAAATCAGTAAAAAAGTAGAGTTCGAGTGCGTAAATAACCCGGACAATCTGGGCGACGTAAGTGATGAGCACGGAGAACGTTTTCACCAACAAATCACGGCTTCTGGGATGCAGCCATGATGGGTGATTACATTTGGTCCCTCATACGAGAAACGGAATACGAAAGCAACAAAAAACAAAGAAGGAGCCAGAATTTTTTTAAACCTATGCTTATATTTATTGTTCAAAATTCAATATATAATTTAATTTCAATATTTAATGTTTAAAATAAAAATTAATGTTCAATATTAAATTTTATATAATTCAATAAAATGAAGAAAAAACGTTAAAATTCTCGAAAAACTGAATTTTGCTCTTCCACTGAAAAATTCATAACTTAGGGCCGGTTTTTCAATTAGGGTTTAAACCTTGGTTCAGGGGAACTTAGATCAGTTAATGAACTTAGTTCACAGTCAAATGAGTTTTTCAATGTCGACTCAACAGCAGTTCTTAGATCAGCGGTGTCAACGTTAAGTTGGTACAACCGAATTTAGTATACGCCTACATTAATAGTAGTTAAAACTGTCATTTTGACAAAAGGATTTTGTGTTTACTTTTGGAGTTTTGTGTATCTGTGCTGTTTTAAAAAGTTATAATCTGTGTGAAAGGGTGCTTTAAAACAATTTACTATTGTTAAACAACAATAATTATTATTTATTATGGATAAAAATCCTGCTGCCAACTTTACCTCTTTTAAGGAGGAATTATTTGTATGTATTTCGTATTATATTATAAAATGAATTTGTCGTTTTTTGTTACATGTGATGAATTTTACTAAAATCTATTACCTATTCAGTAATTATTTTTATAACTAGGTAACCTATTGGTCGGATTTGCAATAACTGGTCTAATTAAATCCACTATCCTACGTACAAAAGGTTTGGAAAACCGAAATCTGGCAAAAAATTCATCATTAATCCACCTTTCAAAATGATTCGGTCTTACCCGTGGCCTGTGCACACGAAGTTGAATATTATTTAGGAATTCGCCAATTTCCTCATCATCCTCACTAACTACCTCAAACATATCCATTGGTTTATTATAAGTTATAATTTATAACAGCAGATTACAAAACAAGAAATAAACAACGTAATACACAATAAAGCAGAGAAAAATTAATTTATGTCAAGTTGAACTTCGTTTAAACGGCCAACAGTGACAGTTCATCTTTTGATTTAGTTTAAACCAAATTTAAGCTTGAACTTTGATTGAAAAACAGCATATTTTGTTTGAACCAAGTTCAAATGCTGAACCAAGTTTAAACTATGATTGAAAAACCGGCCCTAAAACACTAACACTAACCTAAACACTAAAACACTGACAGTGACAATGTCAACCATATAATTAAGGTCATTTTACACTACGATTTTGGAGAAATATAATATTATTTATTCCAGAGATCCTGTAGAATTACAGAGTAAACTAAATGATGAAGAACCAAGATTCCTTGAAGAGGAAGGATTCTATGTCCCTAAAAAAGACAGTTTGTCAGGAAGAAATTTTAATATTGTCGAAAAACGCTTACTGGGCTTAGACGACAGGTATAATGTGGTATAATTTAAATGTAAATTATATTTCTACGACTTTTTTCTAGAAAATGGTTTAATTGCGAAGGAAGGCTAATTATGCAAGAAAACCCCGTTCTAAATAGATCTTTAAGAGAACCAAAACCAATTAAAGATTCAAACATAACAACCTATTCTCCACCTACAAATAAAATAGACTGCAGCGAAGTTGTAGTGATAAGAGACCGAATTTTGGAGTTGCATTTGAAAAACCTTAAATTCGTGCATCATCCATTGTTCAGCATAGAACACGTTTTCGAACGAAAACTGACGATTTGCCACGAAAAATATAAACATTTTTTGGAAAACAACAACCTATCGAGGTTATTGAAAAGGCTGGATGCTATAAGGCACGTCAAAAAAAACCTTCAAAGTCTCCGCAAGGGAGAAATTGGTTTGGAAGTGAAAAAATACTCGCAGGAAATCAAAGAGCTAAGAAAATTATCGTATGAAGAGGGTAAAGTTGTAAGAGGTAACACCAAATTAATTCTGGAAACGTGGAAGTGTATTAAAAAAATACGCGAAGCTAACGGATATTCCAACACGAATATAAAATTAGCCATTAAAAAAGAACCAGTGGATACAGCTGAGGAAAAAATAAATCAAGAACAGCAAATTAAGGAAGCGATAGAAGAAATTCTGGAGGAGCATAAATTGTTGCATAAAGAAAAAATTAGGCAATACAAGAAGGAAATACAAACTTGGAAATCTTTGGATAACATAGATGTAGATAAGGATGAAGATCCGCCGAAAAAGCCAATTTTCAACATTGACGAAAAAAAGATCGAATCGGAAGTGCGAAAGCAATTTGAAGAAAGCTTTAAGCCTCCTGGAGAACCAATTCTGACCTTCTTTCTTTTAACTGATAACGAGGTTACCAAAGAGGTAAGTAACGCAAAAGAAAACGTTCGAAGGAACGCGGTGAATTCCACGAAAATATCGTTGAGAGTGGTGTGCAACAAAATTGAGGTTTGCAAGACTCATTTAACTCATTTAAATAACAGTTTTAACGTACAAATAAAGGAAGATATATCCATACAGCTCACAAACATTCCTGAGAGTATTACTATAGAAGTGATAGAGCAACCGAAATCGTTGCTTAGAAGGAAAATAACGGAGATAGAGTTGACTTTGCCCGGGCAAAAAAGTGCGCCAAGAGATGTGGAAAAACTTTTCGAAAAAGATGAAATCGTTCATTACAAACACGAAGGAGTCGGCTCAGGCATTCGACTGGCGTCTATATTAAGCGATTACAATTTGACTTTTGACGAAGATTTGAACTTAAATACTCGTGGAATATTAATGTACAACCTGGGGTGGGAAGGCTCAATGAAAGAGCAAACTCTAGAGGTGGAAGACTCCATAGAGCAACTCGTTAACGATGTTTTAGACAAAAATGGGATTATTAACGTGGAAAAACTCCACGAATGGATAACGTCGTTCACACCCGATCCACAGGACCCAAAGAACTCCATTCTGTACGAGTACATTTCGAGTTTTGATAAAAATTTGACTTATGAAAAGAAGAGCAACCATTTTAGGTAAGTAAGTAGTAAGTAGTCTTTCCAATCTCAAATCGACCAGGGTTTTTACTCTATGGTTATGAAACTGGGGTCCCAAGCAACAATTTAAGTTTTTGTTACGTATATGGGACTATTGAATAAACTTTAAAGTGTTTTGCGACAGTCGCCGGTCTCTTTATATTACTCTTTCATTACTAAGTTACGACTAAAGTGGGGAACAATTATTGAGTTCCAAAAAGGTAGCAAATATATATTTAATTATTAATAGCGTTTATTACCAAGAAAATTACTATTTATTAAAAAGTAAACAACCATTTACAAACAATTAAAAGAATTTATTATTTACATTACCACGTAGTACTGTACAGTAAAAAATTGCCGATAAGAAGCATTTTCCTTTGAAGTAGTTTTCGCTACTTTAAAGTTTTTTCCACCTTAATTTACTTTACGGTAGTTTTGGTTAGTACCATAAACATTCCAAATACTAAAATAATAACTTTTAAGTTATTAACTTTGTAGTTTTTAACTCATGGTCCAGTTTCGAGATTTTAACTTGCAAAGGGACTACAAAGTAAAAATAATTATAATGTAATATTTAGGTAGTAACCGAAAGTAACTGCTACAAATTAAATTTACTTGAAAGTTTTTTTTACTTATAACACCTTTTTTAAAGTTGCAAAGTCTTCTTGGGGGCAACCAAGTTTTACTTAAATGTTTATTACTTTATAGTAACCATTTAAAAAAAGAATTAAGTTTCTGTTACAAAATATTGCTATTTAAAAGTTAGAATTACTTTTAAGTAAAAATTAAAGTAGCTGTTTAGTATACTTAACTAACTTAAAGTTATCACCACTTTGGTAATGGTTTTTGGAACCAAAAATGCTGCTTAGTGTAATTTAGAACTTTTTGACATATTTAACAATTTTTGTCACTTCTGGTTTCAACGGAAATGGTCTTAAGTAGGGATGCACCGAGTAGTGGTTTTTAAAAAAGCCGGGTACCGGGTTTGCCTAAAATTTAAACACCGGGTACCGGGTACGGCTAGACCGGGTACCGGGTATTCGCCGAAACGAGTGCACATAACCCAAGTTTATTAGATCAGACTGTCCCAAATGTGTCAAAAATATTTGTGCTCTCCACCATCCAGTGTCTATTCCGAGAAAATATTTTCAGAAGCTGGGAATGTGTTTGATACAAAAAGAAATCGTCTTTTACCAGAAAATGGAGAAAAACTTATTTTTTGCACCACAATGCCCCCTGCTTAATTATGAATATTAAATAAATAATGTGTCAGTGTCAGAGGGAAGTTTCATTAATAAAAATTTATTATTAAATGAAAGCAAATTATTTATCTTATTTTTTAATTTGGTATTACATGTTGATTTTTAATTTTTTTTATAATCAATGTTAATTTTTTTAATATGTTTATTTTAAGAGTTAATGTTGTTTTTGAATTTTTATTTATAAATTAAAAATAAAACTTAAAAAATTCTATTTTTTGTTTTGTCAATGATTGATGATCTTCGTTATTTGGCCGGGTACTCGGCCATACCGGGTACCGACCGGGTACCCGGTGCATCCCTAGTCTTAAGTACTTTTAGAAGATGTAAAAAGTATACGGGTCATTTTCAAAATTCTTGTACTTTAAAGAAGAAAAATTGAAAACAAAAACATAATCTACAAACCTGTTTTTTCCAAATTTTGTTTATTTAGGGGTGTTATTTAACACCTAAAAGTGGGCAGTTGGATTTTTTTAAATAAGCCCCTAAAAAAGAAAAAGAAATTACTAAAATATTAAAAAAACTTGTATTTAAGGTTTTATTTACACTAGGATTTGTTTAAAAAAATAATACATTTATTATATAAAAAAAAGCTTAATTACAAAACTAAGTAAATGTTCCATTTCTCAACTTTCTTACATACATAAGTATTTTTAAAATATTTTCTGTACTTAAAAAATGTCCATGAAAAAAGTGAGTTTAAGAAATTTTCTTTTAATGCGTATTAACACGTTTTTTCTCGATTTTTTATCTTGGCCTAGCTTGTCCAATTTAACGAGCAATAAATTAATGAAAAGTTTTAGTTATTAGTAATATTAATAAAATAATAATAAAAAGTCAATATCAACATTGTTTTGTTGAACTACCAGCTTTGAAGCAAAATACATTGACTAGGAAAATTACTATTAAAAAGGTGGAGGACATTATTTTAAATTGGCTACATTCTGTCAGAAACAGAAAAGGTGGAAGGTCGAAAAAAAATTATTTTTAAAACTTTCCTATAAGTTTATTATTATTTCAAAAATATATTATAATTTATTTCTTTGGAATTGTCCCCTGGGTCACATAACTTTCCCCTGGGTCACACAAAAAAACGTGTTGTGACTTCAAGATAATTCAAAACATCATTTTCTACTAAAATCCGTTACTAAATGCATTGCCGCAAGGAGGCAGAACCAAAAAATGTGCGCTTAATTCAAAAGGTCATTTATAAAAGCTGTGGTCGCTTTTAGATGGAAAGGCTCATTGACAAAATAAATTAGGTCTTTAGTACCCAACAAATAAACGTATCACAACAACATTTTAAGAACCGTCTTATTCTTATTAATATTATTTACAGATTAAATCCTCATTTAGAGTCGCTTCAATTCTGCGATATAAAAGAAATTGAAAACAACATAAGATTGACGATGTTGCAACTACGAAATCAAAATGAAATCGAATTTGATGGCATGACGATTCCCAATAGGGTGAAAGAAATTCCTCTTAATGCTCTGGCGGACTACAAAAAGCGATTGGCTGTAGAAGATAAAGTGTTTTATGAAGACGATTTCGATGTGGACTTTGAACAGCACAGAAGCAACAGCAAAAAATACTTGAGACAAGTACACAACAAAATATTTCAAAAATGCAAAAACTACGATAATAATCTTTTGTACGAGAATGTCGTCAATGAAAAGTATCTGCCTTATTTAGAGTAAGTTATTTCATATTATGAATGTTTTTTTATTACACAAAACCTTGTATTTCAGGCAGTTAATTAAAGTGTTACTTTCGAATTTTTTAAATTGGTTTCGGTGGAGACCAAAAATTTCCCAACCTTTACCAATTGTTAAAAACGATGGTGAGGATATTAAGGAGAAATTCGGTCAGTTTTCTGAACAAGTAAACATAATTATTAAAATAAATTCGGGAATTAATTTAACATCTGGACGAAAACAAGAACCAAACGATAATAAAAAAAATCAAAATGAAGTTCAAAGATTTATAGAAATATCGTATAATGGTTATAGAATACGCTCATCAATCAGTTTTGGAGAAAATCCATGCTGGAATGAAGACCTCACACTTCCAATAGAGTAAATTTTCAATAAGGCAGGTCTACAAAATTTAAACCTCATTCTATTGTTCAAGTATGCCTTGGTGGAATTTTTTTTCTGAAAGTAAAAATAAGGGTTTTTGAAAGTCTTACTTTCTCTTAAAAACTCTGAATAAGACTTATTAAGTCTAAAGACCAATAGCAAGATTTGGGAGTCTTCTGGAAGAGTTAATAAGACTTAATATTATTGTAAAATAAAACACGAAGAATAGTATTTATTAACATTTTTTTGTGTTATGTAATTAATGTTATATATTATATGGGTACTTCCTTAGGGCCATAAAGAAGCACCTGAAACTTTTTTTCTAAATTCCAAAGACTAAAAATAATTTATAATACGTTTACCCTACCAAAAAGTACGCCACTGATCGACTAGGAACTTTAGGCTAATCTGGTTGCCAAATTTAATTTATTATGTTATGATATGTACACAAACCAAACGTAAGTGTCAACTCTTTTATTATGAATCACAATTTGTGGTAAATTGTAATAAACTTTGCTATTATTATTATATAGGTATTATAACATTACTTCTGTGTTGTTATAAGCTTTGTAACAACACAAAATAGTATATTATGACATGAGTTCTTTATGCTATTTTATCTATTTTGCAAAAATTCTATAAAAAAATCAATGTTATACCTTAAATTTAATTTGATCGAATTTTACTTTAGATAGTTGGTATCACAGTCATTGGTTTGACAGTTAATGTCAAAATCGATTCGCCATGCCGTCCTTAATTTACTTATTTACAATAAGCGGCTGTTAATGTTAAAGAAGAAAAAAACATTTTCTTTGGTGAAAAATTATAAAAATATTATAAACAATATGCAAAATATTATGCTGTTTATAGCCAACCTATAAAATCAAAATTTTGGGTGGGATTAAGTGTCTCATTACAGCACCGAAAGCGGGGTTATAATAAAGTCATTATGAACGCAAAATAGATAAAAACAATGTTTATAAATACTTTTCTTTAAGTTTTCTTTTACAATAACCAAATACAACATCTCTAAATAATTCCTGATATTTATTTTAATCGCTATAGGTACCTACTATTTCTCTGCTAAAAGTCTTATTAAGACTCCCAAATCTTGCTATTAGTCTTACTTACCAAGTCTTATCCTGACTTTTTCCGACTTAATAAGTCTTATTCAGTTTTTAAGAGAAAGTAAGACTTTCAAAACTCTTATTTTTACTTATTAAAACATTCTCAGAGAAAAATTTCCACAAGGGTCCCTCCTTCTGAATTTGACCTTCTTGATCTACAGGTTTTTGGGAATTTCTAACCCAAAAGTAGGAAAACGCGTTTGTTTCTTCAAAACATATTTTTTCCACACTCGTTATCGCACTTTTTTTTAATCTCCTCTCCAATGAAACTATATTTATGATCACGTTACCAAAATCATACAATTCAACAGCAAATATCCAACGGTTATTGAAATTGAAATTGAAAATTCAAAAAGGACGATTATTGTGAAGAAAAATCATTGATTTAATATTGACAAAAAATAAGGTTTTTTCAATTTTGGTGGAATTTCTCTAAACCCGGACGTGATTTAGCCATTATGAGGTCCAATTCGTATTAAGCACGACAAAATATACCTAGTCTTGTATCCGTTTAAATTTTTTGTAGACCTGCTATTATAAGGGTAATTCCATGAAAACCTGTTGCAATTAAAATACGTGTTAAACTTTAGGGTGTTATGTAATTAATGTAATATTAAAATACTGAATACCTTTTACATAAGGTGTAACGAAAATAGTATATTAAAGTACAAGTTGCAGAAGGCCACATATTCTCGCACGAATTCGAAATTTGGCCTCGAGCGACGAAGGAGCGAGTGGACGAACGAATGAGTGCGAAAATAGCCTTCTGCAACGTGTGATTTATACTATTTTCTCGATTTTAACTTTTATTTAGGTTTTTTTAATTGTTTTGTGGTCGTTGTTAGTTGGGGGATTTTTCTCGCAAACTGTCAGTTGGCAACACAAAATAACAATATTTGTTATCCTGCACAAGTACAACCTGAACTGCACTTTTTCACATTAAACTTAAAATTTTGCATTAAAATGCATTGTTGGAGCAAACTTAATATTACAAAACAATAATAAAGGCTTCATTTTCAATAAAAGTGTAGTTCAGGTTGCACTAGTGCAGGATAACAAACAAAGCTATTATAAATAATTCTAAAAGTAATGAATTTGAGGTTATTAAACAGTTTGACATTTTGGGGGTACCAATACTTAAAAACTAAATGTTACCAAAAATCGTTTAAGAATGAGCTTCATTCTTCAACGATTTTGCGTGCAAGAATATGACATTCTTACATAAAAATCGAGAAAATATTTTAAAAATATTTTCCCAAAGATAAAGAAAAAATATGCATTAGAAGTTTTTTATATTTTTTATGATACGCCACTGGTTACACACTTGTGTGGGGCCGTTCATTAATTACGTGAGACAATTTTGGCGATTTTTCGACCCCCCCCCCTCCCCTTGGTGAGATGTCGTGAGATTTTGCTCGACCCCCTCTCCCCCCCTTAATCTCACGTGAGATTTTTTAAAATGCATGGTTTTAATGTAAATAAGTTAATCTGTGCTTGATTCCATTAGATTTATTAAAAAAAAAACAATTTGCTTATAATTGTTTACTTAATTTAACCCAGTTTTCTCGCAATTTTACACTCTTTCTTTCGGAAAAAAAAATTACGTTATATTTGCCGAGAGCCCCCCTCCCCCCCACGTGAGATTTGGTGAGGTTTGGCTCGACCCCCTCCCCCCCCTAAACACCTCACGTAATTAATGAACGGCCCCTGTTCTGTGAGTACATAGATACCAACCAACAAAGTAGCTGCGAGTTGCCAGTTGTAAAAAATTGTTACTAAAAATTTGTCTTGCAAAAAATAAATAAAAACTCCATAACCACAAAATTAATTTTTTCATCGTTTTTTTTCTCGGTTTACTAAGATAAAATTAGTAGAAGTTCACAGGTTAAACTTTAAACATTCAGTTTGTGTAAATAAATCCAAAAGCACTAGTTAAGATATTTACAATTTGAGCACATAACCTAAAATTTGAAAGGAGTGCACTAGATTATGGCATTAAAATTGCCAGATTTTGTTTGAATTTACCTTCATTTCAAATAGACATAATCAACAATTAATAAAAACGCCAAATTAACAATTTGCATTTTTGATTTTGTCATTTTTGTAATTAAGCTAAATTTAAACAAAATCTGGCAACTTTTTTTGACAGAATCTGGAAACGCTGCTAACATAATAATTATTATTATATTATATTAATTACATATCACCCTGCATACTGTGTAATTTTTAAAATGTTGTTTAATTGTAATGAGGGTATTTCGTGGGTTGACCCACAAAGTGACTTTTTATAAATAAAGCAATTTTAGATCTCAACAAATCGACTATTTAAATCCCAACGCTCTTAGCGGTATAATTTTCGTAAATTTATTCGATTTAAAAAATTCAAAAAGTAATATTGAAGAAACAGATTGGATAGGATGCATTGACATACCGTTGGCGGCTGTTTGTTGCAATAATACAGTAAGATAAATCCATCAGCATTATTGCATTTATTTCACGAAAGTATTTTTAGTTGTGCGGAAATTTTAAAGTTAAGGTTCCATACTTTCTGCAAAACCTGGATGAGGAATTGGACAAAAATAAAATTAAATCTCCAAGAGTAAATAGTTACTTAAATATGAGTGTATCTATTGAACCCAACATACCCAAGCTGACACCAAGTATGGTAAATTATTATTATCTAAGGTTTTGTGTGATAGTACTTTTGAGTTAAAAAAGATTTAAGACAATTAGATGTTCAACAGTTTGTCCACTTGGTCCCCTGGGTCACAAATTTACTAAAACATTAAAAAAACTTTTTTTTGCTTTATTTACACTAGGAATTGTTTAAAAAAAGAATATAAATTTATTATTTATAAAAAAATGTTAAGTAAAAAACTAAGTAAAAGCAAAAACTATGTTCTATTTCTCAACATTTGTGAATACATAAGTATTTTTAATATATTTTCTGTATTTAAAAAAAAAATTAAAAAAAAAAAATAATTAAAAATTACAAAAAGTGAGTTAAAAAATTAAAAATTACAAAAAGTGAGTTTTTTTTAATGCGTTTTAAAAACGTTTTTCTCGATTTTTTATCTGGGCCCAGCTTGTTCAATTTAACGAGCAATAAATTAATAAAAAGTTATAGTTATTAGTAATAATAAAGAGTCAATATAACATTGTTTCGTTGAACTACCAAAAAAAAATTTTCCAGCTTCTTTGAGGCAAACCACATTGACTAGGAAAATTACTATTAAAAAGGTGGAGGACTTCATTTTACTGTCAGAAACAGAAAAGGTCGAAAAAAAATGTTTTTAAAACTTTCCTATAAGTTTATTATTATTTCAAAAATATATTATAATTTATTTCTTTGGAATTGTCCCGTGGGTCGCATAACTTTCCCCTGGGTCACACAATATGTGATCCAGGAGACGTGTGACCCAGGGGGAAAATGTATGTTTTTAGAACACAACCTATTTACTGTTTCAAAGATAAAAAAAATTGTATTTTTGCCCTTAATACCATTACTAGGATACTTTCTCTTGAGAATCAAATGAAGTCCTTTGCTACTTTTTTTTACTGTGACCCAGGAGATTGCACAGTTTTGCCACGCTAGTATAAAAAATACAAAAATCGTGTTGCGGCAAGGGGTCAGCACCAAAAAATGAGCGCTCAATTCAAAAGGTCATTTATAAAAGCTGTGACCCAGGAGACGTGACCTAGGGGATCAAAATTAAGGGACAAGCTTTAGGGGTTATTTTCTGTAATATTTGGAATATATTCTTAACTTTATAAAAAAGAAGGATGTTATTGTACTCTAAGATGTTTAAATAGCATTATGTACAAGAAATTTTGAACACTTGTAGGCTGAATTGCCGTCAAATGATGCCCCATTCATCCAAGAACACATTATCAATTGGAATGAACTATACAATAACAGCTTTCCGAGTAGAAAATTTTCGGCTCTATCCATCGACGTTAACTGCAAAACAAATTGCCTAACAAAATATTTGAGGCCCTTAGAACCTCCCCAACTAAACGAGTCATATGATTTTGGAGCTGATCAGTGTGCAAGATATGTTTCTTTGATACCTTTTACGGATTGCAGCCAATTTTACCACAATATATGGCTTAAAACCGAAGTAAGTCCGGAAAATAGGTTTTTCTGCCAATAAACATACAGGGTGTTATGTAATTAATGTAATATATTAAAATGGGTAGTTCCCTAGGGTCCATAAAGAAGCACCTGAAACTTAAATTTTTAAACTAAATTTTAAAGACTAAAAATAATTTCTAATAACCTTTATCCTACCACGCCACGCCACTGATCGACTAGGAAATTTAGGCTAATCTGGTTGCCTAATTTAATTTATTATGTTATGGTTGTAACAACCAGCGTTTCCAGATTCTGTCAAAAAAGTTGCCAAATTTTGTTTAAATTCAGCTTAACTACAAAAATGACAAAATCAACAATGCAAATTGTTAATTTGGCGTTTTTATTAATTGTTGATTGTCATTTTTGTAATGAAGGTAAATTCAAACAAAATCTGGCAACTTTTGTGACGGAATCTAGTGTATTTCTCTCAAATTTTAGGTTATGTGCTCAAATTGTAAATATCTTAACTAAGGGAAGTGCTTTTGGATTTATTTACACAAATTGAACGTTTAAAGTTTAACCTAATTTCATCTGAGTAAACAAAAAGAAAAAAGTTTTTAAAATGGGTACTAAATTTTCTAATCATTGCTTAAGCTAACAGCTGGATGAGTAAATAAATACAGAAGGGTATTAGAGCTTTAAGGGCATAAAACTTTTGTATTTATTGAGTTTTTATTTATTTTTTTGCAAGAAAAATTTTTGGCAACAATTTTTTACAACTGGCAACGCGCAGCTACTTTGTTGGTTGGTATCTTTGTACTCACAGAACACAAGTGCGCCAGTGGGAAAATATTTTTTTCAATATTTTTCCGTTACACCTTAAGTCAAAAGGTATTCTTCAGTATTTTAATATATTACATTAATTACATTACACCCTGTATAATAAACAATAATTTTTATAGTAGCTCTTTGAAATAGGAATTGAAGGAAACGTATTATTTTCAAGCGCATATCAATTTTCACTTATAAGGCTGTATAGAAAGACTTCATATTTGTATGTAGCTCAAAAGTCGTACAATAATGAAAATTAATTAATTAAAATTACATAGGAAGAGTGGTTCTATCTATCGCATTTAGCTCAAAATCAGTGTAGGCAACTGTTAATTTAAATTACAGGTCGCTGTAGAATAAATTTATGCTCATAACCTATATAATGTCAAACGTCAACATTATCTAAGTAGCTATGACAAAATCTTTTGTAATCTGTGGAAAAAATGTCACAAACTTAAAAATTATTAGCTCGGATGTGCTCCGTTTCGCATATTATAAAACGTACTATTTCAAAGAGGCACCTATAGTTACCATAAAGTCAAATCATTAGATCACGCTGTATACAATTATAACTATCTCAGTCGGTAATAATATAGAACTACTTTATTTTGGGTCCAATATAGGACAAAAAAGTTCGCACGTTACTTTGGTGGTAAGATTTTTGTTTTTTTTTGTTAAGAGCAGGGCTGTGTTTAAATTACAATAAAAAAATATTTCTAAAAAGTATACAGATCAGTGTGTGGTATAAATGTGTTCCGCATGGTTTAAACATTGTCACTTTAATGCGTTTTAATTTTAATTCTGAAAACAAACAGTAAAATGGCCAGTGTCCAATTACTGGTTGGTAAAAAATGTGAATTTCTATTATTGGACATATGTCCAATATCATACTCTATTAGTATCCCGAAAATTTACCAGCCAATTCTTATGTAAAATTGTCCCCTGAATCTGAAAAGACCGCCAAAAACTATAAAAGTTAAGCAGTTTTTGAGATATAGTCGATTCCATATTATACAGTAGGTATGTCCCTGGATGGGGTTGCCAATAGGAAAAACTTTTTTATTACGCGTTTTACAGAAATAAGTCATTCTTCATAAAAACCCCTGCTTATTTAAAAAATGACATCACCTTCAAAAAATTTTGAATTAAATGTACGGGGTGCTCAAAACATGAAAATTGTTCAAGAGAGAAGTACCTTTATAAATTATTTTATTAAAAAATTTTATAAAAGAAATTTGACTACAATTCAAATTAAAATCTAAATACAAACTAAAAAAAATATATTTTAATTTTATGAATTTTTTTTTATAATATTTTAATAATTTTTTATTTGTTTTGTATTTAGAATTTAATTTAACCTAAATTGAAGTTTCATGGACCTTCACTTATAAAACTTTTAATAAAATAAAATAATTTTTTTATAAAAATAAGATACAATTTTTTAATAAAAAAAAATAATTTTTTAAATAAAAAAAATATATTTTGTATTTAGACTTGAATTGTAATCGACTTTCTTTTATAAAATTTTTCAATAAAATAATTCATAAAGAGAAGTGAAGTGAAGTGAAGAATTTTCATGTTTTTCTAATTTCTGAGCACCCTGTACATTTGATTCAAAATTTTTTGATGGGGATGTCATTTTTTAAATATTTTATGAGGAATGACTTTTTTTTGTAAAACGCGAAATAAAAAAGTTTTTCCTATTGGCATCCGGGGACATACGGTATGAAAAATTGATTATCAAAAGCTGTTTTATAACTTTCGACTTGTCTAATCGTCCGAACATACGGACGACTAATATATATTATTCGTCCGAACATACGGACGACTAATATATATTATTCGTCCGAACATACGGACGACTAATATATATTAGTCGTCCGTATGTTCGGACGACTAATATATATTATTCGTCCGGTAATAACATAACGTTAGTTACGTCATAATTATAATCCGCTTTTGTTCACCGACCGTTTAATATTTGACAACAAGCTAGATAGCTTATATGGTAGGGCGTTCGCTTGTCATGCGAGAGGTCCCGGGTTCGATACTAAGAAGCTGTCGAATTTTTTTTATTTTTTTATTTCATAAATTTGTTGTTTCTTTGTTAAATAGTGTTCGGTTGGGTTGGGTTGGTTGGTTTGTTTTAGTTTTATCGTAACATAAAATCTACTAGAAGTTGTCGAACTTTTTTTATTTCATAAATTTGTTGTTGCTTTGTTAAAAAGTGTTTTATTTTTATCGTAACATAAATTTGCCCATTTTAGTTGGGTTTTTTGTTCAATGGGGCGGGGGGGGCCAATGGGGCGGGGTCGGTTGGGTTGTGTTGTTGAGTTTGAGTCCGATAATCTTTTTATTATTTATTTATGTTATTACCGGACGATTAATATATTTTATTCGTCCGATTATACGGACGACTAGCAACGGCCTTTCGACTTGTCTAATCGTCCGAACATACGGACGACTAATATATATTAGTCGTCCGTATGTTCGGACGAATAATATATATTAGTCGTCCGTATGTTCGGACGATTAGACAAGTCGAAAGGCCGTTGCTAGTCGTCCGAACATACGGACGACTAATATATATTATTCGTCCGAATATACGGACGACTAGCAACGGCCTATAACTTTTGACGACATTTTCGGATTCAGCATATAATATTTCATAGGAACTGACTGCTACATGTCCTGGATACAAATTGCCATTGACGAGAATTATTAGTGGCTGCTTTTTCGCTATGACATTTTTAACTAATTCATTTTTAGAGAGTAAGTAATATAGTGATTTCTTCGTCACAGGACATCTTGCAGAATAACAGTGATTTAAATACAGAAATAGAGAACATAAAACTAATGGCAACAAAATTAATAAATTCGGAAAATACTTTTAACAACTTTTAAAAAATATTAGATATATATAAATCATCCTGTTCCGGCCTAAACATTATAAATGTTTCACAAACTAGAGATACCACACTTAATGATATTTGCAACAAACTATTTCACAAGTCAGACCAAGGAATTAGTAGTTACCTTCAGAATCCAGAAAAGGGATGAGGAATCCGAGAAAGAAAAATATGAATTATTTGATATTTACAAAAACGAAATAAAAAAAAATTACCTAAAACAGCAATTTATCTTTAAAAAATATTTACAATTCATGTTATTTGATGTAAAGTTCTAATGTTTATATAAAAATAACTATGGTCCACGTGTCCATTACTGTATAAAATGTCCAATTACTATATTTTTTTGGATGTTTTTATAAAACTATTATTAAAAATTCAAATATTCTTATTTTTAAATAAACGTAAATAAAGTTTAAACAAACAAACTATCCTTTTTATATATTTATAAGAAAAAACTGAAATCTTTAAAACAACGGAAATATATAATTTTAAATAATTTTTTTTAAGGAACTTCTTAATTTATCGATCGGATCGATAATTGACCACGCTGTCGCCTTAACTTGCTATTTACTGGCTTTAAAAATGGACGTGTGGCTTTTATTGGGTTTTGGTGTGCCACAAGGGTCCACCGCTTACGTTTTAGTTAGGGAGTACCGCAGGGAAGTGGAACTTCCACAATATTACATTTATGACGTCACTTGTAACGCCAAATATTACGTTACTGAAGGAACGTGCCCTTTACAGAGGGTGTATTGCCTCGTCAACGAATCCAATGTTAGTGAATACATCTTTTTTTTTGTTTTCAAAGAAAAATCATGTATGTTTCTAGGTGTGGGCAAATATACAAAGAAACGACAATATACCGTTTATGAGGTTTGACTTGACAAGAAGATCTGATTGGTTGCCATTGTTTAGTAATGATATTTACGCACCCACGAACTCAGTGAACTTTAAGGTAGAATACAAACCTACAATTAATGTTGAATTTTTGGAAACGCTATTGGAAACCAAAATAAAGAAGAAAATATCAAAACTTAGGAAACTAAATAGAACAACTTGGATTATTAACAAATCATATACCTTCAAGAACCTTTTAAGGTCAATGGAAGCAAATGCTATGTTTGAAAGAAATAATTCTGATATTGTAACAGAAATATTTCCCATAGTATTTTCACAAAAGGTAAATACTATAGCTATAGCTATATGCAAATAATTTATATATTATATTAATTTTAGATGGATGGATTTATTTTAAATACTACTTTTGATAATGTTTCATTGATGGTTAAAAAATTGGAAAGAACCTTATTTCATAATCAAAATGATAATATTAACGAATTTGCTTTAACAGTATTTATACAATGCTATCCAGGACAAATTTTATCTGTATGGATTTGTTTAGCATTTTTAAATAAACAATAAAAAAAATGTTTCCTTGTTTAATTTAACTATTATAACACAACATGCCAAAGTTCATTCAAATTAATACAAAATTATTATGAAGGTATTTAAAAAAAATAAAAAAGCGTTCAAATTTTTAGTGCAACATTTAACCATTAAATGACTATAAAATAACAATAAAATAGTTTGTTTCAAAACGTGTTCTAGACAAAAAGATGAATTTCTAACAGGAAGAAATGCAAAATTACAAAACTAAAAATAGGAAAAAAATAATACACAGCAAAACAAGAACTAGTCGAAAACAACTGATGCATGAGGGAATAAGAAAATATAATGAATTACCAGCAAAAATAAAGGAAAAACAAACCAAAGATTTTAAAAAAGTGATCAAAGAATATATAATCTATTAAACAGACTGAAATATTAAATTACCTATATTTTATTCGTAAAAAGACTAAATATAAATAAAGCATATATTATTTATCTGTATACTACTGGCTACTATAGTAGCCCATTAGGGAACATTAAAATTTTGATACTTGGCTTCATCGAAATATATATTAACTAATGCAGTATATTCATATATTTAGTATAAATTAAAAAAAAATCATTTTGACCCATTTGGGTCAAAATTAAAATACACAACAAAAAATACTAATAATTATTACAACTCACCTTTAAAATTATTCATAAACTACAAATATTTAAATTTTAAGCCTTATTTATTAATTATTCCCATTATTAACATTACTGGTCATTTATTATTAAAAATTACACATAAATTAACACTAATAATTAAAATAAAATAAATAAAACTGACAACAAATGTTTGACATGTTTACTAGGAAATGCCAAATAACAAATGCGTTTAAAAACAAAATAATAGTATTTTATTTTCGTTATGTTGCATACCTGAAATTTTGTTTACGTTTTGCAAACTTTATTTTTATTAAATTTAACAATAATTTTAAAATCTTTTAAATTTATAATTAACAAAATGTTAAGTAAAAAGAGCCAATTTTCAGCTCGCTGTCTGGGAATCATAAATTATAAAGAAATGTGTGAATACTTTGTGAAAAAATAGGTTGGCCATACTGCACGCCTATAGTTCTTTGGTTCTAGCGCGGTTGGTAGTCTAATTTGACGTCTTTTTGTGAGGTTATAAAGCGTGTTTAAATTCTTGTCGCGTTATTTTTGCGTTAAAATGGCTTTACGTGTGCAATTCGAAAATAACAACGAAATAGGAGTGTTCTCCAAATTGACCAATGCCTACTGCCTCGTTGGTATCGGTGGATCAGAGAATTTTTACAGGTAAATAAATAAAACTCAACATTGTGCAATTTATGTTAATTAAATAAATGTTTTTTAGTGCATTTGAGGGCGAATTGGCAGAGAATATACCTGTTGTACATGCCTCTTTAGCTGGTTGCCGAATTATAGGACGCATGTGTGTGGGAAATAAAAATGGATTACTAGTTCCAAGCTCCACATTTGATACTGAGTTGCAGCATATAAGAAACGCGTTGCCAGATTCAGTTAAAGTGCAAAGAGTCGAAGAAAGATTATCGGCGTTGGGAAATGTTATAGCCTGCAATGACTATGTAGCTCTAGTACACCCAGATTTAGACAGAGAAACGGAAGAAATAATCGCTGACACCTTAAAGGTCGAAGTGTTCAGGCAAACCATCGCCAGCAATGTTTTAGTGGGCTCCTACTGCGTTTTGAGTAATCAGGGAGGCTTAGTGCACCCCAACACAAGTATAGTTGATCAGGAGGAGTTGTCATCGTTACTTCAAGTTCCGTTAGTGGCTGGTACTATTAACAGGGGTAGCGAAGTGGTTGCGGCAGGTTTGGTGGTGAACGATTGGTGTGCGTTTGCTGGTATGGACACCACATCTACCGAATTGACAGTTGTTGAGTCTGTGTTCAGGTTGAACGAGGCTGTACCATCGAATATAACATCGGCTATGAGAGCCAGTTTAATTGAGAGGTTAGGTTTTTTTATTGATTTTTTATATTTATTAATATTGTGTTTTTTGTTGCAGCATGTCCTAAATTTTAATTACATAAAGAAATACATTTGTTTAAGGAAGGAGTTTTTCATAAAAATTAATTTTTATGTAACCATTAACCAAAATACTTTATTATATTTTAGTATTAAACTGTTTTATTTAGAATTTTTTTTATTTTAAACCTTAGTTTTAGTAAGAAAAGTATGAATTAAAAAAACACCTACAGTTCATTTTTTTTTATTTGGACTTGATTTTTTTTATTAAGTTGGTAGCTTATGCCAGTTTGATTTAGTATTTAAATAATGGTACTTCTGCTAAAGACCTTAATTAAAAACAGCAACACTGCACAGTTTAACGGCGGCCATTTTTGTTTACAATTTTTGTGCTTTGGGTTTGTGCTCTGTTTATACAGATTAATAATCGTTTTAAACGTTGTTTCTCATAGTAAGCCTTAAAGTGCTAAGAACAACTATTTTACTCCTCTATTGTAAAAAATAAACTTTATTCCATCAGGGCTGTCATAAAACTGTCAAATGTCAATTTTAAGGTTAAATTATAACCCACAAATTAACCTTCAAATTGTCATTTGACAGCCCTGATAGAATAAGGTATATTTATTATAAAAGAGGAGTAAAATGGTTGTCCTTAGCACTTAAAGGCCTTATTTGAGGCTTACAAGTGCCTCCGTAAGAAACCCAACGTTTAAAAAAATTATTAAACAGCATAAACCCAAAGCACAAGAATTGTAAACAACAAAAATGGCCGCCGTTAAACTCTGTGCAGTGAGATAGAACAGACCTTGTTGTGTGGATTGTGAAAAACAGCATCCATTTGGTTTGAAGAAGATAATTATCTTATATTATATATCTATATATAAAATATGGATAATGGATAAAATCCATTTTCAAAAACTAAAGGTGGCAACACAGAATATCTTTATGTTGGTGCAACTGCGTGTTTGAATAAAAATTAAAACTGTCAAAAGGTTTAAAAAGTTTATCTTGAGTAATTAAATTTGTGTACTTTGCGATTAATTTGTATTAAATTAAACGTAAAATCACATCCAACTTGGTGTTAAAATATTCCTAAATTTCATAATGAAGAAAAGAAAAATGACATGAGGTAATATGATTCTATTTTATTAATTTATAAAATGTGGTTATTATGTTTTGACTATCAATGTCAATTGAACGGTTTAAATTCCAAATTTTTGCAATGGGTAATAGCCAAGTAGTATTAAATTAATTATAAACTAAATTAATATCGATAAACAATACATTTTTTAGCCAAAACATGAAAATATTCCAGCTAAAAGTCCCATTGATTACAATGATTGTAAAATTGATACAGAATCATGTCATTTATTAGATAACTGTGGTAAAATTAATGAAATTATTAGTTTAACAAATAGTCCATCGTGTTACCTTATAAATAATGATACTCCTGATATTAAATTAATTTACTCGAGTCCTGATATAAATCGCAACCCAATCAAAACAGTGTCTTCATTGGAACAACTTATAAATGAAGATAAACAAAAAAAGAATTTTAAATTGGAAACAAAAGGGTATAACTTAATATTTGATGAAAATAAATACACAGGTAAAACTAACAATCAAATTTGTTATAATTCTGAAATTAATAATGGTTGTGAATTTATGAATTCAAGAAGTTTTATTTACACAGAATGTCAAGGTTCAAAAAATATTAATAATAATAATAATAGTTGTGAAATCATGGATCAAAATTTTGATGATATAACGATCACTAATAGTGTTCAAAATTTTTGTAAAGTTATGGAAAACCAAAAGCCAAAAAATAACAAATCAACAATAACAAATGCACTCAGTTTATGTGGTGATCTAAATAACAAATTTCAAAGCAAAACATCTCAAAAACAATTCCAAAGAAAACGTAACTTGTATAAGCATAAAAAATGCCGTAAAAATAAAGTTACAAAACCGAAAAATGTATGTCAAAATTTTAATGATGTTACGTTCACTAATAGCGTTCAAAATTTCTGTAAAGTTATGGAAAAGCAAGAGCTAAAAAATAACAAATCAACAATAACAAATGCAGAAATTTTATGTGGTGATCCAAATTTCAATGCAAGACATGCCAAAAACAGTTCCAAAGAAAGTGTAACTTAAATAGGCATAAAAAATGCTGCAAAAATAGAATTGCCAAACCAGAAAATGAAAATATTATGTTTAATTGCTTGTTTTGTAATAAACAATTCAAAGCGAATTGCAATCTTAAAAAACATGAAAAATCTTGTAAAAATAAATTGCAAGTAAAGGGACAAATATCTTCAATAATTATTAGTATGTACTAAATGTACAGGGTGTTATGTAATAAATGCAATATATTAAAATAGTTAATACCTTTTTTAACGGAAATATATTAAAAAAATATTTTCCCAAAGATAAAGAAAAAATATGCATTAGAAGTTTTTTATATTTTTTGTGATACGCCACTGGTTACACACCTGTGTTCTGTGAGTACATAGATACCAACAAACAAAGTAGCTGCGCCTTGCCAGTTGTAAAAAATTGTTACTAAAAATTTTTCTTGCAAAAAATAAATAAAAACTCAATAAATACAAAAGTTTCATGCCCTTAAAGCTCTAATACCCTTCTGTATTTATTTACTCATCCAGCTATTAGCTTAAGCAATGATTAAAAAATTTAGTAGGTACCTATTTTAAAAATTTCTACAAAATTAATTTTTTCATCGTTTTTTTACATTCAATTTGTGTAAATAAATCCAAAGCTAAATTTAAACAAAATCTGGCAACTTTTTTGACAGAATCTGGAAACGCTGGTTGTTACCAACCATAACATAATAAATTAATTAGGCAACCAGAAGTGTATAGTCGATCAGTGACGTACTTTTTGGTAGGATAAAGGTTATTATAAATTTTTTTTAGTCTGGGATTTAGAAAAAAAAAGTTTCAGGTGCTTCCATATGGACCTACCCATTTTAATATATTACATTAATTACATAACACCCTGTATATTATATTAACCCTGTTTGGTGGTTGAAAAAATTGATATTGTTTTAAAAATTCCTTTATCAAGTCAAAAAATATACATAAAAACCTAAAAAATTATAAAAAATTTGACGAATTTTGTTTGTGGTTTAAAAAATTTTTTTTCATTTTATTTATCCTAGGAAATTTTACTAAAAAAAACAATTTTGGGACCCCCGTTTAACGGAAATAAAGGCTTTAAGTATTTCCATAATGATAATTAAATTTTTTAGATTCTGTGTATCAGTGTGGTTTATGTAACAAACAATTTAAAAGAAAATTAGTTTTGGAAAATCATGAAAAAACTCATAAAAATTCGGATGACAATTTTAAAAAACCCAGTAGAAAAAAATCATTTAGTTGTAAGTAAACAATGATTATAAAAATTTAAAAAAATACCTACTTATATCAAAAGTTTATTCCGATACTGATGTACCTAGGAAAGGTTCCAATTATATTCTGATATTTATTTGACTGCTATAACATTTTTATAACTTAATAATTCTTTTCAAAATCACCTAAATTTATTTCCATTCATTGGAAATATTTATGTAATTAATGTAATATATTAAAATACTGAATACCTTTTGACATAAGGCGTAACAGAAAAATAATAAAAAAATATTTTCCCAAAGATAAGGAAATTTTTCTTGCAAAAAAAAAATGTTTTATGCCCTTAAAGCTATAATACCCTTCTGTATTTATTTACTCATCCAGCTATATACTAATATTAGTTTAAGCAATGATTAGAAAATTTAGTACCTATCTTAAAAACTCCATAACCAAAAAATTAATTTTTTCACCGTTTTATTTCTTTCTGTTTACTCAGATGAAATTAGGACAAGTTCACAGGTTAAACTTTAGACATTCAATTTGTATAAATAAATCCAAAAGCACTTCTCTTAGTTAAGATATTTACAATTTGATCACATAACCTAAAATTTGTCATAAAAGTTGCCATATTTTGTTTTAATTTACCTTTATTACAAAAATGACATAATAAACAATTAACAAAAACGCCAAATTAACAATTCCTTTGTTGATTTTGTCATTAAAAAAAAGTTTCTGGTGCTTGTTTAGGGAACAACCCATTTTAATATATTAAATTAATTACGTAACACCTTGTATAATCGGAATCTCTGGAAAAGTTGAGGGGCTCATTTTTATTTATAAATTTAATTAAAAATATATTTTAGCTGCAAAACTTCAGTACAAATGTTCAGTTTGTGGAAAACAATGTAAAAAGAAAATATCCTTATTGAGTCACATAAAAGTACATAATAAATAGTAAAAAAAAATAAAATAAAAAATTAAAATTAAACTACATTTTTTATTTAACATCAACATTAGTATAATAAAATTAAGTACACTTATGGTCATAAATACATATGGAAATTATTATTTTTGACTGGTTAGGTGTTTGGCTAAGAAATAGCCAAGCTCAGGTCTTTTGACCGAACCATCCAATAACTTATTGACTTCTTTTGAAGAAACAACAATGCCGTTCCCTGATAAAATTTTGTTTTTCATTTCTGCCATCCCTTGCTCTGTTACACCCTTACAGCAGTCCTCGATGAGTATGGTACGGAAGCCCAGTGCCATAGAATCCAATGCTGTCGAGCCCACACAAACATCGTAGGCTAAGCCACACACGTAAAGGTCGGTTATGTTAAATTTTTTTAAGTACTTTGATAAATCAGTGGCGGAGTGTTTTTTATTATCCCAGAAAGCCGAATAGGAGTCTATCTCGGAGTTGACGCCCTTTTTGATGTACACAGCCCCTTCCACCCTCAATAAATCTTTGTGTAACTCACTTCCCCATGTACCCTGTATGCAGTGGGTGGGCCATAATATTTGCTCTGTAGGTGGGGTACCTTCGAATATAACCTTATCGTACATTTGTGCTTTATCCAGCCCCAAACTGGATTCGTGGAACGGCCTTAAATGGCGATTTTCATAGAAGGAAATGTGGTCTTTCGGATGCCAATCCAGCGAGTAAAAAACCTTGTCGAATTTTACCGTCGCTAATAATTTGTTGACGCCCAAAACTGTATCGGCCCCATCCTGGTTGGCCGGGCAGTTTTTCAAAGCCAACGTACCGCTTATAAAGTCGTTTTGTACGTCAACTATGATAATCGCGGTGACCGGGTTTAAAACAATTGACAACCACTTGTCAATGAATATTTGTAACTCATTTTCACGCAGGATTTCGTCTTTATTTTGACAGAAAACGTCGAATATTGCCGGGTATGATTCGTGATTCGCCCCGTATATTTCTCGACAGAACAAAACGAACTCGTCTTTTGTAATTGCAACGGCATTTTCCGATGTTTTCTTATGTTTTTTCAGGAAATCTCGCAGCACTTTTTCAGCATCGATTTTTGAACCGTTTACCGCCATCTCACAAATAACCTCACTTCTTATACAACAACAAAATTCGCCCGATTTGTGAATGAATATTTGTCTTTAAAAACCGGGATTTCACAGGACCTTGAATTTTTAATTGGTCGATGTTTCATCGATAATCGCGTTGTCATGCAAAGCGGAAGCGATCGAATTTGTTTTGTGCCAATAAAAAACGAATTACAAAGGAAATAGGTAAATCGATTTAACTGCTGTTTTTGCCACAAACTCGCGATTTTTATTTACTAGCTACTTCTAGAAGTGCATTACTCATAAATTTGCTACGTAACGGATTTATCAGTAAATAAATTAATGCGTGGTTTAGTAAATAAACAAAATAGTTTGAAATCGATTATTATGTTTATCTATGTACGCAAATAATTAATTTTAATAAATTAATTTTTTTTTATTTACTTACCCAGCAATTAGCTTAAACAATGATTAGAAAATTTAGTAAGTACCCATTTAAAAAACATAACCACAAAATTAATTTTTTCATCGGTTTTTTTCTTTCTGTTTACTCAGATGAAATTAGGAAAAGTTCACAGGTTAAACTTTCAATTTGTGTAAATAAATCCAAAAGCACTTCCCTTAGTTAGGATATTTACAATTCGAGCACATAACCTAAAATTTGAAAGACATGCACTAGATTCTGTCATAAAAGTTGCCAGATTTTGTTTGAATTTACCTTCATTACAAAAATGACATAATCAACAATTAATAAAAACGCCACATTAACAATTTGCATTGTTGATTTTGACATTTTTGTAATTAAGCCAAATTTAAACAAAATCTGGCAACTTTTTTTGACAGAATCTGGAAACGCTGGTTGTTACCAACCATAACATAATAAATTAAATTAGGCAACCAGATTAGCCCAAAGTTCCTAGTCGATCAGTGGCGTACTTTTTGGTAGGTAGGTTATAAATTATTTTTAGTCTTTAGAATTTAGAAAAAAAAAGTTTCAGGTGCTTCTTTATGGACATTAATTACATCCTAATTTACACCCTGTAAAGAAAATTTTTATAATAATAATAATAATAAAAATTAATATTTTAATTTTTTTCAAAAAATAAAATAAAATTTAAAATTATTTTGTATTTAGACTTTAATTCAATTTGCCAACTTTTTCTTATATATTTTTTTTAATTATAAATAAAAGTACTTTATTTTTATTTGTATATAAAAGTAAACAAATAAACAAAATTAAATGTCAAAAAAAAATCGTAATTATCTTCAATTAAATTTATAATTTTTCTAGAAAATAATAAATAAAAGTAGTATTTCTACTCTTGCAGCGTTTTCAAGTTTTCTTAATTTCCGAGAACCCTGTACATTTGATTCCAATTTTTTTAATTTTAATTTTGATCTTTTTTAAAAATTTTTAAAAAACGCATAATAAAAAAGTTTTCCTATTGACAAAAATTTTTTTTGTACAAGGTTTTAAGTTTTCATTTCTATAAAAAAAAACTAATTTTCCTTCAAAAATATTTACCCACAACAAAATAACATTATGTCAATAAATAAAAAAAAATTTAAACCCTAAATTTTTTTCAAAAAATATTGCATGGTCTTTTTTTATTAAAAAATCGTGTGAATTCAAGACTTTTTAATCTTTATAAATAGGAATACAAATCTTTAAAATAAAATTAAAAAAGTACACAGTAACAAATGTCAATACTTTCATACCAACAAAATTATATGAAGACATTATAAACCAATTTTTGTTCATAATTTAATTTCATAATTATTGCAAAAAAAAAATACAAATTTAATCAAATTCATACAGAATTATCACAAAAAATCAATCAGTCATGCACATTGGAGCAAAAAATTATTTTGGAATTTCATTGCATGGCATTTAAACAATCATTTTCAGACCCAATATGCATAAAAACTGTATTATAATGGACATTTATTAAAAACATAAATAAATACTAAAGGATACCGCGAAAACGGGCACATTAATCATCATCTAACACAATTATTTGTTGGGGCTCTTCAACTAAAACCACATCGTCCTCCGAACCTTGAGATTCCACTGAGGGTACTAGCTTCATCGGAGAAGAATTGCCGTTTAAATTATCAGCTTCAGATGTTATATCTGTATTTATAGCTGCTATGTCTGTGTCGTTTTGTCCATTTGGTATTGTATCTTCGGATTTTGACTGCCGTCTGAATGCCACAGCCAATGGAAGATCGTCACTACTATTTGAGTCATTGTGAGTTGTACTTTCTATCATAGGTACTAAAAGGTCTTGGAATATGCTGTGTCCATTTTCGACACTGTTTGTCTCATTGTAATTTTTCGGTTTTCTACCTCTTTTCTTCCCAGGCAGTTTACTTGCTGGTTTTTCTTCTATTGGTTTATTAAATTGTAACACTTTGATCTCCGATTTCTCAATGAGGTTATCATAATCAATAATATTACTATTCACAACAATATCGGCCCTTATCATGTCCTCAAAGTCTATCAACTCGTCGGGTTTTACTTCTGTCGTTTTTTCAGGCTCGATTTTCTTCACATATGTAGATTCGTTCACAAACTCATCACCTTCCGAAGGTTCCAATTCTAACTGTGGAAGCACACCCTCATCGTTACCGCCTTCCAAAACAAACTCTTCATCCTCGGATTCCAACTTTTCTATGCACCCATCATCGTCCAAATCGTATTCGAAACCTTCGGAAAAATTCGGTCGGCTTCTTTTACGCAAACTGTACGTTTTTTGCACCGGCTCTTCCGGAACAGGACTATCACTTTTAACCTCATCGTCGCTTTCGTCGCTCTGATAAATTTTGCCCCGCGATTTCCTTTTATTACGCTTCCTTACCATTTTGTTTGTTTTGATGGTCTTGAAAAAAACGAGGTTAGGGGAACAATCCGACGTTGCTGAAGCTCGAAGACACCATTTTTAAAAACGAATATTCTCATTTAAATAGGGCAATCTATAAAGTTAATATAGTTCCATACTATATTCAGAGACTCTATGACTATATTTAATTTATGAAATGCAAAATAACCTAATAAAACGGTTTAATAATGTCATAAATTCCCAAAAACTGTTAATCACGGCATCCTCGCCTTATGTCATTAAGGTTGGCGATCTACCTTACCGGCTGAGTCATTTTCCTGCTGGAAAATTGTCAAATTTTCGCTTTCAATTCACTTTTCTTTTTTTCGCGATTAATGCCAAAGAAAGACCCGTGCAAAGCCTTCGCTTGCAGAATTCAATCTTGTCTGACAGGTAACGCATAACCTCAAATAATATTACATAATACCACAGTATTTTTTCAGCGAATAACTTTCAAGAAAAAAAGTGCCTGCATGAGATTGAGGAAATGAAAAGGTGCTGCCGCGTGTGGAAGGATAAGAGTTTCGTTTGTCAAGGCATTAAAATCGACGATAATGAAGCAAAAAATTCTAGCTAAAGATCGTGGCTTGATTTACAAGTATCCCAGATTGTTTGTGGGAGTTACGACTGCCGCAGCTCTACTTTCTCTGTTCTCCAAACCGATTTACGACACTTTTTTCAGCACGGAAGTGTACGATATCGAGGAAATCCGCAGAAATCACAAATCGAGGTTTACAAAAAACTAAACGATGGAATCTGTTCAAAAAGCCAAATCCAGGTATAGACAGTATCCGTTGATATTAGCTAAGTGTGGCAAAGAGGCGACAAATTATGCTCAGTGTGTTTTGAAGAGGGACAATGTCGGTTTGAACGATTGCAATAAGGAGTTCTCAAATTTCAAGGTGTGTCTGCAAAAATCTGCCGCGTCTTTAAAAACTAGAATTTAGTTTTAATATCACCTCGGATTGTTAGATAAAATGAGTGCTTTCGTAGGAAAAATTGTAAATATCAACTATAAAATCCATTTATTAATAGCCCTTATTATTCGATTTTCTCTTATCGCTTATGGGGTGCATCACGATCAAAATAATGCGGTTAAATATACCGATGTAGATTATAAAGTTTTTACTGATGCATCCAGGCATGTTTTACATAATGGTTCCCCTTATAGCAGGCATACTTATCGATATACTCCTTTGGTAGCAATTGCTTTGATTCCTAACCTTACTTTTTACCCGTGTTTCGGTAAGGTTTTATTTTGTTTTGTTGATGTATTGGTGGCTCTTCTTATAAAGTCAATTGTTAAGTATAACTTGAAGAATTATCAAAAATATCTTTTTTCTGAAAATGTAGAGGATAGATGTAAGTTGGAATACAAAAAGTCTGAAGAATTTAAAAGTAAAGTTAACATTAGTATGTTAACTTGGTTGTATAACCCAATGACTATAGCTATAGGTACCAGAGGTAATTGCGACTCTTTAGCAGGTTTTTTTGTATTGCTTTCAATCTATTTCTTGCAATGCAAAAATAAACCTTTTATTGCCGGAATATTGCACGGGTTTTCAATACACTTCCGGTTGTATCCAATCATTTACAGCTTGACTATGTTTATGTACCTAAGCTCTTACTCATTTTACACCACTGAAGATAGGAGAGTTAAAAAACCGAGTACTCGGTTTATTGAAGGTGGAAAATTCAAAGAATTAGACAACAAATCCAAAGATGTTTTATTGCAAAACGATCGCGCTTTAGTGGCGAATAATCCAGTGGAACGAAAAACGATTTTCAAAAAAAAATATTTGTTTTATTTGGTACCCAATTGGGATCAGATAAAATTGGTAACAGGATGTATTTTATCACTCACTATATTAACATTTGTATTCTATTATCTATATGGTTATACATTTTTACACGAAACCTACATTTACCACTTTGTGAGAAAAGATACGCGACACAATTTCTCGCTATACTTCTACCTATTATACCTAACGGCTTGGGTGAGGAATATCGGAATATGGCAGAACGTTTTAATAGTATTTCCGCAAGTTTTGCTGTTAATTGTATTCTCCGTAAGGTTCGGTTTGAACAAATTCTGCCTTAATTTCGCCATCCTAACGCAGACGATCGTTTTTGTGATATACAACACCGTATTGACATCGCAATACTTTGTGTGGATCATGGCAATTCTACCTCTGTGCTTGTGGCAAATAAAAATCTCCGCAAAAAGCGCTCTTCTACTTTTAATGGTTTGGTTTGTGGCTCAAGCCGCCTGGTTACTCCCAGCCTATTACTTGGAGTTCCAGGGCCAAAACACTTTCATGCTCATCTGGATACAGAGTGTTTCGTTGTTTTGCGCCAATATCGCAATACTCGGTCGTATGATTATGTATTTCATGCCTTTAGATAAAGTCAAGTACGAATAGAAACGGATATATTAACTTGTAGTTGTTTGTATATTTAGAATGTCTAGTTTGTATAATAATTTGTTATAAAATGTGAAATAAATAATTGTGACACAAAAAAGTTTTATTTTATTTGGCTGTTTATACATTTTATATTATTGGGTCTGATATTCCACGATAATCGGAAATTTTTATCCCGACCGTCAGAAATTGTATTGTGAGTCACAATACAATTTGTGACGGTAGGGATAACAATATTTGATTATCGTGGAATATCCTTATGTAATAAATATACAGGGTGTTATGTAATTAATGTTATACTAATGTTATAATGTTATGTATATTAAAATACTGAATACCTTTTGACATAAGGAATAAAGGAAAAATATTTAAAAAAACATTTTTCCAAATAAAAGATAAAGAAAAAATATGCATTAGAAGTTTTTTATATTTTTTGTGATACGCCACTGGTTACACACTTGGTTTATCTACATAGATACCAACCAACAAAGTAGCTATGCGTTGCCAGATGTAAAAAATTGTTACTAAAAATTTTTCTTGCAAAAAATAAATAAAAACTCAATAAATACAAAAGTTGTATGCCCTTAAAGCTCTAATACCCTTCTGTATTTATTTACTGATCCAGCTATTAGCTTAAGCAATGATTAGAAAATTTAGTACCTTTGAAATTTGAAATCCATAACCACAAAATTAATTTTTTCATCAGTTTTTTTCTCTGTTTACTCAGATGAAATTGGGACCAGTTCACAGGTTAAACTTTAAACATTTAATTTGTGTAAATAAATCCAAAAGCACTTCCCTTAGTTAAGAATCTTAATATCTTAACTTAAGATATTTACAATTTGAAAACATAACCTAAAATTTTAAAGAAATGCACTAGATTCTGTCATAAAAGTTGGCAGATTTTGTTTGAATTTACCTTCAGTACAAAAATGACATGACCAACAATTAATAAAAACGCCAAATTGACAATTTGCATTGTTAATTTTGTCATTTTTGTAATTAAGCTAAATTTAAACAATGTTTGTCAACTTTTTTGAGAGATTTTGGAAACACAGTTGTTACCAACCATAACAAAAAAATGACATGACCAACAATTAATAAAAACGCCAAATTGACAATTTGCATTGTTAATTTTGTCATTTTTGTAATTAAGCTAAATTTAAACAATATTTGTCAACTTTTTTGAGAGATTTTGGAAACACTGTTGTTACCAACCATAACATAATAAATCCACCAGATTAACCTAAGGTTCCTAGTCGATCAGTGGCGTACTTTTTGGTAGGATAAAGGTTATTATAAATTATTTTTAGACTTTGGAATTTAGAAAAAAAAAGTTTCAGATGCTTCTTTATGGACCCTAAGGAACAACCCATTTTAATATATAACATTAATTACATAACACCCTGCAGGGGTGTATACCTACCACAAAACTAGTTTTGTGATACCTACATACCACATTTAATCCTCCATAATAGATACTTTAACCATTAAAAATTATTTAAATAATCAACCACTATATAATCATTAACACCCCATATCATAATTTAAACTTTAGCTTGTCACATTGGTACCTTTAATCTGCCATATCAGAACCTAAATTAAATTTATTTGTACCTAGAGTAAACTTGCGCCAAACTCTTACATTCTATCCTGGTTTCGCAAGGACCAACATACTTAAAAAATCTTCGATACATACAATGTGCTTAAACTTTAATAATGTTAGCTTAGATTTGTGATTTATTCTTTTGTAAGTTAAGCGATCTTTTGGCAATATGTAGGATATTTCTACAATTATAGTGAATTATTTATCATATAATTATATAACATATGTAATCATGATGCAAGTTGCAACTTTTGTTTTAAAACACAGTTAGGTTTATTTTTAGTTGTTTCTTTTATGAATGCATTTGTATCTATTATTATTATAATTATTGTCATGTAATATATTATATATATATCCTATAGGATTAATTTCTGTTGGGCAAATAAAGATTATTATTATTTAGCACGTGCGTACGCCATATCAAAAAATGGAATGGTTTTTGTAAGTGCCTTTATTGACTGCCGTTACATGCCCATTAAAGGTGAACGCGACATAATATGTTCACTTCCATTAGAGAGCCTTCATTAAAGGCACGTTTATAAAGGGCCATTATAGAACCTTTACGGTTGTGTTTGCTGGGTACCCTTTAATTCAATTGAAGCCTATTTAGTTCGTAAAGAAATCCGGCAACGTCGGAACATTTAACCGTTTAAAACCGCAGTGCTGCCAATCAAAGTTTTATTGCTATCTCGGATTATTTTTTTTAGGTTTGTTCCAACAAAAATAGTTCCAAAACGAAATTTTAATTGTTTACTAATTATATTTATTTTATATTTTTAATTATTCTTATATTTTGAGGTGTGCTTATTTATATATCTAAATACATCAAAAGCTGACCATTATTTATGAAAACAGACACACCTATTTAGAAAAATCAGAGTTGGGAATTGAAGCGTTTTGGTAATATTAATGAAACACCCTGTATTTATTTTAAATTTGTATTGCTTACAAATTTTTTTAAATCTTATCAAAACAAACTAAAAAATTTTCCCACTCTTCGGTGGTTGAATAATAACTGAGCAAAAGTTTTCTTATTTGTTTTTGTGCATCCCAAATACCTTCTGCTGCTTGCAAGGTCCAATACTGTACTATATCCGCGACATCAGAATCCCAACTTGCTCTTTCAAGGTTTGCTTTCTCGCATTTCATTATCTCGTCTTTAAAATAGTCCTCCAAATCGATTTTAGTTTTCTTATATCTCTCTGCTAGTTTTTTTACAAATTTCCATATATTTTCTAAACAAAAATGGAATCATTAATTTTTAGTAATAAAAGGCTTAGTATTAAGAAGGCCCGAACTTATTTTGTTTAAATCATATATGTATACATTTTATAAAATATGCTTTTAAATAAAACCAATAAAGGCCACGTCGTTTGACGATGTGGATCACCTGATGTTTTTACATCTCGCCTCTGTTGGCTTACCAACCGAGCATATAAGCTCAGGGAGTCCTTTGTTTTGAGTGTGTTCCACTACACCAAGTTGCCCGACACTGATGAGACCCAATATAGGTCGAAACAGCTGTCTGTCGGTATTTGAAGTTGGTGGAACGCACACAAAACAAAAAAAGTTGGCGAGGTGTAGGTTTAATTTTTTCTTAAAACCATTTGCATTTTTCCTCGAACCAAAGTCTTTTTATTTACTTTTAAAATCAGGACGTTCTTATTGACCCTTCATAATATATTATTTAAAAAAATGAATAACTTACTTCATTATTTTAGGAGAGTCGTTTCGTAGATCATTTCTATAAGCATACATACAATCTAAAATAAATTAAATAATTATGTTTAGGATTTTTTAAAATTATAGTTATAATGTATCAATTGGTACACCCTGTATATAAGTTGCAAAATCTTTTCAAAACTGAATTTTAAATATGATAATATAAGTCAAAAATTTCTATAGAAATATATAAGATAAAGGCCATTTCCAAATATTTTCTTTTAATTATAACTGTTTGTAGTTTTAAACTCACCTTATTTAGTAACCCAAAAAAAATCAGAAAGGTTTAAACGGGATGAATCCAATTTTTTGATACTCGTACAAACTCGACAGTCGTGTAAAAAGATTTTCCCGAATGTTAACTTCAATACAGGGAAATACTAAATGTCTTCGAATACAATATAATAAATTTACTTAATACTTACCAATGTATAGGAGCATCATTAAGGCAAAAATGATAAATTTTTCTAACATGTTTAAATATTTAATATTTTTATAAAAGAAAATCGTTGCTTTTATAGCTCATGTAATCAGCTAGGTGATAACAAAAAATTAAAAATTCAAACACGATTTAATGAGACTAAAAAATGTTATAATTATGAACAAAAATGGCGATAAGAAAATATTTTTAGCCAATATTACATGTCGGGAATTTCTAAAATATAATCACTACAATTACTTTAATTGGTTTTCTCTCCTGAAAAGGTAATACTGGATGATTTCGGATAAAAAACCAAGCTAGTTTTATGTCCATTTATATCTGTTTTCATCCGACATATCTGATTTTACCCGACATGTCGGTTTTTATCTGCAATTGCGGGTATACATATTATCCGCGAACGTCGGGTTTTATCTATTTAGTTCTATGTCTGCTTTCATCTGGTTTCATCCGCAAATACCTCGTCTGATTTATCCGATTTCACCTGCAAACATCTGCTTTTATACGTGAAGATCTACTTTCATCCGCGAACATTTATTTTAATCCACAAACATCTGATTTCATCCGCAAAAATCTACTTTAGTCCGCAAAAGTCTGCTTCATCCGATTTCACCTGCAAACATCTGCTTATATCCGCAAAGATCTGCTTTTATCTTTGAACATCTGCTTTAATCCACACACTTCTGTTTTAATCCGCAAACATCCAATTTAGTCCGCAAAAGTCTGATTCATCCGATTTCACCTGCAAACATCTGCTTTTATCCGCGAAGATCTGCTTTTATCTGTGAACGTCTGCTTTAATCGGATAAAATCAGATGTTTGCGGATAAAAGCATATGTTTGCGGATAAAATCAGATGTTTGCGGATAAAAGCAGATGTTTGGAGATTAAAACAGATGTTTGCGGATAAAAGCAGATGTTTGGAGATTAAAACAGATGTTTGCGGATAAAAGCAGATGTTTGCGGATAGAATCAGATGTTTGCGGATTAAAACAGATGTTTGCGGATTAATGGTGGCGTTCGCGGATAAATGCAGATGTTTGCGGATAAAATCAGATGTTTTCGATTAAAATCAGATGTTTGCGGATAAAAGCAGATGATTGCGTATAAAATCAGATGTTTGCGGATAAAAGCAAATGTTTGCCGATAAAAGCAGATGTTTGCGGATAAAATCAGATGTTTGCAGATAAAAGCATGTTTGCGGGTGAAACCGTATAAAAGCAGATGTTCGCGGATAAAATGAGATAAAATTGGTTATCACAAATAATAATTATTTGTCATAACCAATTATTGTTTCTCTAAATTTTTTCTTTTATATTTGATCTGTTGTTGGAAGTAAAAATTTGTGACCAAAAAATTAATAATAATACCTAA